GTTGCACGCGTGCGTCGAACTGGTAGCGGTGGCTGCGGCGCCGGAGGTGTCGAGGGTGTCAAGGTATTGCAGTCTTGTCGGTGCTTTGTCGCAATGATCCCGGTCAAGTGTCACTTGCAAGCACCATTGAGCGTGGCGTGACGGAAGCGATTCTGGTAGAACCCGGATAGTCAAGAACTGAAATCTCAAGACCGTAATTGCGCTTCTTTGCGATCGCAATTTTTGAGTCGTTCAGCACTCAATCGAACTGTAAGATGATGCCGAGGTCGCAGATTGTCGTGGTGATCATCGATCAGATGCCGTCAGAGTTTGTATGCGAACTCTGAACACTCTCCGACGAATGACGTCTTTGTAGAGAGCGTGAAGGGACCAAAAAGAATACTCTGCAAGAAACCAAAATGAAAGAATATCAGTACCGATGTCAATGGAAGTATTAGATGAAGAATGCAGTCGAAACAAAAAGTTTTGACCGTGACTTGCAGGAACTAAGAAAAGAGGAGGAAGAGACGAAGAGTGCGGCGGCCGTTGAAGAGAAGAACCAAACGAACCGAACGAACGGGGAAGACTAGGCCAGGCCCAAACAACACAAGTCCGAGATACGTTATGGATTCACACGCACGCAAGACAAGACAAGACAAGACTTTACTCTTGTTGGATGCACCGGGGGGAGAGGAAAGTGGAGGGCATGTGTCGGTGTCCAGGGAGTGAGATGCAAGCTATGAAGCTTTAGTGGGGCAGTGATGGCCTAGGCTAGGCACAGTGCAGTAGGTCAGGTAACGGTGGATGCGATGCGATGCGATGCGATCCATACAGATGATGAATGCAATGTTGCCCTGCTCTGTAACTTTACGAACGCCCTGAATTTAGTTGGCGTCGGGTTATTCCTTGACTATTTCTTCGTACAGAATTAACTTTGAGAAAACCTCTAGCCTCAACGATCCTTTGGACCCATTTACCCACTATAAATTTCTCACAACTCGTCATGACAAACATTAGCAATTAATGATGCGAGCAATCTGTATGTTACCCCAGTTCTATACTGTATGACGGGGCTGCGGGGACAATCACCTCGTCTACTCCGTTTCAAGCAGGTGTCAGATTCCTCAATTCAACACAATCAATTGAATGCTATGAATGTTTTCATGTTCAAATGCTACTGATTGATAGCAAATGATCCTTGAAAAAGGTCACAAGGATATCAACGTTGAGCCAAAACTCAGACATGTCTAGACAAGGTATTTTAACCACACAGACCCAGTTAGCGTTCGAACTTGAAGATACCTAACCGACCGCTACAAAAGTGCCCTTTGCATCAGGTAACTCGCTCCGACAGCCTTATCTAACAGGTATCGGTCATGACGTTATGAGACATATGAGACATTGGCTCGGAATTGATACCGACAGACTGTAAAATGATGGACTGACTCGAAAAAACAAGGGCGAAGTTATAGGACTAAGGAGTGGTAAACCATCGTGAGTTGACGCGTGGGAACGTGCAGTTATTTATGAATCAGTGAAATGCCAGTAGTCTTGACTAATTTCCACGCACGTACCTGTATTCGGTAGACACGGTGATAACTGGGATCGTGATCGTTGTCAATTGAAAGAAGTGCAATTGAAAGAGCCTGATTAATACCTAATTGATTACATTGACTGCTACCAAACATTCGACGATGATCCTCTACCCGTGTATACCGGCGAGTGTCCCCATTCAAGTGGCTCGTGATTGTTCTCTTTCATCCACCCAGATGAATTGTATCTGCAGACAAAGATCATTCATGAAGGTCAAACATCATTGCCCTTCTTTGTTTGATCAACAATTGCCAATTGCATCCTAACCATATCATGCAATTCACGACAAACGTTCCAGTCAAGCACCATCACAAGCTACCCTAGAAAGAACAATCTCCACAACAACACCAAATGAGCTGAAGTCTTGCGTCCTCTTTGAACAGGGATCATGCCTTCAACAGCTTCCATGCCACCCTGCGGTCTGAGCGCACCCATCACAATTGTGTCCGTAGCTCTATGATATGCAGGAAATACGCCTCATCCAATCGCTTATAACTTTGTTTCTCACCTATCAACCGTCAAAAACGCCATTGAGGCTCTATACACCGTGCTATATTATCACAGTCTTTGCAACAATCACATTGTCGAGCAGCACAACTTTCAAACGTACTGTACGACGAGACACATGTCGTGCATTCAGCCTCAACACATGCAAACCGTCAGGTTGATCACAATCCCCTCTTTCGTGATTCGCTATCCCTCACCGCCGGCTAATACACTCGTTCCTTACTGTTACTCCAGATCCCTGGGGAAAACGGTTCCCCCACGTTCTAATGCCGTGTAGCGGTTACATTCAACGTCTTTGACCAATCGAAGTCTGATGACCTTGCAGTTGAACTGGGTGTGTTCCTGTTGGACCGTGACGCGAGGGCCTCACTTCTGCAGGACCGGTGAGACCTGCCGTGTTGAGACAATCCGTGAACTAGACTCTGGTGTAGAGATTGTTTAACTCTTTGGTTATGTAACCATGTAGGGTGACAGTCATCGCTTTATTCATTCCCATGTAAACTACCCTGCAGTTACAGTCAAGCGAAATCGGACGTTGCACAATTGGCATTAAATATATGTCATTCATAGATCGTTCTTGAGTTACAACGGAGCTCATCCGTACCACACGTGGCTTTCAGACATGGCGTCCCTCTCCAACCAACCCGTCATGACAGCTCTTGAGCTATTTTTGTTAATATTGACACGACAGCCTTTAATAACTGTCCCAATTCCCTTCCCAGCCAAGATGACATCACTACCCCGACTCCTCCGGCTTGTCGAGCAAAAAGGAAACAAAAACATGTTAACTATTTTATCTTTTCTTCCTCTTTACTGTTGATACACAATACGCCCGTCTCGGGCCACAACGTAAGGCTGAATCAATCGTGCCTTAGTTCGTCAAGATGGCTGATTAGCCCATAATCATGCCCTTCATACCGGCCATGTCACCCTCCTTGGCGGCGATTTCGAAGTAACCGTAGATGATACTGTATCTGTTAGTATTGCGATTGAAGTATTAAGACGAGATTCAACTTACGTGACAGCAAGGAGAGTACCAGTACCGGAACCAAGAGCGCCCAAAAGGTCACTGGTGACGGAGAGCGCACCAATGCAGGCACCACCAAAGGCAGCGGCAGTAGGAATGATACGCTTGAGCTCTTTGTACATGGACTGATCACGGTGACCGGCCATGACGAGACCCTGATCCTTGAGCTGCTTGGCAACATCACGAGGGCTGGAGCCAGAAACCTCAATCCAGGTCTTGGAGAAGAGAGCGCAAGCACCGAGCATGTAGACAATGTAGGCACTCATGTGGATAGGGTCGAGAAGAGCCTCCTTCATGTTCTGGGGAGGAGACATGTAGTAGACGAGACCAGAGGTAGCGTGGAGCTGAGAAGAACCATCCTTAGCCTCCCAGACACCGAAGAGACGGACAAGGAGGTTCTCAGAGAAGCGGGAGTAGAGCATCTGGCTGATAAGGAAGACGTTGGAAGAAAGAGCGGACTGCAGCATGATGGGCATGTTGGAGGTGTAGAACAGGCGGACGGGGTAAGATCCACGAGCACCACGCTGGCGAGAAGACTTGACGGGGATCTCGACGCGGAAACCCTGGAGGTAGATGACAGCGGCGAAGACGGCAATGGTGGCAAGGAGGTTCATGATGTTGGGGAGGTTCTGGCGGTAGAAAGCCTCCTGGAGAGCTCGCTGCTTGTTGGGCCAGGTCATGAGGAGGTGGAAGAGGGCAATGACAGCACCCTCAAACTCGGGACCACGGCCAGTGTTGATGGTGGTGGGGGAGAAAGCCTTCCACATGATGGACTCGCAGATGTTGGTGGCAATGAACAGAGAGATACCGCTGCCAAGACCGTAGCCCTTCTGGAGGAGCTCGTCGAGGAGGATGACAATCATGCCGGCAACAACAAGCTGGAGAATCAGGAGGAAGACAATACCAGCACCGAGGTCGGAGGGAGGTCCATAGAGACCGGAGAAGACGTAGACAGTAGCAGTACCGGCGGAGAGGATGAAGGCCAGAAGCTTCTGGGCGGTCTGGTAGAGCTCGCGGTCGGACTTGAGGTCAAGGTTGACGTCGATCATGTGGGTGCCAGCAAGGAGCTGGAAAACCATGCCAGAGGAGATGATGGGGGTGATACCCAATTCCATCAGTGTACCACGGTTACTCGCGATGACCATTCGCAGCCAGTATAGAGGATCCGAGTTGTCGGAGGAGACGATACCGTAGAGAGGCATCTGGCTCATGACCAGGAAGATGAGGAGGGTGAGGGCCGTCCACATGAGCTTCTGGTTGAAGGGAATCTTGGTCTCCGGCTGCTGAACCTCAGGGAGGAACGGCACGAACGGTTTGACCAGATCGAGGAATCGTACTATCGAGCGCAGCCACTGTCAGCTTTGGTCTGATGATCGCGATGCCAATTGGCAATTGCGCGCCATTTTGTGATGTCGCGCGAGCTCAAAAGTTTGAGCTTCAGCTCCAGACAAGGAGAACAACTTACGGGAACTCATGGTGGGCAACGATACTAAAGGGACAGAACAAGAATTGGACTATTCATCCAATGAGGGGAAGAAAGAAGGAAAGAAAAGGAAGATGCTGAGCTTGAAGAGCCCAGGCGATTTGAAGGGTCGATGGGAGAATAATTAAAGGAGAGCTGGGGGGGCGGAGGTTGGCGATCTGGCTTCAATGAGCCCAAATTGTAGATGTGTCCAATATTGGGAGTGGAGTGGCACGTGACCGACCCCAGCCAGGGGCGAGATGGGAGCTCCAGCTAAGTTTCCATTCCCTGAGCTTCTCCATAGGTAAAACGTACCTATAGGGAGCTAGCTAGCTGTGAACAAAGGGGTTTCAGCCTCTGAGACCAATTGAAGCTAAGCTTTGAACCCCGCCGTAATTTTTCCGTCAAAATGACTCCGCTTTGCCTGTTCTGGAACATTTGAGGATTTGACTCAATATCGTTCATCAGCACTGGAACAAAACGACAAGGGCAAATATCGTGTATCAGTATTTATGGCTTTATCATATTAGATGCTTCGTCGCCTGAGTCCTCTTCTCAGGCGAAATGTCACTACAATGTCTAGAAAACCTCCAGCAGAACCCCTGGTGGTTGTGCTAGGATCAACGGGCACGGGCAAGTCAGATGTAAGTGTTATGCTACATGACAGAATGGATCTGACGAATTTAGTTGGCTGTTGAACTCGCAACTCGGTTGAATGGTGAAATCATCAATGCCGATGCTATGCAGTTGTATAATGGACTGCCAATCATCACCAACAAAATCACTGTTGAAGAACAGCGTGGTATTCCTCATCATCTTCTTGGACATATTTCTTTGGATGAGCAACCATGGGATGTTGATGATTTCAAGAGGGAAGCGACTCGAACAATACGGGAGATTCGCGGTCGAGGACGATTGCCCATCCTCGTCGGTGGTTCACAGTATTACGTCGACCCTATACTCTTCAAAGAGGTTATTCTAGATGACATAGACCTGGATATGTCCAAGTCATTTCCAATTCTGCAAGAGTCAGGCGAAGTTATGCTCCACGAGTTACGAAAGGTTGACCCTGTCATGGCCGATCGATGGCACCCCAAGGATCGTCGCAAGATTCAGCGATCTCTGGAGATTTACCTAAGGAGCGGCAAAAGAGCATCCGAATACTATGCTGAGCAACAAGCTAGAAAAGAAGCGGCTCAGCAAGACGCCAACAAACAGCCCTGGGAGAATCTGCTGTTCTGGGTCTACTCGGAACGAGATGTCCTACGAGATCGTCTCGATAAGCGAGTCGATAAGATGCAGACGAGTGGACTCATGGATGAAGTCCGAGAACTTTACGAATTTAAGCATAAAAAGGAAGTGGAAGGTCAACGGCTTGACATGACAAAGGGCATTTGGCAGTCAATTGGATATAAGCAATTCGAGCCATACCTGTCTGCTGTTGACGAGGGGCGAGAGGCTGCAGAGCTTGAGAAATTGAAGAGCGCAGGACTTGAAGAGATGAAGTCGGCAACGAGAAGATACGCTGTCTACCAGACTCGCTGGATAAGACTGAAGCAGATTCCACGGATACGCGAGATTGGCCCAGAAGCTATGAACAACATGTATCTTCTAGACAGTACGGATGTTTCAGCATATGGACAGAACGTCGTTGAGCCGGCGATCAAGTTGACGGAGCAGTTCCTGAAAGGCGAAGAACGTCCATTACCGACTGAGATATCGTCACTCGCTAAAGAGGTTCTCACACAAGTTGGCAACCCACCACCAAAAGCAACACCGTGTAAACGTACATGCGAAGTCTGTCATACGGTGTTAATGACAGAAGAAGCATGGAAGCAGCACTTGAAGAGTTCAACTCACCGACGAGTTGTTCGCAAGAAAGCTAGAACGTCTTTGGTTCCAGTGGAAAAAGTGCCCAAGGACAAAGATGAAGGAGACTCTGGGCCAGAGTTAGGGTCCATGTTTTCAGAGTGATCAATACAAACAGTCAAACCTTACCATGCCACGATCTGAGGTCCGTTCCGTACCGGTATTTAACGATCACGTCACTTGCAATGATATGAGAATTATGGTTACGCGTAAAGCTGGCTGCTGAAGGTCATCGCTCTTGAAACAATATACCGACACCAGATGCCGTCATCGGATCGACTCGGATGCTAGCCGTTCACCCGTGTAAACGAATAAATGAGGTATCATTCGATGTTTCAATCAGGTCTGTTTGAAATGCCGTGTGAACCATCAAGTCTGCCTTACAAATCGAAGTGACCCTGAAGCCCTAACCGGACTCCGAGAGGTTAAGAGCAGACAAACCGTTGAACTCTATCATAGGGCTTACCGTAATTATGATGAGTTGGCAGAGTCGAGCATACATCAAGACCATCTATGCGACGTCCTTTGGCTTGATCAAGGATCATGCCAGTTTGCATAATGGTCAGCTGGCCTAGGCTACAAGGACGATAATAACCCGCTCACCCGAATCAGGCACAAGACCTTCAATGCGGCAGATCATGATAGAAGTCAGTTTTGATGAACTGCTACTCTTCAGAGCCTGATAGGTTCACCGGACACTCGGTGATATCACGTCCGTGGGGGCATATCATCAGAACGCGAAAGATAGACAAGGATACGAAAACCATATGGGGCCGGGCTGTTGCCATAACCCGACGAGTGAGAGCAACACAGGGAGTCATGGAAAGACTGCGGAGAAGAACTTATAGGTAATCATGGACCTGAACTGAGCGTTTGGGTCTAAGAGGCCAGGTAGTCTACCTAGTTTAAGTGGCTTAACCTTCCGGAGCTTCCGAAGTTTACGAAAATATTGATCAAGAGTTTCAGACGGTTGTGTATAAAGGTCTGACGTAGGGTGCTAAACTACAGACCCTTTGGGATAGTATCGGATCAAGGTTTTAAGTATTTAATGTCCGTCAGTCTGCATACGGTAACTATTCTGATACAAATTGAGTCATCGGGCAGGGCTGGCGCTCTGGTCCGTTGCGGCGGACTTGGATGACAAAAGTCCGCCGCTATCCAGCTAGACGGGCTCGAGTTCGGGTCCAGGGGGTCCTCATTGGTCAGTTTCAGCTAGAAGATTCGATTTTAGCACATCGACCATGTGAAACTCAAAGGAATGCACCAGCGATTTTCCTGTCAGGCAGCTTTATATCAACCTTGCCCTTTGGATCTTTGAGGCCAGGTCTACCGTCTATTTACGGTATGGAGAATTAAGGCAACAAAATATCTGCCTGAATCAATACAGCCCTAAGAACAAAGGGGTATTTTACTTATATTTATTCCTCTATGTTTACTTCCCTGAAACCTACGTCAACTGATGTGATTGTTGAATAAACGGAATACGCGGATTCCGGTATGCGCGTTTAATTATTCAATCCTTTCATACCACCTTTTATGCAGAGGCATTGGGCAACTAGCACAATCTTCAACAACCACTGAACAATCCGACAAGACAAGGAAAAAACCAAAGCCCCTGGGCTACCTCCCAGAAGAGACAAGACAAGCAACGCACCTCAGCCATAACCGGCTCTACATTATACCGGTAGACTCGGCATCTTACGGTATCGTCAGCTGCCCTGCTTATCGTTTTTTGCACCGGGGAGTTTTAGAGTGTTGATCGATCATATCCATTTCACATCATCATTTTTGTTTCTCTTCCTCCTCTTTCAGTCCTGACAGAACCTTTGTTCCATTTGCGTTTCTGTTCTGCTGCCCCTCCCCCTCACTCACCTGACCCCAGTGAAACGGACGGAAGCGGGCTTCTGAAGAACCCCAGCTACCCGCCTGCCTGAGCTGTACGTACTGTACAGTCTTAAGGTGGAGCTCACGCTGGCGTCATAGGATATTTTACTCAACCTTCAACTCTCAACGACGAGACTCTATAACTGTTATGTGAGGTTTTGCTCAATTCTGCGGTCATGTCAAGCAATATTACTCACGGGCCGGGCTCTGTGTCGCACAAGAACCCTCGTGTCTTGGCCTGCGTCTTGTGTCAGCATCGCAAGATCAAATGCGATCGTAACACGCCCTGTTCAAACTGCATCAAGGTGAGCATCTACAGCCGCAATCTCTTATCAGCTTTAGTTATTGATGCGACTTTATAGGCAAATGTTACCTGTACTCCAAGCACTCCCGCTCCAGCAAGGAAGCGCCGGAGACCCAATCAGGACCTTCAGGAAAGACTTGCACGATGTGAGCAGTTGCTAAAACAATATGCCGATGGTTCTGTACCATCTCCTTCTGCTGTTGGTCATTCGCCTGCTACAAATGGGACCGCACCAGATACTTATCCCGCGACACCTACCAACATCGATGGCCAGTCCAAGTGGAAACCAACGGGAAAGATGGTCAAGGAAGAAGGTGGAGTGCGATTCATGGACAGTTATCTCTGGGCTAATATCCACGATGAGGTGAGTCTACTGACTTGACCTGCTAACATGCACTAATGCCATTCAAGCTCCAAGCCATGAGAGAAATTGTCGACACCGATGATCCAGAAGAAGCCAGTGTTATGGGCTCTGAAGATTTGAGCCCAGATTACAATATCGATCTTCTGATACCAGCCGATACAGCTACCAGATCCTGCGAGGAACTTCAGCCTGAGCCAGTTCACATCTTTAGACTCTGGCAGTTGTTTGTCGATCGCGTCAATCCTCTGACCAAGATCATCCATGTTCCATCTGTGCAGCCATTTGCCTTGGAGATGGCTACCGATATCAACAAGATCCCACTCAACTACCAGGCTCTCTTATTCGCCATCTTCACCATGGCCACAGTATCCCTCACCGAGGCTGAGTGTCTTCAGATGCTGGGAACGTCTCGGGATGAAGCTCTTCGGCGGTATACCATTGGAACCAAAGTGGCACTTACAAAGTTTAACTTTCTCAAAAATTACGACATGGTGGCTCTGCAGGCATTGCTGCTATACTTGGTAAGACTATAATGCCCCTGTGTGACTGTTGCTGACGATACCAGTTATCTCTCCAGAACCGATATGATCGACATGCGGCCTGGATTCTTAGTGGAATGGTCGTGCGTATCGCGCAAAAGATGGGCTACCACCGTGACGGCGACTACCTGGGACTGAACGCCTTTGAGACCGAAATGCGACGACGTATGTGGTGGCAGATCATCCTCCAAGATGCCAAGAACGCTCTAGTTTCTGGCTTGAGCCACTCGCTTCTTCCAAGCAGCTGGGACACCAAGATGCCACAAAACGTAAACGATGCCGACCTTTTCCCAGGATCAATCGAACCCGTTCTACCCCGCGAGGGTCCAACAGAAATGGCTTTCTGTCTAATCGGCTACCAAATCGCCAAATTCCTCGTCAACGCCGAATCACTCCACGGAACCCCCGGATTAGAAGCTGCCGTCATGGGACACGACTTTGAAGGCCAGGATCCTGCAATTCTACCGAGCATCCAACAGTACCGAGATTTGGTGGACAATTTGGAACAGAATTTGCTGGAGGTTGAGGCCCGTTACATCGACCCAACAGCAGGAAACGTACACATTGCCGCCCTCAGCATTCGTCCGATGATCTGCAGCAAGATGAGAGAGATACTAGTCCCCATGAAGGAGCAGCCAGAATGGGGAACAGAAATTCTCGACAAGAAGGATAACCTCTTCAAGATTGTGTTGATGAACAATGAGCACAGCACCGATGCTTATGGCGTGATGGACCAAACTGGTTTCCTCTGGTTCCTCAAATTTCATTTCCAGATTGATATCTTTACAGTCATGACCAAGCAGCTCTGCCAGCGACCAACTGGTTCCCTCGCCGACCGCGCATGGAACATGGTTCAGAAGATTTACCACTACCACACCGAACTCCTCGACATTTCCCAAAAGACATACTACATCCAAGCCCAAACAGTACTGAAAGCTTGGAAGAACCGAGAACAAGCCTTCAGAGCAGCTGGCCAACCCCTCGAGACACCAAACTTTATCTATCGCCTACGAGACGTCGTCAAGAGCGAGAACCGAACTTCAGAACCTTCGCCACAACAACCTGTCGCCCATCCTCCGCAAAACTCACATCAAATGACTGATCTTGATCCGTTCTTGGGTAATTATCTGGATGTCTCGACGCTGAATTGGGATTTATGGGGGACCATGAACCAACCGCCACAGCAGCAGCAGAGTCAGATGCCTGTTTCGTTATTTGGCAATTTCCCAATGGGCAATATGGGTTAGGGTTATGAGATTGTACTTATGAAAAGTTTGGGGTTGGTATGATAACGAGCTGGGAATCTCCATGGAGTAGGGTGCATGCTGGATTTATAGAGCGGCGTTGGTAGGGATGGATATTACCAGGGGAGCAATTGTATCAATATATTTTGTCAACAGTCACAAGTTATGAGCCACGACATTTTGGAGTCTTTGTTAGAAGTGTCTGGCTAACCATTGTCCTTGATCCCCTCACAGCCATTCCTTGATCTTCCGCCTGCCCATCATTGCAGTCCCCATGCCTCAGACATCATCAGTTCTGAGCATGAGCATGACGCTCACGAGGCAATTCAAAAACCGGATAAACATGTCCCGCACCATTGCTCCCACGCACAAGAGGATGGTTTAAAGCACCATCAGGCATGGCATCCAGTTCGATGTCAGAGTTGGCATCAGAATCGTCATGCTCACGGCCGCGGGTACCAGTAGGTGATTTGGGACGAGAACGCCAGCTGCAGAAGAGAACTGCTGCGAGGAAGATGACAACGACGGCGGTGCAGCTGATGGCGATGGCGATGATGACGCTTCTGTCGCTCATGCGGCGGTGGATGGTGTTGGTCATTGTTGCGGTTGACTGAGATGTTAGTCGTGATGCGAGATAGGGGGGTGACATACCGAGATGGGGGCTTGAGACTTGCGAGGAAGCATGCCGCGGTTTATTCTTTACTGCCAATGGGAATTACTTGAAGATGTTCACCAAGGGATGCATGCGAGTGAAGTATGGAGGAGATGAGGTATTGACATACACTACTGTTGAGCAAACACTGCAACGGATCGATGTATTATGGGAACACTGTTTTTGTATATTTCTGTGTAGCAAACGATAAGTGAAGAAGATAATAAACTTGCGTATGGACAAGATCATGTAACCGTTTGGACTTGGTTAATGAATGCCCAAGTCTGCGAACATATCATTTCTAGATGACTGGCACTGATAGCCACATACACTTACAGCCATTCCAAACAACCTCAACCTCTACCTTGTCTGACCTACCTGCCTGAGTGTACACTCGCTATAACTTACCTAAACCTGTTCCGCAGTTGACCCATTACCAGCCGCCACATTGAGTCTCGCCGCTCTTGTAGCACGCTCCTGAACCTCTTTTCTCTGCTCCTTCTTCTGCTGCCGATGGGCCAGATACTGCAGACAACAGCACGGAACAATAAAGAGGAGAAACAGAACCGCCATGCCGACTGCCAAACCAATGATGGCTATCTTGTCAGAGCGGCTGGGATTGCCGTGATAGTGCTGTGTTGAGGCATCGAGTGTTGCAGTGGGGGAGGCGATGGTGATGAAACTACTGGGGGAGGCCATTTTTATTCTGATGGATAGGAACATACCTGTCGGTGAGATTCTGATGTTTGTAGGCTTGGCAGATGGTTTGGGGGCTGGTGAGGAGGATGGAGTTATATAAGGGTTTATGGGTATTTGTGAGCCGACAGCAGTGAACATGGTGATGCTGCAAGAACAGGGCATTGTTACGGCGTTGGCCGCGGGAACACTCAATCTCTTCAGAGTCTGACGTCAGTTTCGCTTTCTTTGTTCTGGCCGGCTCAAGATCTCAACGTGAACTGAACTAGTCATGACGAGAACGTCTTGAAGAGAATGGCGATCATCTAATATCGAAGGCGAGTCTTTGCACAGTTTAGTTGCACATCAACTCAAGCTCCTTGCCATGGCTGTGCGGTGCATATCTACACCTTGAAGCGCGGCATAAACGATAGGCTTTACGTATTCAGACGTGATGCCATGCATCGTTGTTCAGTGTCCAGCAGTATGCTATGGCCCTAACCCAATTGGCCTTCGTCTCACGCGTTGAGCACCTCGAATCTTCAACCGCAGCCACTATAGGCAAGCAATCATAATCACGGGCACACATATACATCAGAATGTAGATCTCAAAAATGAAACGACACCTAGACGGGAAAACTAGGTGTCGAGATTAACGACGGATCCAATTTCCCAATATTCTTCTAAGAACTGTTCTCGAGTCCAAAGACCCTGCCTACAATGCTGTCCACTCTCTACACTAGACAGCGTGCGGCGAACGTTCTTGTCTATCTGAAGAAGAAAGGAAAATCGAAACGCGACAAAAAAATTCGCGATAACAAAACTCAAGATTCTGCTTAGTCATTCGACATACGCACGTGATGAGCGAACATAGTGGGTCACGTGCGTCCCGAGATGAGGAATTGACATCATCCTATTGGCTGATTGGACCGAGAAGCCGAGGAGGCCCGTTCCGATGTCTCGAGAATAGGAAGCCATCATCATTGATACCCAGATACGAATCTCGCACTTGAAGCATCGACGCTGACGATATCGTTGACCGGACCTTGGCTGAACCCTTTCTCTTCGAAATCGATAGATACTCACAATCCGCCACGATGCTCGCTCAACGTGTTGGCGTCGCCGCTCTTCGTCAAGGTACTTTCGCAATCCGAACCTCGACATCCCGATATCTAACAGCTCTATAGGCGCGACCAAGCCCTTCTTCGCCCAGAACATTCCCAAGGCTGCTCTCGCTGCTGGAATCTCTACCTCTTCTCCCCTACGGTATGTCCCTAGCATCAATTGAGCTTCACGCATCTCACATTCGCAGCGCTGTCGGTTCTACCAAGGTCTCTCAACAAGACGGCCATCAGATCCTCGTCAACCAGCGCCTCAACCGTCCCGTCTCTCCCCACCTGGCCATCTACAAGATCGAGCAGACATGGTTCGGTAGCTCCGCCTGGAACCGAATCACCGGCTGCACCCTCTCCGCGACTATGTACGGTTTCTCCCTCGCCTACCTCGCCGCTCCTCTTGTCGGACTTCACCTCGAGAGCGCAAGCATCGCCACCTTCGCCGCCGGTCTCCCCCTCGCCATCAAGGGCGGTATCAAGTTCACACTAGGCTTCCCCTTCGTCTACCACGCCATCAGCGGCTTCAAGCATCTCCTGTACGACGCTGGCAAGGGTTTCGCCAAGACGACTATTATCCAGGCCGACAAGTACATCTGGGCTGCCAGTTTCCTCGGCGCCATTGGCCTGGTTGCTTTCCTGTAAAATACCAAAACTGAACGGAGATGGAAGGATATAGATGGTATGGTTCGCAGTGGATGATACAATGGATAAGGGAAGGAGTATGGCAAGGATGAGAAACTCGTGTACGAGTATTAGCCTGAGGGCATTCCTGACTTTGAGCAAAGAATTTTATTATCTGTACACAAGCGCCTTTAAATGCTTGAGCCTGTTCTAACCAATACCTCGTGAGGTATCGCAACCAAACGCCATTCGCCTGTCGTGAATATTACATGCCAAGTTCTAATCCAAGAATCGAGCATCCAGGATTGTCCTGATCAATCTCCGATTACCGGAAGAGGCAATCTTTTCCCCAATGATGGGCCCGATAAAGTCCTTCAGTTCGGATATATCTGTCTCAACGTTTGCTGTACCATTGACTCCATTGGCGTCTGATTCGACATGATCTGCCAGCGAAGCCACAGCTTGTACTATGCCCTGAACCAGCATCTCGTAGTCCATTGTACCCTCTGCCTTTTCCTTCAGAGGCTGCAGGATCCCCGAGTCAAAAGTCTGCAGGTTACGTAGGACTAGCACGCGGATTGCTTCTGGACCTCCTGCTTCCAACAGGCCGTGGATGGCACCGTAGAGAACCGCGGGGGGTTTGGTAGGGTCGAGAAAGTATTTGAGGCATGTCCTCGTCAACTTGGGCCGTAGGAGTGTGTTGGAAGCCGAGTATTTGCGCGCAATTCGTCCAACCAGAGATGCAGCCAGCTGTCGAAGATCATACTGCTCCTTGAGAGCATCTGTCCCCTCATCAGTGCCCAATTTTCTCGCCATCAGACAAGTAAGAGCGGGGGCTGAGAGGGGGCTGGCGTAGGGATCCAGGAAAAGGCTCTTGTTCTCGATGAGAGCATTCGTCAACTCCATCATCTGCTTAAGAGTGAAGGTGTCATCGAGATGGTGTGTTACTCGGTCCATGATGAAGGTGATGAAGTATGGGATGAGCTGGTGAAGACCAGGGTCGTCTCTCACGGAACCGAGAGCGGCTTGCCGTAGGCGTACCACTTCTTCGTCAGGATTGTCGTCGAGAACAGCAGCCTGGATTTTATCAAAGTAGAGTATGAGCTCCTTGCTCACAATGTGCTTAACGGATGGTTTCATGGAGACATTGTCATTGCCTGCCAAGGCGGACAAGGCAGGGTTCGCACCAGGTCCCTTGGGGAGGAGTTCCTGCGATCGAGATTCGGAAGTCGTGGGGTTCTGAGGGATGGAAGGCTGGACACCTTCGATGGCGAGCCAGTGCGCTGAAGACGTTAGCCTGGAATCATGCGCTGACCGGAAAACATACCTGTAAAACCCATGTCGCGCGGCACCTTAGGCAGAGGCGCATTGATGAGCTTCTCAAAATCGACCTCCTCATCCTCAATGTAGAATAGAGGCTGGCCAGGTCCAAGGCTGGCCTCGCCGTATCGTAGCGGACGCGTAGAATCGTAGCCGTAGAGGGGCTCAACGTCGAGCGCCTTGAGCGCGAGGGAGATATCGTTGACGGTAAGGGTTGTTCTGCGGGCGGCACGCATGAAGCGCAGAGACTCCACGATGACCTGGCCGACTCGGTATTCGACATCCTGTGTCAAGCACTTGAGCGCCTCTTCGTTGAGAGAGCTGATGCCAACCGACTCTGCGACATCCTTGACATTATCAGGATTCCAGAGCAGTTTGGGGGTATCGGTAGCCATGGCGCTGGTAGACGCGCAGGAAGGCGCTGACTTCGGTGATGCGATTCAGAGGGCAGTGCAGGTGGGTTCAGATGGTGTCGAAGGAAGTGTAAGGTATATTATTGAGTTGCGTGAATGTGAAGCTTGACGAGGCTGAGATGGAGGTGCGCATTGTGATAGTGTGGCTTGATAGGTTAGCGCCACACTAGAGAGGCTGGTCGATAACAAGATTGTACTGTGTACAGAGCCTGACCATGCTTAAATAAGTTTTGGATGGCATACTTTGTTACAACTTCTCTCCAATCCGTCATCTCAGCTTCAACCATTCATCAAGTGCTAGCTGACTATAATTCGATGTTGATGGCGCAATCGAGGCGCATTAATCGCCAGCAGATGGAATAACTAAACGAAACCTCGTACGGAGTAGTGAGGTGAAGTAATTGCAACATCGAGCTAAGATACCTTGTCAGTTATTTGAATACCAATCTCTAGAGTTTCTTCATCATCTCTAGCATCATGACAGCTGCAATTCGACATCCTATCACTGCTGGGCATGTTGGCTAACCTGATGTTACACACGGGCCGGGCCTTGATAAGCATCCCCAGTGAGCAGGAAAACCTCTGACATTGAATCAAGGTGCCCAAAGCATCTAATCTAAGGCCTACTAAATCTACACTAAATTATACTAAGTCCAATTAAGTCTTTTGTCACTTAGAATAGATATCCTAAGACTTCTTGCCTCACCATAGTATCTTGCTTGTCAAGCGAGGTCAAGAGACTGAGGCACCTTGCAATGACGTTACCTAATGGTTACTCTCAAGAGCTCACTCGGAATTGTAAGGACCTTACTGATAAAATATGATTGGAGTTACCTTGACCTAAGACAACATTAAGGAGGTAAAAAAAGCGCTGTGACATATCGGATGATTTAGGGTGAACGGGTAGCATCCTACACAAGCCATAAACACTCCAATATCTAGATCTGAGGCAATGAACAATTTCCCACCTCAAAATATGCTATCTATCCACGAATTTGATCCTGCTGATAGCCTCCAAAAGGTCGAATCAGGGAGATCGATTCGATAGCGTGAACCTTGAGATTCCCGTGACATCTTGCCTAAAGCATTCCCCCACGTGAAGGAAATGTCCATCAAAGATCATAGTAGTTCTCGATAGTTAGGGGAACTTGTTGGTTGCCCCGATACAGCAGAATGTAATGCATCCTGGTGCCAACCCAATGGAAATTGAACTCCAAGTTCTGGAGCTCACCCACGGCATTCCAGGACAAGCAGCTTGCGAATCCAGGGATTGCATTTGGCCCCTCTTGGCGATACATGTTCACGTAGGAACGGCCATATCTCCCATGCCACACTGCCTGTGGAGGAACAGGTCTTCTGTTTTGGCCGTCAGCAGAGAGTTCATCGCCCTGGGGGGTGTATCAGCCAAAGGTTCTACCAGCACATGTGTGAATGAGATACTCACCGGGTTCACAAGCCAAAGAATAGATATATCGGTGCTACTTTCCAAGCCATAGCCTTCTCCCGAGGCTCGAGAATTGACCTGCACAATCGGCTGATTTGACTGGCTATTTGCCTGAATACCATGGAACACGGCACCTCGAGCTACTGCAGTCCAACTATGGAAACTGGTCAGTTACGGTGAGCGCGAGACGCTAGCGCTAAAATGACCCTTGATCGCCTTCGAAACAGACGATATTGGTTGAGGGAGATGACCTTTTGGCCATGATTTTCATCTTCTCGTGAAGATAAAGGTTAAGGCCAACCCCTCCAGCCATGAAGACATGCTGGAAACCTCAGTATTTGCAAGTTACGCCTCTATCCGGTCTGGAATTTACTCACCTTGGTCGGGTTTCCTGTCTCTCGGACTTACCAGTGACCTCTCTGACTTTACTAAGTTGACAATCTGGTCAACAATGGGATCGAAAACTCCGTTGATGTCGTCCCTAGAGTACTCATCAGCTGCCTCCTATGGCTAATTCCGGGGAAAGATGAACGAAGAGAAAATGAACAACAGCTTATTACTTACACGGTAAAGGTCATGTTGAGACTGTCAGGGTGCGCCATAGGTTGTCGTCTAGCCTGAGACCCAAGAAAGTTTACAGGAAGGCGAAAGCGCGTGCCTGCCATACCGAGAGAGTGATTTATCTTCAAATTTTCATCCCAGATACTCTCTACGAACTCATGGAAGTCCTCGTTGGTCAGAGCCTTGAATGTTGGCCTCGGGCACTCTCTCTTGGCCTTGCCCTTGACCAGGTCCAGGAAGGCCTCGTCTACAAGAGACCCCCCAGCAAAAATACATTTGCCAGGGGAAATCTCCCGCACGGCGAAGGGCTGGATAGACACCACTTGATAGGAGATCAGGTCCTGTCGAGGAGATAAGTGACACGAAGAGACTGACGTTGGAGCAGTCAATTCACTCACTGTAGTTCCTCCACCGCAGTCGCAGATAATAACTGTGTCTCTGACCTGGAATCCTGGCCCTGATAGATGATTTAGACGGCGTCCAAATGTACACATTGTGCGAGGATTTGCTTTGCCTACCTGAAGGTTGCCCGGGTAGACTGAAGTAGCCGGCATGAGAGCGATGCCGGTGGCCTCTGTCTCTGTAACAGATTTCCGCACAAGACGAATGTTTGGATCGAGAATATTGGCAGACTGAATGGCCTGATAGAGCTTTTTTCGAGCGTCTGTCGGCCAGACGACTGGGACCGTCACGGTGATTACAACATGATACTGCGCAAACTCGTCAATCTGCTTGACACGGTCACAAATTTCCTCGTGAGCATGTTTCCAGATAACTCCAAGAAAAGTTGAGGTGGAGTCGACGGCACTCATATCTAGTGCCTCACGTTCTTTGGTTAAGATGTCAAGTTTCGTCGATACTCGGAGATCATGGGGCAAGTCGTCCATGTGTGGAAGTGACAGTTTTAACCACCCTAGCCATTTACCGTCGTATTCCGAGCCATTGTAAATACCCGTGGGGTACTTCGTAGGGACCTTTGATCCCTTGAACTTGAAAGTTCTATGCAATGAGCGTAGCAATGACGTGGTTCGACTTTGCCAGTCCGATCGGGGATCGCGATGGCTATCTTAGAGTACCTGCCATTGTATAAGCCAGAATAATCTCCCAGAAGTGAATATCTTGGGTGATTATGTCCAATGAACTCACGTAGTGCCCCAATCTATACCCGTGTACACATCTAGGTAGCGAGTGGGTTGTCCCGTGGGAGTTGCCTCACGAGTCGCCATTTTAACAGAATCGTGACTGATGTGCGCGTAAAGTTCCGAAGATGAAGGTCTTTCGCAATCAGGACATATGGGGGATTATATTCGGCCTAAGAGGAAACGGGGCAGCTATGGAAGGGGCCTGAGATTGTCAGGACTTACGGACACTGTGATTTGTATCTGTCATTATCCGACATCTCACATTCTAGATCGGCTGCCTACTATCCAGTGTGAGAATGGTAAGAATGAATATGATTGCTTACGCCATCATGGAAGTGCAAGACTGGTCAGTGATGGTGTCCTCCGTTGTGGCACAAGGCAGAAAAACAGTCCGTAAGTATCCTCAACCAGGCCTAAACCGGAGATCTTCCCTAATTATATGATAACCTTCGGAACTGATGCCCTGCTTGGGCACCTATGGCTAACGGTAAGACACGTTGGTCCGATTACATACTGCAGAGTCAAGGGCTGAAGTGGCTTCTCGCATCAAGGAGTCTTGACACGACTTGTTCTAGAGACTCAAAGTCCCGAAGTGTGGTAGACACCGGATGGAATGAACAGGAGAGTTTCTTTCTTCAAGGTAGCCCAGCATGATAACTAGCATCCACACACCTTGAACTGTTGAAGGTTATCCTCGTGGCCCAGTTGACTTCAGGGCTAATTATATTGAATTCAGTTCGACTCTCAGCCATCCTAGGGAGGGAAAAGAAATAGCAAGACCAGGCTCGGTGGTTGGTCGGTGGGCTTCTGATGTAAGCCAGTCTCGTTGATTCCCTCCCCCCTCCCGATGCCATCCACCCCAGGCAATCAATAAGATACCTTGTTTTCCCAGCCATCAGAGGAGCTGCTGCTGCCATTGATCTTGTTATCAGACATCACCAGGTGACGCCCAACTCCTGGTCTTCTCTAACCACTGGGCAAGCGTACTCTGAGCCCTTGGGGCCTTTGAAGATTTAGTTTCTGTACGAACAAGTTATTTTCATCGCATCATTTTCTTCGTTGTCTACGATGGGAAGCCACCCCAGAAGTGGTGAGGTTCTCTTCCTGATGTATTGGTCCATGAGACCACCGCGAACGACTTTGAGGCCGTGCCCTAGATGAGTCTCACTACAGACCTTGCAGAACCCCTCGTGGAGCTTAGACAGTGGGAATGATTGTTGGACTACGTGTCAACGGCAGATTGAGAGCCACACAATCAGCATATGCTTCCAAAATCTGAACAAACACCTGAAATATTATCTGACGGATACTTCTAATCCCTTACCCACTATAACGAGAATGCTTTCCTTATAACATTGCTAAGAAATATTACACCAAAGCATTAAGGATTAAGTTTCCATATCTCTTTGCTTTAAAGCAAGAGTTTCCAAACCTCTAAATACTATACCCATACCCGCCTCTATATAATTCTATAATTACCCTCTTTCAAAGTCAGGCACAACCCACCACCTACAAATATGCAAACATTGAAACCCTAACCACGATATCCCAACCCCTTATATAATAACAAAAACTAAATCATCCACAAACCGCAAAAACTATCAATCTCGGAGTTGCGGGCTTTGGGCACCACTTATCCCCATTCCATCTTTTTCTGTCTTGCTGGTGTTCCCAACCCGCAACTCAAGCTTTCCAGGCAGTAAGGAGACCGGATTCGATCCCACGTACCGTCCCGGAAGCGGCGAGAGATCGGTCGTGCACGCTTTGTTAAACCGTTAGGCCAAAGCGAGCTGCCGCCACATCTGGTGATAGGGGTTCAGTGTCTCTGACACATAAAGCTATGGCGGGGGGTGCTTTAGGTAGTGGTTGAAGTGTTGGAGGTGGCGGCTGGCAGCTGTTGGCAGTGTCAGGGGTTGAGAATGGTGGATCGGCTGGAAAGGCAGGGCGTGATGGTGTCTGATGTGTGATTCCGTTGGAACCCCGATAGTGTCTGGACTGAAGGTCTCTGGCAGTCGTTGAATGGTGATGGGGGGAATATTTTTGTGAAACCTCATGTCAAGTCACATCCATGACCACCTTTTCTAGGAAACACTTCCATGTAAACTGTCCCAAGTCTTCTCGATTTATATAAAGGGTATCCCATAAATGAAAAGGTCTGACAAGAAATGGTATGTTACCCATCCAACTGCAGAGGCTCGTAAATCAGCAACATACCCGCCGCCGCATGCTTCAAAATATAGGAAGCCAACTTCTTATAAAGTTTTGGTCTGCAGTCATCAGAAACTCCATGACAACTCTCAGCCTCAAAGGTTTCCAGATCCATCGCTTCAACAACGATGGAAAGATACTCTGCACACTCCTCCTCATCCTGACCAAAAGGAGCAAGACATCCTGCCCACTTGAAGAGTATGGCGTTGAGTATAAGGCGACTCATTTGACCGTTGGCGGTATGAAATGGATGAATACTGAGGAAAATGTGACTGTATTTTGCTGCAAGCGCCACAGGATCAAGCTCTCCTTTTATTCCAGCAGCCACGAGATCAGCTCGGTAGCTGGCTATCATCTTCTCCATCGCAGCGGGAATCTTGTTGGGGTCCATGTAGGGACGGGAAGTTGCCTGTAGGGGAGATGTGCGATATTTACCGCCGTACTCGGTATCGTATGTGCCTTCCGTCTGATTGAACTCATTTGTCAAGATGCGGTGCGCTTCCTTGATAATATCCTCGAACAGATCGCTCTTCGTGGTTTGGCAGACGAGATACTGAGCAGCCTTGAGATGCTGTCCCACCTCTCGATAGATTTCCGCGTCGAGAACCAAGAGGTCACGCGGATCACTACCCGAGCCTTCAAAAATGGCTTGACAAAGCTCGATTGTGGTATTCAAGTTGAAACTGACATCTTCGATGTTGTTGGAGCCATGGACAAGGCGATAGATGCAGTCTAGGACGTGTCGTTGCATCTTGTCCGGATCAATAGTTCTTTCGAATGAGAGTTCGCGGAAGAGTTCATACAGATGCTTGGGGTCATCTTCTGGTCTCCTTCTGACATAAGAACTCTTGTCCATGGTGATCAATAGAGGGTGTGTTTGCATGGTCGTTGAGTGGCCTGTGGTGTTGTCTTGTAGAGGAGCCATGGTTCTTTGAGATGCAGTAGACGATATAGGTTGAAAATAAGGTCTTTTTTCGTTATTCTGGTGATGCTGAAAGCTCTTGATCACTGGTAGATGATGGATATTGATCAAAATGGATGAGTGAAAAGGTATGGGAAAAGTATGGGAAAGCAGCGGCTTGGAAAAGTGAACCAACCTTCCTTATCATACCTTAAGATCGCTTGGCCCTCTAGTCTTCAATTCACTGAAGCTTAACTCTCAAAAAGCACCTTGTAGTCTATTCTATCTCGTTCCGCTCCCGTGAAACTAAAAGGTCCAGGTTGACACACCGTAGTTACTTAGACCACCAATCCAACAGTAAACTTCTCCCATGACTCCTTAATCTTATCCTTCGCCGCCTTGAGCTCCTCAACATCCCACATACACTCGACAAACCTACCACTCAGAAACTTGGCCTCATCACTCGCAGCCCAAACAGCAAAGTCACTCGGAAGTGACACATCCTCTGGAACAAGTCCATAGTCCTTGACGACGTCCACAAGAGGTCGAGTGATAGCCGTATCCATGATAAGTCCGGGGTGAAACTGTATAACGATCTTGCCTCGGTTCTCATTGGCGTACCATTCAAACACTTTATAAGCTCCAAGCTTTGATCCGCGATAGGCTGAGAATCCAGGCATAAACTCTGTGTACATTGCGCTTGTGGATACGTGGATGACTGTGGCTCTGGGAGTGGCGAGAGGGTCGAATGCACGCAAGAGGTTAAAGTTTCCTTTGATGTTGATCTCAAAGGTGAGCCACCAATCGACAGGATCTGCCACGGTGACATGTTCGGTCTTGGGCATGTATCCAGCGTTTGCGATGAGAATATCGATCTTTCCGTTGATTGCAGTGGTGTAAGCTTCAAGGACAGACCGAGTTGATTCAGCGTCGACAATGTTGACTGTGTACGTCCAGACTCTAGTTTCAGGGTAGTTTTTTTCGATGTAGGCTTTGTTTTCGAGGAGTGTCTTTTCTGTTCGACCAAGAAGAGCCAGGTTGGTGATGCCTGATTCTGCAAATGACCTGGCAATGCTGGCACCAATACCAGAGCCACCTCCTGTGATTACAGCATTCTTCCCCTTGGTGGAGAGCTCAGGACGAAGAGGAGAGATAGATGGGTATGAAGTTTTGTGAAGGGTGTTGACTGGAGATGCCATTTTGGTGACGTTCAACTTAGTGATGAGACGAATGAATGAGAGCGATTGCATTTCTTTTCTCCTACTTTCTCCTACACTATATACACATTCTTGAACCCAGAATCCTTCAGCATCTTTGTGAATATGCTCACTGAGGCATCGTGAGTTCAACGTTGAGTTGCGTTACACATTATTCATGCGCTGACGCCTCACCCTTGCTACATGACTACCCCACCAGCCACCATAACGCCTCATAACGTTATCAATCCTCTCTTGGTAAGTCAGCAACGTTATTCCTCCAACATCGTCATCACACTCCCCATGCCATTGAAATGTCACCTCCGGGCAATGGAGATAATTCTGATGTATGTGGATCTCATAATTACCAAGCAAAAATTTCCGAACTTCGAAACACCAACTGACATGCATGAACAGCCAAAGCGGGAGCGCAGCAGAGTTGCACAGCGCGAGTATCGCAAAAGACATGCCTCAAAGTTCAACACCCTCAAAGATGAGAATCAGAGATTGAGAAATGCTCTGAAAAGAGTTGAGAAGGTCGCGCTGAAGCGTGGTGGAAAGGACCAGGAACTCGAGGCGGCGCTGGCTGAAGCGAGAGAAACTCTTGGAGAAGAGAGCGACAGTCGAGCTTTGACAACTTCTGGCTCAATAGATACTGACCCAATCTCTGCTGAGAGATTATCATATCTTTCAGGGTTTTTGTCGTCGGATATTATGATTCATGCTCAATCGCTTGGACAAAACACCGCGCCTCCTCGTCTAAGTCTAGAGCAGCAACTCTGGACTAACACGGACAGATTGGCCCGTATTTTTGAAGCGCCATCAGATGCAGGCAAATATCTCGGCGATGGTCTTTACACATTTGCAGGAACGTTGTACTGGGCGTGCACAAGAAACACGGTATCGCTATGGGAGACATACAAGCTCAACATGCTCGGTAGACCTGGACTCCCAGCCCAAAACCCCATGGACCGATTATTCAACCACTCAAAGCACTTGAACGATCGAAGATTCCTGCTTTCACTCGCACTGGCTCGCCTAGAGTACAAGCACAAAGGCTTCATCGATCTTCCACGTGCAGGAACCGAAATGGTGTGGAAATCAGTGTTGCCTGATCTACGACGAAAAATGGAACAAGAACTAGTCGAGAAAGAACAGGGACCCGAATGGTGGAAGACTCCAGGGGAGGTTGAGAACCATTTGCGGAAGTATCTCGAACCAGCTGAGATTGACGAGTTACAGGCTCTCGTGGAGGGGAGAGGGTCAGAGGAGGTTTTGACCAAGTATAAGCCTTTGGTTGAGATGATGATTGCTGAATTTGTCTGTTTTCCAGATGGACCGAGATGGAATCTTTTGTATGTTGCTATGGCTGTTGGAAGTTGGAGGAGTGATCATCCGAAACCTTCAGAGTTGGTGCAAGATTTGAGTGCGAGCGTTTAGAGCGACTTTTATGAACGACATGAATTATATTCCTATTCTAATTGGTTTCTGTTAACTGAGACGATATTATCATGCTAAAGTCCTTACAAGACAGATCTAAGCTGAATAATCCCAGGTCCATGGATGTCGACGGTCGGGACCTGGCAGGTATCACAGACTCCACTGGACCCTTGCGTTCGAACCCTTGTAGATCAGCGCCCCACCGCTGCCCCAGCGACCACCCCAACTTATACCAAGCAATCAATCCCAGCTTCAACATCCATCAGCAACCATCATGACAGACAACGGTCTAAAATCACGTCTGGCCTCTGTCCTCCCAAAAGGCCACGACTTTACAATCCTCCATATCTCAACACCCCCCACAAAGACCGATCCTCTGTACTCCCCACCACCAAACGAACGGCCCGAGCGAACGTATTGCGAAAACCATTTCCTCGCTGTTTCAATCGATGCAGACGGCAAGCAGGTTTTCGTGTTAGGAGTCGAAGTCTTCATCTATACGACTGCTCGGTCGACTACGTTGTTCGTTTCAAAGGCTGATTCAACGGGCTACCTTGCGCTTCTCAATCTCCCCAAGGGAACACCGAGTCCTATTCGTGAGATATGCGCCACGTTTGTTGGATTCCTTGTTGAGAAGAGGAAGAGGAAGGATGTACAATTCATCGTCAATTTATTCGCTCGCGCGCAAGATCAATATCTATTTCCTGGAAGTGTCGACAATACGGGGAAACATGTCCTCGATGACCGCGGTCTTATCAAATGGTGGTGTCGTGTGCTCGATCCCTTACTCGGACCTTCGCCAAAGTCGGTAGAAGCACCATGGAAGAGTTCAAAAGGATACATCGTCGTGCCGGGATTGGAGCCAAATGAAATTCGAGCGATGACACCTCGAAGAACAGACGGTGCTTGGGAGTTTACACATCCGCTTGAACGAATATCACATTATTATCGAGAATTTGACTGGGTACCTCCACGATGTCTGATCCCACACTTTCCTGACGATCCCAAATCACGGTTCCGAGATGAGCTTGATGAGGAGGCTGCAAGCTCGCAAGCAATGAAGACACAAGGCAGCTGGAAGAGTGTCAAGACTCTGGATATGTTTTGGGAAATGATGGCTTTCCGACAAGAATGCTCCAGCGGTCGCATGACGGGATTTATCTGGCTAGTCTTTGACGACAAGGAACCAGAACCAGCAGCAGACGAGTCTTTCCCATCGACAAATCCGCCGTCAACACCAAAGGCTCAGCGAATTACTCAAATAACACCCACCACAACACCTCGAAAACTCTTCCCCAGCAAGAATCAGCCAGAGACCAAGACAAAGAAGAAGAAGCAGAAGAAAAAACTCACAGGTCCCATCATTCCTCGAAAACCCCAAATCAAGCGGGCCAAACACAATTATCTGCTTGATCGTCCTGCAGTTACGGCGTACTACTCATGGACACCTGAAGGCCGTGGTGAGAAGATTGTCGACGAGGCAACCTATAAGCGTATTGTAGAGTTGCTACTGCACCTTGACTTTGCTACCCTCAGCAAAGCGGTTGGTAGTACACGCCGCTGGCTGAGCGAAGGCGGAGGTGGTGGTAAATGGGGTGTTGTTGTATCTGGTACGCGCGAGACGCCAACTCAAACGGCACATGACCGCGAGAATGGTGTAAACAATCTCACGGGTCTTGTCAAGAGGAAGCGAACCGACTCCACTGTTGATGAGTCTCAAAACAAGGTTAATGTCCTTGGAGAGGGACTCGTCAAGAAGAAGCCAAAAGAAGAGTCCAAGGTTGTAAATGTACTTTCCACTGGTCTGATTAGGAAGAAGCCCAAGGAGTAAGCGTTTGTATAATTAGCGTTGGGTATTGTTAAGCCGGAGTTGGTATATGTATTGGTTAACGTAATCGTTATCATGATTCTATGCTACCTGCTTCTATCCTCTATTCACGCCTGTCCATTGTGCTACTTCTTGAGAAACTCTAGATTCACAGGAGTAATGGCCTCTCCGCCGCTGAGAACAGCCATGATGTTTCTCATGCTCAGCTCTTCAAAACCCTTGTGGGTGTCGACCGTTCCACCAGCATTATGGCATGTCACCAACACACGACCCTGCTTAGCAAGCTCCAACAGCTCAGGATGTATCTTTGGCTCGTTTGCGTGAACATCAAGAGCCGCGCTTGACAGTGTACCATCTCGGAGGGCTGCAACCAGTGCCTCTTCGTCAACAAGACTTCCTCGTGCAATGTTGACGAACCGCGATCCACGTTTGAAGGATGGCAGAGTCTTCGAGTCGATCAGAGTGCCTTCACCAGCTGGTGTGCAGAGAACAACGCAGTCGCATCGACCAAGTAGACTTCCAAGCGTCTCATGGTGAGTAGCTCGTACAGGAGCAACGACAGCGGCAGGCTTGGGAAGCACATCATAGTAGTGAATGTCCATACCAAATCCATGTCGGGCACGAGCAGCGATTTGCTGGCCAATGTTGCCAAATCCAATGATTCCTAGAGCCTGATCGCGAAGGTTGTACGACTGCATTGTAGCATCACGATGGTTTTCCTTGAAGGCCTCCTCGTCCCCGGACATGGCGGATGAGATGCACCATGGGAGGACCCGGAATGTTGAAATGATCCCAACAATGGCAAAGTCAGCCACAGCTTCAGCAGCCGCGAGGCCAGAATTGCAGTAGATGATTCCTTGCCAGTTAGCGAATGTCTGCAGGCAGTTGTGTCAACTCACCTCGTTCTCCCAATAGCTTCGTATCAGCCCAGTCAAAGCCAGCACCTGCACTTGCAAACACCTTGACACTCTGTGGCAGCAGACTGATCAACTCTTGGTCCCATTTTCCCATTTCACCTCCAGTTCCCCAAAATGGTCGAAATATGGCATCAAAATCACCCCATCTCTTTTCTTTGAGGGCTTTGGTGAACTCTGGCCGTTGCCGCTCTTCAGTTGGCGGTCTGATAACCTCACACTGAATGCTGAAACGGAGATATGTTTCAGGATTGTATTTGACAGGGTCTCCAATATGAAGAACCCGGGGTTTCGAGGATGTCATGGATGACCGTATTGACAGAGATCCTTGAGAAATGAAGGGAAGTTGAGGAGCAGGAGATGTAGCTCGCGGTGTAGAAGCTGGTACTGGTGTATTGGTTGGTTCCGCCATTTTGATGGTTGACTGTCTTATAAAAGCAAAGTACGAGAGAGAGTACACTAGATTGCCCAAAATGTTAGGTAGTCAGATATGTGTGCCTGATCAGATCAATGCGTCTCAGTAAGTGGAGCGATCGATAACACTCAGCCGCACGCTCACCTCCACTCGCCTTGTCTGGTTCGACAGCCCCCACGGCAGTGATACCCCAGTCTCCGGCCCGTGAGCTTGACGACCCCTGTCAAATGACGGTTCCGAGCCGGATGAGCCCCGGTTTATGTTTCGATGTGGAGCTTTTGGATCAAATCACTAACAAGAAATCGAGTCCAGGTGAATGTATCCAATTTGGTTCATAGGAGGTACCATACATATCCAGATGGGAGCCTGCATAACCCGGTACCGGGATACACAAATACCGGTAACTATCATCCGGGGCCCCAATCTCGTATCCACCAGAACATCGTGGGGAAATTTATTGCATGTTTTCGTGTGGGGAGATCTCATACTGACAGCCTTGCATTCAGGGCAGAGTGGTGGTGGAAGTACGGCATGGCGTGACTTTGGGGGAGGCACTTCTGACTGGCTTACAGCTCGTCCGACACATTCTGACCCGACAAGGGAACTTGTACTTGATTGTTGTCATGATCCGACTTCCTGACTGGAAACGTGAACCGTCCGACGTCGACCTTGGTGGGAATATGCCCTGCCTCTAGAGCCTTTTTGATCAATTGAATGGTCCATTTGTCATTTCCGTGGATGAGAACCGATATGCAAACTGGCTGATACTCTGTCATTCCAGAAATGTCAGACTCATAGGGTACCTGGGTGACTAGTCTTGTTAGTAGCTACTGAAAGCCAATACACTCAACTTACATGGAAACGATAATATGGAAGCCCCCAATATCGGTGCCAGTGTTGTAGAGTCGATGCCTTTGTAAATGGTTGGTGGACTAATATGCTGTCAGCCAAGCACCACTGGAAGGAAACGTACATACGCCACAGGATCGTTCCGATGTTGAACTTGAGATTTTCCACATGGAAGGATCACGACAGCGTCTCCCTTGGCATTGGGGGTAGAAGTGCGCATGATGTTCTCAAGGAACCATTTTCGGTATACTCCAAGACGTTCTGTATCTTGGCGGTTTTCTTCCTCCGTCACCGACTTGCATTCGTTCCTGGGAGGTCAGCTGGGTTTAACGACTGCGCAACGTATACCGGTCATACCAGAAGAATTGCGGCGTAGCCTCGACGAACGGCTTCTTGTCAAACTTTTGCTTATATTCATCTCGAAAAGTGTCAAAGGAATGGTAGTAATCATAACACCATGACAGGAAAGGTGCCTAATCTGTCAGTCAAGTCTTTTTGTTGGAGCCGACTAACCTTTTGCATGTATGCTTGCATTTCCTCATTCGACGCTTCAGATGGGGGGCTTTTCTCCCAAATCTTGCCCACATTGACGTACTCAACTTTCGTGTCCAACAGATCCTGTAGAATTGACACGAAACTCGCAATGGCTGTTTTCTGTGACTTTTCGGGTGACGACAAGTCGTCTGGTACGATTATCCTCGCGGAGGAAGCTTCAGAAGCCCCGGCCTTCGCATTTGCCGTGAAATCGAGGAGTCCCTTGAGGCTTCGACTAAAGATTCGAGTTTTGTCAAACCTAGGGTGGTCAGCGTAGCTCAATGGTAGATCATAGTGCTCACTTTGATGCCGCAAATATGTCGGCTGATAGGTTTTCAGGCTGACTCAACGAGTATATGCCACCCTCTGACATCACTCTACCATCTGTACACGGTCAGTCTTGGCTTCTCACGATGACCCGACTTACCGTCAACACCAATGCTGTAGTCAATCCATGAGTACCCAACCGAGGCAGCAGCAGCACCAACTGAACCACCCTTCATCCAGTGATACCCATCACCTCTTGCAATCCAAGGAGCTTGTTGATCAACCCATTCTGCACCTGCACCAAGATGCGATATCTTCGTTTTTCCGACGATGATGGCTCCTTGGTCAGTCAGGCTCTGTGCATACTTAGCTGTAGAACTCGAGGCATTTCTGTAAAGAGATTTCCACGCGCTACTGGAAAAGGTTGTATAGGTTCCTTTCAAGGATATCGTGTCGCTTATAGAAACACGGACACCAGACAAAGGCTTCTTGGCAGAAGGTTGAGGGTGGTAAAGTCTTGATGGTACGGGGACTGTAACTGAGTCCCCGTAAATAGACGAAGAAGTCAGGGGTTGGAATCTGTATGGTCAGCTACGACTTGCACAGGAGATACAACATACTCGTCTGGTTGGTTCAGGTCATCAGGTATCACACCAGAAGTGAAAGCTCCGAATTCATCATCATACAGCCGCCAGGCTTGGTAAAGGTTCGGGCCGTAGAGAAAGTAGGGGCCGGATGGTAACTCAGAAAAGCCATCTAGAGCCTTGATTTGATCCATATGATAGATCTGTCGCGTGTCGACTTGGACTTGACTACTATTGTCTCCGCTCTTTTCGACAAGAATGGAACCAAAGTCGGGAACAAATACATCATCAATTGAATCGAACAGCTGTAGAATTCCTTCGAGATCGCCAAAGATTTCCTCAGTTGACAGGAGCGTGATTGGAATCAGAGCATCAGGGTTGATGGTTTCTTGAATCGTTCCCTAGACGCGTCAGTACCTCGCTGGCTTTGGTATCATAAAAACACACAAGCTTTAAAGGATGTATCAGATATTGCAGTCCTGCAACGAAACAGGTCGTGATGGGAAGCATTGCTAATGCGTCTGCTGGAGACGGCGGTCGAACGTTGGCAAGTGACGAACGCTAGACAGACACTTGCATATTCACGGCCACGGGGTCTTATTGAATGATCGGATCGCGTAAATTGAGCTTGCGTACTTTTAGGTTCGGCCGTAGGTGAAAGATTGATAAACTGAGATGATGCTGGTGCACAAGGGAAGTTGAGACATTCATGGGGTACAAGTGCAAGAGCGTGCAATAACCCAGCACGGTAGTGCGAGGTTCTTTCTATTCCAGTATTCAATCACAATTTTCCGCAGATGCTCATCATTCAGGCAATTTGTTTACTTCAAGAGGCTCTCAAATGTGTACAGGCAGTATGTTTGACATAAATTACCATCAACGCTTTTCCAAGATGCCTGGGCTCTGTCCCGGCCGGTGAGCTCGGTGAGTCTCGGTGAGCTTATCTTTGTGGGGTATCAAAATTTCCATCCCCCACCAAGCAGAAGTTGCAGATTCAACATCACACTCATACACCAACAAAATGGCGAAAAAGAAGGGTACGTCCTCTGTCCCCCCTCTGCACTCCAATCTAACATGTTCAGCACCCTCAATCCACTCCCGCGCCGCTCGTCGCGCAACGGACATCGACATCGACACCGACAAGTCTCTAAAAGAAGTCAAGCCTCCCCGCGATGCCACCCAACGTCCCTCCGTTCTAGCGGCGCACCACTCCGCTGGTATCACCAAGAAGGCCAAGCGCGGTCGCAAAGAGAAGATGTCTGCCAAGGCTAGGAAACGTCATGAGAAGGGCCTCGAGATGGCTGCTGCGGTTGTGGAGCGTACCAAGAGTAAGGTCGAGAAGAGTAAAGGTCGGGGGAGGAATATTCAGCAGAGAAGTAAAAATTGGGATGAGATTAACAAGGCTGCTGAAGAGGCTGATGGTGCGGAGAGTGCGGAGAGTGATGCCGAGGTGAAGGGGCGTGGAGTCGATATGGACGAGGATATGGATGTTGCGGACGAGACCTTGCCGTCTGCAGAGGTCACCACTCCTGCGGCGGTACCTCTACCCGCAGACGAGGATGGTGATGAGATTCTTTAGTTCTTGGGACTGGACTTTGGAGTTTGGTGTCTAAAATGGGCTCAATATCCGGGAGACGACAACCGGACTGATGACTTTCTTTATTCGGCTATAGACTTGACTGGCAGATACCCAGTAGATTATGTTACATCAAGCATTTACGCGTCCTTTTGAGCATCTGCGTCTTGTGATTCCTCTTCCACCTGTGGCTTTGCACGGGCCTGTTTTATGATTCCCTCGAGGTAAATCCTCATCGTCTTTCCAACCTCTCCATCTCTCGGCTTGTACTCTCTTGATCCTAGTTGCTCGACAAGCTTGTTCACCTTGGTGTAGACTTCCTCTGCAGTATCCTCAGACGTTCGTCTCTTCTGTCCCTTCTTCTTAAATCCAAGGATGAGTTCAACCTTCATTCCCTTGCTGAGGAATCCAACCAGCTGCTGTGTCTTGACCCCAAGGTCATGCTCACTGATGGCCCAGCTCATCTCAACTTCTTTGGTCTTGGGTGTGGTCTGTTTGGACAAACGGCGGCGTTGGATCAATTCACGCTGACGCTCGTATTCTTCTCTCTTGTTGACAATCTTGCAAATAGCATATTGAGTTGGCTTGTCCTTCTTTGGATCACCTGGGATGTAGGGTGTCACCATGCGAAGGGAGTCTGTCTCGGGCAGTCGACTCAAAACGGTTTTTGTGAGAAGAGGTCCATCGAACACACCATTATCGAGAACCATGATCTTTGGGTCCTTGATCTCGAAATCTTGGGGGAGACGATCGCGACCAGACTTTTCAAACTCCTCTTGGGTAGTGTATCGTCGATCGAAACCTCGGTCTTGGCCCTCATCAGCGAAAGGATCTGTCTCAATTTCATCTTCGCGTTTCTTCGATTTGCGGGCTCTTAATTGTGATGCGGAGAAGGAACGGTTCTGTATGGGTAGGGCTCGCGGAGGTTGGAACTGTCGTGTGAGGAGAGCTTCATGTTGGACAAAGACCCTGTAGAGGGCTCGACGGGAGCTTTGAAGGCATGCAAAGCTGTTCATTTTGGTGGAGCCTTGAAAGGAGTGTCTGTCGCGCCGTAAAAGAGTGTAGACAGTCGACAATGGCTTGTTGATGCAATGACTGATCTATCGTCTTCAATGGTGGGCGGTTGAGTTTGGCAGAAACGTCACTGTGGGGTTGCTGCCAACTCTGTCCAATCAGGTGCTCTTGAACCCTTTCAACGGCTGATTCAACACCAAGCTCCCGCTCTGGTGATGGATTTGTGTAATACGACTCAACTCCAGCCCGTCAGGGCACTTCACGATGGCTTCGTTTCATTTCGCCCGCCGTCCTGTGCGTACAACAGTATCTTTCCTCAAGGCCGCCTGTCTCGTACACCTTGGAATCACATACGGCTATACCATCAGCCCAGCTCAAGGCCCTTCAATGCTTCCAACATTCACAGTCGATGGTGATTGGATTCTATGTGATCACACGCGTCGATATGGTCGCGGTGTCTCTGTTGGTGACTTGGTTGTCTACCGCATCCCAATCTTCAACAATCAGTGGGGAGTGAAACGAGTAACAGGCATGCCAGGGGACTATGTCTCTGTTGGAACGCCAGGAGAGCAAGGAGAAGAGTTAATGATACAGGTACTTATTCCATCCTCGTCGCTAGCCATACTAACTTCTCAGATCCCCGAAGGGCATTGCTGGATTTCAGGAGACAATCTTCCAGCATCAAGAGATTCACGACATTTTGGCCCATTACCACTAGCTCTCATCTCTGGCACTACGATAGCCAAAATATTACCATGGAACGAACGTCAATGGATGAAAAATGGACTACAAAAGGCTGAAGAGCTAGACTAATCACGAGCAATCTAATGTAAATATGTATCATCTCTTATCTGGGTATAGGAACTTACACCTCTCGTCTAATTACATCTGCTCTCCCCAAATCAACTGCCCAGTAAGTGCTCTAGCGATATCTGCCACATGAATTCATCAAACAAAGAGAAAGAATACCATCCTTCAATGCAGCGCGTAGCCCTCTCGTACACCGTCAAACACCATTGTATAAGAACAATTCTTGAAAGCCCAGGACAGGCGATGCAATCCGTATAAAGAGATAACCCCTGAAAACCAAACATCATTCTTAGAATGTTACATGACGCCAAACACCATATCACCCAACACCCCATACGCTTCCGCTTTTGAGATGAATAGAGTCCACGAATGTAAGTTAGCCCTCGATGTGAGCCTTGGACATGCTCTGTCCCAAGAGTTCCAGGCAACGTTGAGCTAGGTTGACAACTTCACCCTCATCCTCATCCTCGAATTCATTGTCGGTTTCAATTTGTCGATTTGCAATGCTTCGAATGTGCTCGATGATGTCCTCTGCCTTTCCAATGAGGCCAATAAGAGTCTTGTCCTCGGATTCGAAGAGCTGGAGAAGGGTCCAGACGGCGATGTGCTGGAAGGTAGCATCCCCAGACTGCAGGAATCGGCAGAGGTATCCGTGAATTCCACCTTGGGGTTCGGTCCAGTTCTGTACAAAGATCGAGTAGTCACCAACTGCTTTTGTTAGCTTGTGTTTGAATGGCGGTGAAGTTGACTCACCTTTTGAGGAAAGGTTGCCTAGGGCAGCGGCACTGTTGCCTTGGACTTCAATGCTTGGCGAATGGGTAAGAGGAATGAGAACACCGCAGACTCCAAGGTTCAAGAGATGAGACTTGAGATCATCACTCAAGGCCAGAACGGCAATAGCAGCGGTCATCTCGGACTGGACAGTGATGGGCACATCAAGAACCAATTGCTTGCACTTTTGCACGGCACCGGCATCCAGGACAAGAGCTTTGTTTCGATCTGAACTGGCGGCAAGATTTCGAAGGGTCGAGATGGCATGGCACTGAATCTCTTCATTGTCGGTAGATCCAAGTAGGTCGACGAGTGGCTTGAGGAAGTTGGTTTCAATAATTGGTGACTCGTTCAGAGGATGGATAGAGATGTTTCGTATACAGGCGACAGCAGAAAGGATGAGCGGTAGATAAGAAGATTGGAGGAGTCGGAGAAGAGGGTGCAGCCCATTGGCGCGAACGATATCGAGCTGATACTTTTCGTCGGAAGCGAGATTGCGGAGGGCGAGGGCAGCTTGGCATTGAACCTTGGGTGAAGTCGAGTCCATGAGGTTGACAAGAGATTGGACCAATTTGGGTTCGCTTTGAGCCAGCTTTCGTCGATTGCTGGCATCAACGGCGATATTGCTGAGAGCTGTGGTGCAGTAGTATTGAACGTCGACATCGGGAGAGGAAAGAAGCTGAACAAGTACGGGAATAGCTCCAGCATTTACCAGTTGTTGCCGGTTCTCATCTACTTTTATTAGCATTGCCATTGCCATATAGACCAAACATACCAGAGTGTGTCATGTTTAGCAGAGCGCCAGTAGCATTCCGCTGAACCCGCATATCCCGAGACTTGGCCAACCTTGTCAGAGGACCCAGGGCTCCGGAGCGAGCAATCTTTGCTTTATTCTCCTCATGTGTAGCCAAGTTCGTGATACATCCCACAGCATTGCACTGGACTTCAACATTGGGGGACATCATCTGGCGGATTAGAGGTGTTAAACCACCGAGTTGCACAATGAGAACCTTGTTCTCGGCTACAATACGTCAGTGACTGCGAATGTTGGCTTCAGCGTACATACTGTCAACAGCCAGGTTTCCGAGTGCAGCACTGGCAGCTCGCTGAACTTCGATATCGGGGCTCTGGAGAAGGAATAGAATAGGTTCAAGGGTATCGCGGTCAACCTCTCGGACATCTACATTGTTAGACCAGTCGGAAGCTCGGGGCTCTTTCGTACCTCGTTCAGTAATCTCAGCAAAAGTCAAGCTAGCACTTCGTTGAAGATCTATGTTTTCCGAAAAGACCAAGGTGCTCAGAGCACGCAGAGGTTCGCCAGAGAAGAAGTCGGTCTCGCCGCGCTATCATAAAGTTAGTAACAATCCTAACAAGATGGAAGAGTATGTACATTTTCGAGATACTGGAGAAGGTCGGCTACAGCTTCTCGTTCGCTATCGGCGAGGACGGGTTCATACAAGCCATCGCGGGCTCGACCTATTGCTGTCAGATGTATACGACGACGGATAATAGCATGCATACCTCCGCAGCACGAGGAGCTGCAGATACCCATGGCAAACAAAAGCACAAAGGCTTGATGGAAGAAGTATGTTGAACGACGGTGAATGAAAGTCGGTCTCGATTTTGATGCAGTATCGGTCAAGGCTCGGTTGTTGACGAACGGTCATCCACTTGTCGGCAACGTCACAACAGGGATCCAGATTCGAATTATTATTATCGGGCTCGGTTGTCGGGTGAAAGAAGCTACAAAACAAAACCTCTATCGGGCAAGGTAAATGACTGACTACCACAGAAGCCAATCACTGGCACGAGACAGTGTCAAGATCGCGGTGTAGAAGGGAAAATTAGTTGGCGATTGCCCAGGTGAGAGATGAATCCGAGGGGGAGTTTATCCTAGCCTCACAGTTGGTTGGCGAGGGAAAGAATGGGGATTGAGACGCGCGCCAGGAAGAAGCAAGGTGAGCGCCGTAGGTCGGGTAGGACCTTCTACAGAGCTCAAACCTAAGCTGCCTGAGGTAAGTAAAGCGTGAGCTAAAGGCAAGAACGGATGAATTGGGGAAGCTACTTCCAGATACATTGGCGGCCACTATCTACACACGTCAGAAGAGGTAACTGCAGGGGATGTTGAGGTTCCCTGCAGAAGGTGACCTCACTTGAGGTCACCCGCCGAAGGTAGGGTCCGCCAGGGACGACGTGCGCTATTGTTTTGGAGGTCTAGTGCACGTTAGGTGCAGAGACAGCTGTTGCAGTGGACCGCCTCATTATGCTAGCGGTGTTGTGGAAGCTTGGACCGTTTATGGCTTTTATCCAGACATTTCAACGCCTCATTTTGGGATTGAATGATATGGTTTTGAAGATTTAATGGTTTGTGTAAGATTAGGCAAGATATCTGGCCATTGCGATAATTGGTACCTATTCAAGGTCAGCCTGTCCAGGAAAGTTGCTGCCTTCGACATTGCGTATACTGTCTTCGCTTGTCGCGTGGCATGTGATAGAGGCATTTCTTGACGTAAGATACAAATCCGAGGTCTACGTTATGCGACCTGATCGATACTCGATTTTGACGAGTTCTTCTTTCCAAAGATGGTAATTCTCATGTCACACAAACTATGCTGCCCATGTGCTTATCGTGTCATTGTTGGGTATCAATCTGGACAAACTTTGGCTGCAAGACATCTGCAGCAACTAACTACCCTGCACCACCACCTCGAAGCAGGTCATGGCGTCGTTGACGTATGAACAGGGATCAAGAGACTATTGGGTGTTTTCAACGACTGGCTATGATGGATGGGATTGTTGTGAACCGGACAAAGTTGTCCTGGACCCTTTATGTGGCTTTCATGCCTCTGCGGATGACTCGAATAGACGGTAAAGCTTGGAATGGATAGAGAATGCTGAGACATACGAGTTGCTAATCCTGGCTACATCGACCTCTGTTCTAAGCTCAACTGATCAACAAATGGGGATAAAGATTCTGAGATCGAGCGTTGACTTGCAATCTATCCTTCTACATAATGTCTCACCAATCCCTCAACCTGTCAATATCTCATTATCTCAATATCTCAGTCACAAACTTGCGGGATTTTGACAGTAGAGGAATACTCAGACCATGATAGAAGGCACCTCAAACAAACCAGACAGGCTATTGAATTAATCTGACCAATCCTAATTACCGGAGATGGAATCGTAAAACGGTCAATCTATGCCAAGACGCGAAGCTCATCGTCGATCCGCCATGACGTTCTGTCTGTCTCCGTCTCCGCCTGTGTAGTCCAGGGTCCGGTTAAGATCCAATGTTGGCCATAAGGTTAAGAAGTATGGAGTAGCGTATGCTGCACAGTAATATTATTGCTGGACTTTTGTTGGGCAGACTGTCTCGTAGGTGGTTCTCTTATCATTTATTACAAGTCCAAGGTGAGTAAACGGCCGACCGATTGCCGTGACTGATGTTTGCTCCTTTTTCCCTTTCACCCTCCAGCACATTCCCTTGCAAATTAATTTGCGCCTTTAATGATATGGAATTGTTCTCAACGCCATCGGAACATTTTTATTAACTCTTAGGCTGATGCTGTCTCTTTTCTTCTCGTTTAGCATACGCCTGTGATTTTCTCAGTGATGCGCTATACGTCAATATTTATCAGGACTTGACAACCTCACTTTCGATCTTCGACTCGAACCATCAAATCCCACCTAACAATTCGAATCGTATTGTGCAACAGTGATTATTTGCTTGGAATGGAGGGAAATCAAGAACCTGAACCCGCACGAGGGGATCCAGAAACAAAAGCACCAGCAGATATCAATCTACCAAGCGAACCTCAAGGAACGCAAGGTCAACTTGAAGTGACAGAGGCTCAAATTGAAGACCCAACGAAAGAAAACGTCAAATCATGGATCGAAGCCCAAAGCGAAACTCAACCACAACCTCCAACCGAACCCCCAACAGTTGAACAAGTTGACGATGCTGTCGGAGAGCTGCCCCGCGTTGAAAATACCCCCAGTACAGTACCTGGCGTGACTGGTACGACAGCTGGAAAAGCTTCGACCACATCTTCAGCTCCAGGCACAGACGCCCCAGGACAAGTACAAGAGTCAGCAGCCGAAGCCTCATTTGGAGGAGTTGGAGCTGTTTCTGGACCTGGTCCGGCTTTGATAACTCCACGCGGGCGGGCTGCATCAACCTCCACTGGCCCCTCCACTACAGCCGCCGGTCATGGCCATGTCCCTCAATTTGTCGCTCCGTCATCCTACCTCCGACGCAGGACTTCAATCCGAAGCCCAATGGCGCCCACCGAACCAAAGCCTCTAAGTCCTCTGGACAGAGATCAGTTACAGGGTCTGGTATGTTTATCTGTCTTGCATTGTCTGCCGTATCCGTCTGCCCGTACAACTTCCGACGTGGGGCACGCGCGCATCAAAGCCCGACGATATCGAGCGAAGCTAATCTAGACAGAATGCCATACGCGATTTCCTCAAAGTTCGCACCAGCTACGATGTTTTACCTCTATCATTCCGTCTCATCGTCCTCGATACCGATCTCCGCATCAAGAAGGCCATCAGCATTTTGACGCAGAACTGTGCGTCACCCGATACATGCAGATTCCAATGCTAACCTTGCCACAGCAATCGTATCGGCACCTCTATGGAACTCTAAAACCTCACGATTTGCCGGTATCCTTACGAGCACCGACTTTATCAATGTGATTCAATACTATTGCCAGTTCCCTGACGAGTTCAGCAAACTTGATCAGTTCCGATTGAGTAGCCTAAGAGGTTGTCGCTTCTCTCCAGGCAAGCATGACATCGCTGACCATATCAGACATCGAGAAAGCTATCGGCGCAAGACCCATCGAAACTGTATCGGTTCACCCTTCAAAGCCACTTTACGAAGCCTGTCGACGCATGCTCAAGACCCGCGCCAGACGAATTCCCCTGGTCGATGTCGATAGCGAGACCAACAAGGAAATGGTTGTTTCAGTCATCACCCAGTATCGTATCCTCAAGTTTATCGCCGTAAACAACGAACACAACACCGTCCTCTTGAAGAAAACGGTTCGCGACATTGGCCTCGGTACATATTCAGGCATCGCTACAGCCTCGATGGGCAGTTCCGTGCTTGAAGTTGTTCACCTGATGGTCAAACATAACATCAGCTGTGTCCCGATTATCGATTCTCACGGGCGAGTTCTAAACGTTTTCGAAGCGGTTGATGTCATCCCCTGCATCAAAAACGGTGCCTACGATGACTTGGATGGCTCTGTCGGAGAAGCGCTCTGCAAGAGATCCGACGAGAGCCCTGGTATTTACACATGCAGTGAAGGCGATCGCCTGGACTCCATTTTTGATACGGTCCGAAAGAGCAGGGTTCATCGTCTGATAGTAGTGGACGATGATAACAAGCTCAAGGGTATCATTTCGCTGTCCGACATTCTCAAATATGTGTTGCTCTACGGAGTGGAGGATACAAGCAACTGGGCTTGAGTATTGATGAGGTTATAATGATTGCATGCCGCTATGAATTAGGGAGCTCTCAGAGAGGCGCCGGATGGAGGCAGGCATAGAACAGGCGCAAGGGGAATTGACGGAAGGTTATGTGCATACAACCTTTCGCTATAGACCGTTGACAGGCCTGCATGCATGATACAGTACAGCTGTCTCTGAAGGATGACTTTGGTAGTGTCAGCGTTACAGTACAGCAATAGAGGCTTTGCGGCTTCGGGAACCGAGTGGCTGTGAATATTTGGTGGGATTGGTCAGGTCTCATTCGATACGACACGCGGATGACGGTCAAACTTGATGCTGCACTCTGACGACATTGGTGTTATCTATCCTATTTCAGTATTTATCAACCATTTCCCACTTTGGTTACTTTTTTGATGCTATTCATATCATGTGCACAAACACATTTGTACTTGTTCTTTGTCTTTGTGCCACTTGTTTTGCCCTGCTCTTCTCTCTGCCTGTCACTTGCAATCGCTGGCATCACTGAAAACTTCCCGCTTCACTTCGTCTGCGTTCCTTCCACTTTGACTTGTTCGTGGTCAGATCCTTCCGTCCTTTCGCAATGAAGTTTCCACTGTTTCAACATCCACGAATCTGTTGTGACACGTGAGAATTTTGATCGAACACCATCACACTCTACTTTTTGACTGCCTTTTGATATGATATCTTATTCGACGAATGACAGAATCTCAGCATTAATCACATCTACTTACCGAAAGGCTTTTGCCGATGGATCAGCATTTTCACCCAGCACCTCTGGGCCATTACTCTGCGCCAGAGACTGGTCCTCATCGACTGTTACCGTCCAGAAGTAGCTTGTCTCTTCAGGCTACGATACGGCATATAACAGACCAAGGACCTGTACATACAAGCAGAACATGGACGAGTAGTAGCGATCATAACATCCTAAGCGATACCGACGAATTGGACGATCGAGCCGCCTTTGTTCAGGAATACAACCGCCTAGCAAAAAAGGTGAGGGCCTTGAAAGAAGTAGAGACCAAGCTGACGATTTAGAATGGGGTGCGAATATTGGTGATTGACGATTTTGACTTTAGGCATACTGTAGGTTGTCGATGGTGTGTACTTGAACAATCACTGACAACCCAGGGAAACGGACTTGGTAGTCCTCGCAAGCAAGGATGGCTTTATCGAATCCTACGGTCCTCTTCCAATCATCCTACAGCAGATACACAACCAGCTCGCCAAGGACAACGTCATAAGCGAAGTGTCTCCGATTTCGCCCACAACTTGATACATCGTCGAGACCCCAAAATACTCGATCTGCAGTCGATGGTAAGAATATGTGGCAAGAGCATGCTCTACCTCCCACCTGAACACACACCCTCTGCCCTAATACTTCCAACTTGCATTCGAGCTACTGCGCATAACATCGCTCAGCATGTCACTACTCGAGGGATCTTCCGTATACCGGGGTCAATTAGAGTAGTCAACATGCTGTTCGATTACTACTGCTGTACCGACAATATCGACATCACAAACACTGTGCGATGCGCAAACCTGCCGATGCATGTGCAGGCTTCTGTCCATGATGTGGCGTCGACTTTCAAGCGCCTCCTTTCGGTAATACCCGGTGGGATACTTGGTTCTTTGGCACTCTTTGACGCTCTGGTCGCAATCCATTCGCAGCTACAGGGTGATCCAGAGTTCCCTCGCACCAAACAGACCAAGGTTCGGGCCCGACTCATCGCCTTGGCTATCGCAACGGTTCAATCTCAATTTCGGAGGGAGCTCATATGCGCTGTCTTTGGACTCTTGAGTCTGATTGGAAGAGTGGCAGAAATCACCCCCAGAGAAGATGAAGAAGGTCGATCACTACCCACAGGAGACCTCATGGGCTACAATGCACTCGGCATCGTCTTCGGACCTCTCCTCATAGGCGACTTGCTTGAACTCTATTCTATGAAGCTAGCCGCCCCAAAGGCAGGGTTGCTGGTGCTCCCATTGAGATCTCCAAGATCACGACAAGATCGGAATGGAAGAAAGACACTCGGCAATGAACTTGGGGTGTCTCCAACAATGGACAAAATTCTCATCGCCAATACCATCGCAGAAATGCTTATAGTCAATTGGAGAGATGTGGTCCGACAAATGAAATCGCTCGGCATGAATCGACCTCACCCACGATCAGTGAGTCCCCAAGACGATGCCAACGAGAATGGTTTTGTTATCAGGAAACCACAAGGTTGGGATCGGGAATGGCGAGGAAGTGAGGTGGGAGATCAGATCCCACGAGAAGACAGCCCAGAACCGCCTACACCTACCCTGGGCATATCTAAACAGCGGTCGCACAGTCGTGGAAGTTCAGCCTCAAAGAGACTTGCAGCCAGACCCAACATTGGTTGCTTAAGCCCAACTGTGGAAGAGAGTGTGCACGACGAGGATAAGAGCCAGAGATCAACACAAGCAGGGGAAGGCAGTAGCTATGTTCAAACGCCGCACAATTTGCAGAAGCCGACAGGTGCAGTTCACTTGGAAGACAGCAAGGATGCGCCGGCAAAGCATACACCGCAAAGCGAGAGTGTGAATATCGCTCCAACACCCACTCCACCCACAAGGACCAGAGGACCGATGCATCGAGATGGTTCTCATCTGTCTCAAGATGATGTGCCACCTCGGACGTCCTCAAAAAGAGGAACAAAGACAACCCCTATTCAACAAACCAGTGCCGAGGAACCTACAAGCCAGGGCAATTCAAGAGTCTCAACAATGGAGACCCCTTCAATTGAACGAAAGGGTGCCATTAGGAAGAAAGATCCTGGAAAAGGAAAAGCCCTAAAGCTGCATAGACGGTCACTTGCTGTTGAATGGACAAAACCTGCCAGGTCATCAGATACCTCCATGGACAGGCCAGTCTCAATCAGCCTGGAATTTTCATCCGAGAAGGAGGCCCTTGAAGCTGCACTAAAAGCACATTTCGAGGAACTCAGAGAGTTGGATTCGATGGACCAGCGCAAAAGTTCAGCCTCTACAAATGTTGATCAGAACTCGCAGATGTCAACTTTTGCCAACACTCCCAAGGTTTTACACTTCCCAATCGATAGACTAGAAGAGGACAGCGAGTACACTGTTCAAGGGGACAAATCAACACGAACGCAGGCATTACAAGAAGCCAACTCTGCCTCAACAACACCAAGACAATTTTATTCACCAATGCAGGTACCAGCAAGTATTGCAGGAGACAGCAGTTCCATGGGGCTGGCCTCCCCAAAAAGCCAGGTCGGGACATAGAAAGTCTCTTCTGGTGTACATGGGGAGCTGGATGAAGCGCAGGCTTTGCAGAGTCTTGAATACAGTGAGACACAAAAGCAAGCCAAGGGCATTGGCACTGAAACCCCTGAACGACGACACTCTCGAGTTGTGTCTTTGCCTGCTGAAACACCAAAGACTGAAAAGCAGCAGACTGCATCCTCTCCCTGGTTCTCTGTCCCAAAGAGAAAACCAAGGGCATTGACACGTCCAAGCTTGACACCAAAAGACAACCGAGGAGGCGTCAGAGCTATGGCTGCCAAGTTTGAAACCGCTCATTCAACCGAGACATCAACAAAACCCAGGAGTGCGAGCAAAACTCAAGATCTCATATTGCAATTTTCACAAGAGTCACCGACGAAGAGTATCCGGTCGACAAGATCCGTTTCAACTTTGGGACACAAACGGAATGTTTCGATTTCAAGCCAGGACCGGCGTTCTCGACCGTCAGCAATAAACACTGTTAGAGATGAGGCTCTTGACCAGAACTTGCGAACCTCGCTCAGAGAGGAGGCAGCAATGAGGGCAGTCGAGCTTCAACAAGCTGATAAAAGGCAAAAGCCAAGCTCCCATGAGCAGCCGGAAATGTTAGCTCAACGACAAACGATCCCTAGGAGGAAGCCAGTACCAGGATCCAGGGGTAAAGAGGGATCATTAGAGAATCCACGAAGTCTGGGAACCATGATGCCTTATCCTGAACAGCCTCCTATCGCTCAACACCTTAACCTTATCAGACCAGCATCATCAGCATCGAATACGCAGTACGGGACGGATCCGTCAGTTCCTCACAATATTTCAACTCCTTTTCAACGTCCCGGCAGTACAACTACACTTCATGCACAGATTCGAAGTCTCCAACGGCAGCTGGACCTCAAGACAGAAGAAGCAGTTCATTTGAGGAGGCAACTTGAGGTACAAGGAGATGCAGATGTTGGAACACTGAGTCAGCAACTACGAGAAGCCAAAAGGGAGGCACAAACGTGGAGGGAAAGGGCAGAGAGTGCAGAACGAAGAATCAAAGTGTTTGAACGATTCACAGCACGACTCAAAGGGATACGAGAGGCTGTAGGAGTCGACACGAGATATGCCGATACAGACCTTACAGCAAAGTATTTGAATGAGGGTGCGGACGGACAAAAAGAAAACACATTCTTGGAGAATGCAATGGGTTACGAGAGTGATAGTTCAGGGAGAACAGAAGATGCTGGTGTCGTCAAAGCACGGATACGCCGCTGTCTCCATGGCTTGACCGATGGTCCTCCAGACAAACCATCCTTTGGACTCGACGAAATCCAGAATACAGGCACAGAAAGACCAAAGCGGGATATCAGCCCGAGTACAGCCGAGGTCTGGAAGGCGGCACAGGAGTTGCTACAGCTCGATGAGGCTCAGGGTCAAAGAGAAGATGAATAATTGAGTTCTAGAACATGATGGTGACGGTGTGGCAAATAGACGTGCGTCCAGGAGAGATGTCAGGCTGTGCAAGGGTCTCGATCTTGAAAGGACCCTGGTGGCAAACTTGACTGTACCTTTTGGATGTATCAAATTAGAACATTTGTGGCAAGGGTGTCTGTGTATCAGAATTAACGGACTTGTCCGAACAACTGCATTGGGTAAATATTTGATTGTGAATGTCAAGCTGCATGAGGAACACCTGTGACGACGAAATCCTGTTTCACAGGAGCTTTTGACCCGGTAAACCTATCACTTGAGGGATATTTCATGCTAAAGTCCTGTGCCACTGCAGATCAGGCAAATGGGATTTTGAAATCTCGATCTCTCTCGTATGCATTTTTAACAGACACTGTGCTAAATACGGCATTTCGATATTCATGTGCCGAGACCACTGGACAGCTGATTGGGTAATGTCGATCCCGCTTTTAGCTCCAACTTTGTGACTTGTCCCTGGCACAGGGATCTTCTATCTGACATCAATGGGATGACGATACGAACGAGGATGCTTGTATATACTTTTGCGAGGTGTATGGCTGCGGATGAATGACGAAAAAACATGCTATGGTCTCTCGTCAGATTCTCGCTTGATTCGCCATCTGCCTGCGTCATCTCGGTTCATCGACACATGAACACGCCCGATTCCCTCTAGAACGGAATCGAATAGGGCAGATTCTTCAGGGTCCTCTGGTTCAGAGTTCCTGTCGGTCACGCCAGCGGGACGGCGGTCTGCCCCCGAGTAGCGGCGGGAGGACGTTGAAAATGTGGGGGACATGAGAGGCCCGTGTGAGAGGTATTGATATTCTTGTGTCATCGGCGGAGACGGGAGCAGACTCGCGGAAGACATCGACGGCGGAGAATAAGCGAGGGGCGTATAAGGCTGAGCTGATGGTATGTAGAATTCTTGGGTGCTCTCTTGATCATAGGTCTGCGAGTTTGAATATCGTTGGTTGGGTTGCGTACTAACGGAAGTACGCCGAGACATTTCTACGGAATAAGTGCGAGAGACTGTATCTTCTGGTGGCGATGGTAGGAGTGCACCTAGAGAAGAAGTTGGAGTCTGTGAGATGTGAGAAGGCCCAGACGCATAGAGCGGAGTAGAGGATCTTGACTGAATGTCACGGCCAAGAATCATATCGGAACTGGATGTTGTGAAAGACATTGCGGTGGTAGGTCTCGTCTGGCCATGAATCGAATGCGCATGACGCTGCAGTCTCTGTGCAGCACTGTGTAACGATCTTGAAGATCTGATGGTTCCAGTCGAGGCTGAATCAGGGGTCGCGACTGGTTTTCCATCTTGGTCGGTGGAATAAGCTTGTCGTTGTCGAGGGGGAGAAGTGACAGCGCTGGCCTTGGTAGGCGAGGTCCAGACCATAGCCACACGCGGGGTGTATGCCTGTGAGGATTGGTAAGGGCCATGGTCTGGTTGACCCCGTCAATTGCCTGCAAAGATGGATGGATGCTTGTGTGTCGCCTGCACAACCGAGCTGTATAACCCGAAATCTACACATATTAGCTGTCATCCGGAAATAGCATAGTGCACTGAATCATGCTTTTCAACTGCCGAACATATTGAGGAACAAATTTGCATTTTGCATGATGTTGCAGCGTCGGTACGTTATAATGACGACAGAAAGGCGAGTTTATTGACTTACCCACACCAGTTCCCAAATCCCGGGATGTCAAAACCTTGATCGACAGGTCCGGATTGACTTTTCCAATGACTTGCACAGCGTTGCCATTTGTGAGATGGGCATCCTGTAAAGGTCGTCAGCTCAAGGTTGCAGTGCATTCTGATGTCGTGACACTGACACCAGATTCGATGTCAACTTACCCTGTTCAACAAGACGGTGACAGCGCCCTCGGATTCAAGAGTAGCCTGTTCACCTCGCAGCTGCATGACCTTTCCCACGAGCATGACGACTTTACCAACAAAGTTGTCAAGATAGGCAGCAGTGATGCGCGGGGTTGAAAGTTGCTCGGACATGGTGTTTGGTTTTCGTTCGCGATCAGGCTAGAGAGATAAGGAAGTGGAAGAGATAAGCGAGTAGACAGGGTTTAGGTCTCAGATGCTTGGTTGACAGGTAAGCAAGCGATGTTGGTGAGAGAGGTTGGACGATGAAACGCATGTGAGGCTGTTGGCGATAAATGTGGAGGGGAAGCGCGTTGAGCTTGACGCGCGGTCACGTGGCTTTATGTCACGTGATGAACATGTTGACGCCATCACAGACGTCATAATTAGAATGCCTTCATTTCCCATCATCTGAATCCATCGATGAAACGTGCTCATCATCTCATGCCTGTCAATCCATCTTGAAAATTGCATCAGTCAATCCCTTCGTCTTCAGAATTGATATCAAGAGCCCCACTGTTTATACGCCTATTCGGACCCTTGCCCGATTCCTCCGATCAACCACATTCCCACGATAAACCCGCTGGTCAAGCCAGGAAAGCCCCTACAGTGCGAAACACATTAGCCTTGGGCAGCGCATAACTTTATTATTCGCCCAAGACAACCCCGCTCCTCGAATCTTTCAAAGCCTACATGTCGGAGTAAAAGCTCCGGAATTGATGAGCTGAGCCGCCATTCACCAAGAAGCTGCTAAGGAATTGGAAAAGTAAGCAGTGGAGGACGCACAGTTAATCAGTTCTTCTAGACTGTGTCTTGGTGTTCGGCTCAATGCCACGGCAGACACGGTATGATGCGAAGGCTGATAAAGTCGGAGACCAAGACAAAGAAGTCCATCATGTATCCAGGAGTTCATGACCCCTGCAGGCACTGAGTTATACGGCATTCCCCGTATGTTGAAATTCATCAGCTTGCAGCAAAGGCCACGCATCCGAGGTCGATCCTTACTCTGTGTGGGTGTCAAAATCCTGATCACATTTGTCGATCAATTCAAGATATCTCCTGTCACAACCATGAGTCTTGGATGCGATGGATTGTCGCCTTGACTAAACCATCACTGGAAGGACCCTGTGTGCGTCAGGAATGACTGTGTACTTCATTGCAAGAATCAACTCATAACCAAAAGACATGAACGAGGCTCATCATGATCTTCAAATGTTTTCCCAAAGGATGCTCAAAGCTGTCAGGGGATTAAGTTCTGACTTGATAATGACCGTCCCTATGATATCGAAGCTTCAGTCCACGGTTGACATGATAGATGGATACTGCAATAGTCTCGCTCGCTTCGCTTCGATTAATAGCACCCATGTGTACAGTCCGTTTTGCACTGTCTCGCCAAGTGTGGCCTTGATGGACAAGGCTAGCCACCATTGATTGGTTGTTGGGTGCAACGGACCTGGAGTCCGTTGCACCATGATTGGTTTACACTCACCCATCCCAAAATTGAAGATAGTATCTCCGCCAGGGGGCCACTTGAACATCGAAGTACCATTGCTTCGCAGTTTGTGATTGGGGAAATGGAGGATTTAGAGTCCAAGCATTTCTACCGCTTATGCTAGGCCTATCCTACCGCCTTTGGCTCCAGGTTCCGAACGGGATGACGTTTTTAGGACAGAAGGGACTTTTCCCTCACCTCCAATGTTACAGCTGATACTGCTTCCTATGGTTATGATTCGTACAGACTAGAAGATGGTGGGTCAGGAAGACATTCCGGATCACTTATAACCTCAACGGCTCTGGTATCTCAAGGTTTTCAGCACCTTATCCAGCAAGAATTCAACACCCTTGCGCACACTGGCTTACCGAAGATTGGCTTTGCATTGCGAATTGAAGTCAACGGACTTGGTCCGGACATAACGTTGTCAAACCATTGCACACCTCGCTTCCTATCTTCACCCACCAATCTTCTTATATATACTCCCAACCCCAGTCGCTGGATACATGCAAAACCAGCTACATCTTGCCATAAACTGCAACCGGATCCACTGATACACACTGCACGGGGAATAAGTGACGCAAGACATTGTTGGTGTAATATATTGTCCGAATCCCTTCATCTAGCTTTGGTACGACTGCTGGACTGCTATTACAGCTACAACTTCTAACTTTCCCATCTCACAATCATCGATATTTCTGAAAAGTTCGTCAACCTCGGCATCTTCTTGTTCCTGATAGATGTTTGCCTGCCTGCTTGACTTTACCCAAAAGGTCAAGTTGCCCACCGTCTAGATCTCATAGCTGCATAGGCGAAGCCGAAACACACCATTGGATCCAACGACCCCGGAAGCAGAGAACAGGAACAGACGAGGCGATTCGCCCCAGTGTCCAGAATTTAGTCGGAGCACCTCCCCTCCCCTGCTACTTACCGAGACGCTATACCGGCCATTCCATTTAGTTTCTACTTGGGATTTAAGCCTCGAAATCGACTTATTCTATAATCGATCGGTGGTAAACTACCATTCCTCGGTGAGGTCAGCTAGGCTGTACTGGAGTACTCAGGCACTGAGCTGTGCTGCACTACATTGCACCACCGGATTGGTTTCTCCGTTGAGCGCCTGCCTGATTTTCCCATTCGCCCTGGCTCCTACACCTTTCCAACAGCAGGGAGCAGCTACATCTTTATTTTAACACGACCGTCTCTTTTATCACCCATTCCCTTCGACATCGTGTTCCTGAATATAGGTTCTTCTTGCATCTTCCCCTGGACCGTTCCTTTCCTGGCCACCACTGGTCTCAGATGTTCTGGAACATCTACACCCCCATCTCAACCAATCCGGCTAAGCACCCCCTCTCTGTGCCCGCTTCAGATCTCCCGATCTCCGGAGCTGAACGCTCAATTCCCATCGAGCGAGCTCCTCGATCTCGACTTTCTCTCAAACGCGGCTCAATAGTCTGGTGCTTTTCTCTGACAGCCAGTGACAAACAGCTCAGCCACACCGGCCTAGTTGTGCCGCTGTAACCCCAGGTCCCACGCCTCAGAGTACAGTCTCAACGGTCTTGCAGGATCAAGATGGACGAACCAAGCCAGGACTTTGGCGACCAAGCCCAGAGCTTTCAAAACAACTTTCCCCTGACAACCGACGATGCCAATATTGATCCATTACTCAACTGCACAACGGGAGCTCAGGTGTCCCCGATTGTTAGCAATCCCATGGACAACCAGCTTCTCATGGGCTCTGACATGTGGAACCCGATGAACAACCCCGTCCACTTCTTCCCTCCCTCCATGCCAGCAATGGCACCAACAGCTTTGAACAACAGTCCAAAAGTGCCTACCGATACGCCTTCAACCCCAGAAACTCCATTCAGTGAGCCCACATCTGGCGGCCCAACACGGCAATCGAGTAAATCGTCTATCCCTTCTGTCGATTTAGTCAACACCGACACCAAACCTCGGCGCAGCAGCAGAGTTACCAAGACACAACGTCAACAGCCACCGGTGGAACCTGTCGCCAAGCCGCGCCAAAGAAGAGCATCCAAGGAGCCATCGTTGAAGGAGGAAGATGAGGGCGAAGATGATGGACTGGATGAGACGGCCAAACGCAGCAAGTTCCTTAAACGTAACAGGATCGCTGCGTCCAAATGTCGTCAAAAGAAGAAGGAGTGGATGAGTCAATTGGAGGAAACCCGGAAAGATTTGGAGGGTGAGAACAACGCCCTGCACAAACAGTACAACGGCCTCGTGGACGAGTTGAGCACCATCAAGAATCAACTCATGCAGCACTCATCTTGCAATGATGCCAACATCGACCAATGGCTTGACAACGAGGCAAGGAAATACGTTCAGCGTATTGCAGCGCAGAGCACACAGCCTCCTCCAGTACCGCCACAAAATAGACCTGGTGAATTTTACAATACGCATCGTCGTAGCTCAAGTGGTAGGCCCGAACCTTGTTCAAGAACGAGTCCCATGACTAACCATCATCTAGTTGCCACCTCTATACCGCGATCGATAGAATCAGAAATCATCTACGACCACGTGCCGGATAACCTTGTTAATTCGAGACATCGAGTGTAATTCGATGTGGTGGATAGCTGACACACCGACGGAGAATGGTGGTTTGAGTTTAGAAGCCAAGCTAGACCCAACTCCACACGGATACAACAGCCTTGCTATTGCGACTTTGAAATTCCTTCGACTCGACAACGGAAGACATCGACATGCCGGACCTTGAGTCAAAGCTGGATGAATGTCCTCAGGACTGCGACGTACACGACGACGAAAAGAAAATTACCGGGCGAGATGGTTCACTGGAAAGATACCCTTACAAAACCTGGTTATGATGCGGCAAGATTATTACGATTGGCCATCCCCATAACAGGGAGAGGTGATATGGCGTTGACTGTGCTGAAAGGAGTTTGGCAAAAGGGGTATGGGCAAGGAGATATTTTATGATTTGATGCTTTCATGATATGATCTGATTTGTGCAGTTGGGATGTATGATTTGCTAATCTGGGCTGACGAGTATCAAGTTCTCGTGGCAGCTGGTTTGATTCTTAGCCCTTGGCCGATAGTTTGGTAGGGCCCCTAGGGATAACCCAAGGAGAGGAATCCAAGGGAATAGCGTCCTGTTACTATGACAGGATGCCTTGAGTGCTTTCAGGGTGGGAGATATGGACATATACCATGACGGAAGGTAGTGTAGCGCAAAAAAAAAGATTCAAACCTGAAGAAGGAAATGATAGCCATTCTGAGCAAATGGTTCGCAGGCAACTAGCTTGTGACCCAAGAGCTCGTGATCGAGATGATCGCTGTCATCGTAAATGTCAGGAACGTTTGCCCACGTGGGAAAGATCTGTATTTTTCAAGGGCAATATCTTGTTAAGGGAAAGGTTGGGGTCTCGGTGTTATCAAAGGTTGAGTCAAGTGGCAATATCGAGCTTTGCCACGAGATTCAGCCTGACTTGAACAGATGTAGTAGTTGATCAACCTGACTCCGCATTTCATGCCAATCAGAGCTATATGTGAATGTCGTCGAGATCGTGGCGAGTGTTGCCACCGGAGAAACGTCCGACTATAGTTGAGGCTTATGATTGGTGGTGATACGTTGAAACAAGACGGCGGCTACCGGTAGGAAATAATGCGGCTGAAGTCAAGTACGGGAATAACGATGATGTTCAAGTCGCTGGTAGGTCACTGGTGATGCTTGAAACAGAATTGAGTTGCACGTAATTTATTTCTCTTAGTACTCTCCCATTTTCTAAATGTACAGTAATATGATACACGCTCATCCATCTCTCTACCTCCTCTTGATCCATCCCCTCGAGTTGGAGATACCTCTGATGTTCTTGGTGTACTTCCAAAGGTGACGGTACTTGGGTCCTTGTCGCTTGGCTTCCCATCCACGAGGCTTGACGGGAGGCTTGAGGCTGTACACACGCGTAGGTCTGAACTCGACATCTGAGCCGGGGATGTTGTGTCGCGCCATGACAGCTGCGGTGTTTTCGTCCCAGACGCTACGGAACATGTTGAACCCGAAGGGTGTGGTGCTAAACTTGTCGCGGAAGGACTTGAGCGAGAATCCATCGCGCTGGCTGTATAGTTCCTTGAGCTTGGCAACGTCGATCTTCTTGCCGGGTTGCTGCTCGAGGAGATAGATGCCGAGACGGTGATATGGGGCACCCTTTTGGGAGAATGCGGGGAGCCACGGTAGAGCAAGCTGATCCTCGCCCTTTATCCTGCTCAGAGGTAGTGATGTCTCGGTAGGGCTAATGGGGATGTTGGCGGCGAGGAAGTGGCAGCGCTTGTTGAAGGTATCGGAGTCAGGGTTGGGGACATCAGAGTCGAGGACGACTACAGAGACGAGTCTCTCGCCCTTGTCGAAGACTTGAACTCGAAGACGGGGTGCGTTCTCGCTGACGACACTGTCGACGATCTGGCCGGGAGGAATCTTGAGCTTGCGGAAGTATAGCTGGACATCGGCGGTAGGTTCGAGCTTGGGGAGGACGTCGGGGACGATGTTGAACTGCTTGATACGTTGGGTGATGAGACGTTGGTCGTAGGAGCGCCACTTGGCCTCGGCGTAATGACGGTAGATAGGCTTGTTCATATCGCCTGGGTGCGTTAGTCAGACCCAGCCCGTCTATTGGGATAACCTACCTGTTCCATCTTCAAAACGCTTCTTGACAATGGGGTCGTTAGCATCTGCAAGGATCTTGAGCCTCTCGACATATTTGTGCAGACTCTTGATTTTAATATCCTTCATCTTCTGTCCCCCCTTGATATCTTCCGGACTCGTAGCTTCTAATCGAGAAATCTTCTCAAGCTCTTTGCTAATCTCCGCCAGCTTCTCTTCACGATCCACAGCCAGAATCTTGCGAGCCTCTTGAAAAGCCTGGTACGGGAGATGCTCAAACGGCAGATCGCCCGTGCTCCGAATGGCCATTCTTCGTCGTCGTGATCCAATTGGCATCTTTCCAGCCTTCATAAGCTGCTGCTCAAACTCGGGGAGCACCGTATTGGGATCGAGGTCTGCTGTGCTGGGCGTGGCAGTCTGAGTCTCGGCTGATCGTCGAATTGCGGCAGAGGTGAACGGCCGGGCGACGCTGGGCCGCAGCTGCCGAGCGATTGGCCGCATAACGGCCTGGCAGCGCGACATGATGGGCAGCGGAGCGTAGAGGCCGTAGACGTGGGACGTTGAAAGTGACGCTGATGATATCTCGAGATATTGAAAAATGCTCTGGGGATGGTTTGCAGGCCTTGCCCCACTAAAAACTCGGGGATCGGAGGATGTTGCCGATCCACTTTTCTGCAGTATCGCATCACGGTTTTCGAAGCCTCAACACCAGATTCAGCGAACTACTGTCCCTGATCACAGCAGAATCTCCCTATCGACGGCGGTCAGGGAATTGATATCATGGCTGGCAAGGGAATTGGGTGCCTGGCTGAGGCCATGGGTGCCCTGCGGGTGTCTGCCAAGGTATGTGAAGAGACTGCAAATCGCTTCAATGCTAACAGATGAAGCCGGCGACACTCAACAAGGCCTTCACAAGGTCAATGGCTACAGAAGTCTCTCCGAAGCAAACTGCAGAGAATAAATCTCCGAATACCCCCCAAGGCATTCTCGAATCATGGAAGCCCAGTACGACACCCGTCCACCGTCAATAAACTCACTGACCATTGCAGTCACAACCGTTCCCGTCACAGTCCACGCCTTTCCCTCGTTGGAACCGACTTCTCTCGAACGATGGGACGTCAACCACCTTTACCTCCCTCTCCGCCGCGATCTTCTCCATCTCGCCGTCGTCTACGAAGGTGACAACACCCGCCAAGGAACCGCCTCTTCCAAAACCCGTTACGATGTCCACGGCTCCCACCGAAAGATGCGTCCTCAAAAGGGAACTGGTCGAGCTCGTATGGGAACCAAGCAAAGTCCCGTGAACCGCGGTGGTGGAAAGACATTCGGACCTCATCCCCGCGACTTCGGCACCAGCCTTACCCGAAAGGTGTACGACAAGGCATGGCGCACAGCTCTGAGCTACCGTTACCGAAAAGGCGATCTCATCGTGTGTGAGGATGGTATGGATCTTGTGTTGCCGACTGATTACGAGCTCGTTGCTGGAAAGTATCTCAAGGATGGACTGAAGGAGGCGTATCTCAAGCGATACATGACTGGAGTGCTGGGTAACCTTGATCTGGGCCGTGCTAGCGGTCGAACTCTTTTCGTCACTGGAAACCGACGTGAAGCTCTCTTCGGCGCCATGGAGCAGCTCCCTTGGGAGGGTAGAGCACTCGATCTAGAGGATGTCGATGTCAAGGACCTTTTGGAGACAGGCAAGGTGGTTTTGGAACGAAGTGTGCTCAAAGAGATGATCAAGAAGCACCAGAGCGACTTGGTGAGCAGAGTTGTTATGCAAGGCCTGGTCAAGGGAGGGCCCAAGCTAGGGACACCAGTGATTAGGGCATGAGCGTGTAAACTATCTGTATTATTTTGTATACAACCAACTGTCGCAATCCTCAGTGAATATTCTTATGAAAGCTAATCTTGTCAAGTTATAATATCGTTGCTTGGGTATCGTTAGATTTGGTCATCTATGAGTACACTATCATACACTGCAGTATTACAAGGCTCCGCCCACAAGCGAAACAATCCACATGGCAACTCTGACTTTGAGTCCAACTCTTCGTTCAGTGCGAGCAAAGTCATCTCGCGTTGCCTTGGTAGCATGTTCCTGCAACCATAGCTGCTCCTCTCCAAGTCTCCCCTTCAGTCCTTCATCGCGGGTTACGATCAGAGCACCAGCTTCAAGATCATGAGAGTAGCTTCGTTTGGTATAGTTGGAACTTCCAATAATACTCATAGCGGGGTTCTTGTCACCTGGCATCGTCACCCAGAGTCCCTTGGCGTGATATGTCCATCCACCAGGCTGACCAACGACGCCATAACGCCATTCCTTCAAGGTGATATCGTTGTCACGGCCTTCGTGATGTACGCGATGAACGAAACGGCGGGCGAGGAGAGTGTAGGCATCAGGGAGGAGACCCGAGACGCCTTTCGACTTGTAGAAACCGTTTGCTTCAGGAGAAGCTGTAATGACGGTGTTGGAGGTAGAGGCAGTATTGAGGAGGAGTTTAGTCAGAGAGGGAGCGGGGTTGAAGTAACCTGCTGTAAAGGTCCACGAAGACTCGCGGTATGCGGGGAGGGCGAGAGTCTTGAGGATGTGTGTGATGACGGGGAGTTCAGTTGAGGTGTCGGGTTTCATGACCTGGGACATCTGCCCAAGCATGTAAACTCTTGTATCAGAAATGTCATTCTCAGGCTTTGACGTCGGATGTAACAGAGTCTGGAGCGTCGATGTAGTGCTCTTGATGAAAGACTGGGGCTTCTCTAGCGGTGAGGGGGCAGAGTTGTTCTCTGGCCACGAGAGTGTGAAGCCCGCTGGTTCAGTTGAAGGTTGAACCAAGAAGCTGAAGGATGTAACCCCTGAATGGATCTTCCAAAAGTGATCAGTCACCTCCTTTGAGGCAAAAAGATGATATCTATCTTGACGGTTGGTAAAGTAGTCAGTTGACAAGTTTGCCCTGAAAAGTCAGTATTTCTCATCACGGAGACCTTCTAGACATACCCAGACATGATGATCTCATCGTCAACTCCATAAAGCTTCATATGCTGAAGTCCCCAACCCTCATTTATCCTCTTGGGGATATACTGTTTCCTCAATCCAGTGAGGTTCGGCGTGTGGTACATTCGAATTTCCACACGGTCTGCTCCAAACTCTTCGACCAGGGGTGCAAGTAACGATGCACTTGATGGATTAGGCGCCTCTCTCGTTCCGCGTAGCGCATCTGTAAGAATACTCAATTTCACATCCGGATTCTTCCTCAACGCCTCCTGCAACGTTTCGATAAGTTCCTTTTCCGATTTTCCAATGTACAGCGTCGATAAGAAGATCCGTCTTTGTGCTTTTCGTATCCGATCCTAAACCAATCAGCCCTGTCATTTCCGTATCGGCGGAAGTCCAACCTTGAGCGTCTCGTAAAACTCTGCTGGTGTACGAATAATCTGAATCTGTTCCCCTCGAACATCGAAACTCGGTGCCAGTCGATCCAATTCAGTAACGAAAGGAGCCAAAGCCCCAACGCTATTCACACTTGGAGGAGTATTCCCAGCTGGCATCGCATATTGTCTGGTCTGGACTCGTGCGCTGGGAACACTGGGCTTGAAACTTGCGGCACGCAGCCTCGTAGTGCATCGCGCACAGCTCCGAGTGAGCATCTCGAATCGTCTAAAGCTCAATTGAAGCTCGTTCTATTAAAATTGCTTGTATCCGTAAATCGCTAGAATTTCTGGTTGAGCTTCAAGGTACGTACCCATGCCGTCACAAACCCAATCTGCCGAGGTTGATCCGCGGTAATCTTCAAACCTCCCATCATTGACGAGCTATCAACAACCATCCCGCTGAGGTCAATTGTCGCTCAACCGCCATCATGTCGACAATCTCACGAACATTGTCCAACCTGCGAAAGGTTGGAATCAAGGTATGTCTGCCATCAACCGTCAACGAGCCAATGCTAACTCGAGCAGGACTACTTTGTCCAGATGCTGGTATGTACCTGACCGAACGATCCTCGACTCTGGCTAACGATGCCTGTTTCTCACGAGTAGTACATCGGTACGCTCCCTCTGTTATCCGCCCAATCGTCCACTGACATCCGCAGGTGACACCAAGGCTGGTCGTCTGATTGGCACCGATCGCGCCGGCAACAAGTTCTTCGAGAACAACGAGGAACTCCCCCTCCGAACACGCTGGGTCGAGTACGCCAAGCACGATTACGACGCCGCTCACATTGAGCCCGGATGGCACGCCTGGATCAGCTACAGCGTCGACAAGCCTCCTACCGAGGATCCTCTACTACAAGTTGGTGTCCGAGCCTTTGAGCCGTCACGCGCCATCCCCAACTTTACCCAGACCCGTGGCGCTTTCAAGACTTACAACACGTATGTTACGCATTTCGTAGGAGGCAAAATTCTGACCGTTTTAGTTCCAAGTCCAAGATCTCAGCATGGGAGCCTGTGGCGGCGCCTCGGGCATGAGGATGAGTGGTCAAGTGTACATAAATTTGCGTAGAGGTTCAATCGAGAAACCCAAGGGCATTGAATTCAGATGAGCTGCTATTTCTACAGCTGAACATGGTATAAGATCTAGAAAATGTGCACTCTATGTATGGTCTTTCAGATTCTTCTCTTATACGAACTACATAGGAAATCCTCACGATCTACGACTTTGCTTCGATTGCAGATTTGATAGCTAAAATGTCAGCTGAGTTTGGAAACTGGACGCATTACTAACCTTCACACGTCACTCTAGCATCTCCAAACAACATCTTTGCGTTGGGCATGTAAAACATGGGGTTTGGAACATCAGCTGCTCCTGTTAGCCGCATTCGGATAGGGGACGGGCGACTTACCATAACCACTGGCCATGCCTCTCTTCATGACGACAACCTGCTTGGCTTTCCAGGCATGCAGCACAGGCATACCCTCAATAGAGCTGCCCTTTTCCAGAGCAATAGGGTTGACGGTATCGTTGGCGCCGATGACGACGGCCAGGTCAGTCTCGGGAAAGTCGTCGTTGATCTCGTCCATTTCCAGGACGATGTCATATGGCACACTGGCTTCAGCGAGAAGAACGTTGCACTGACCAGGCATGCGGCCTGCGACAGGGTGAATAGCGAAACGGACAGTGATACCCTTGGATCGAAGAGTCTGAACAATGTCTGAGATGGCGTATTGAGCCTTTGCAACAGCCATACCGTATCCAACAATGAGAATGACCTTTTCAGAGTTGAGAAGTGCATCAGCAAGGTCATCTACAGAAGTCTGGGTAACTTCTCCCTGAGGTTTAAACTCTTGTACAGCAGTTGGCGTGCCCAGACCTCCAAAGAGAACGTTTGTCAGTGATCTGTTCATGGCGACGCACATGATGTACGATAGAATTGAACCGGATACACCGATCAAGGCTCCAACAGTGGTAAGAAGGGGGTTCTCAAGCATGAAACCCTCGGCGACAAGAGCAAAGCCACTGTATGCGTTCAAAACAGTGATGACGACGGGCATGTCAGCACCTCCAATGGCAGATGTGGTGGTGTATCCCTTGATGAAGCTCAAAACAGTACTTCCAGCAAGTGCTCCCGCTGCAATCAAGGGGCTTCCTGGGGCCATTGTGATGAAAGCTCCCATGGTGGCTGCGTTGCTTGCGAGTAATCCTGAGTTGATGATATGTCGTCCAGGCAGGATCTTTGGCTTAGACGTCATCTTGCCGGCGAGCTTGAGGAACGCGACGATGGATCCGGTAAACGTGATGCCACCGATAACGACACCAAGGTAGGCTGTAACGAGGTGGAGAGTTGACGGATCCATCACGTCTGCCATGACACTACCGATACTGGTCAAGACGGCAGCAAGACCAACCACAGAGTGAAGAGCGGCGACAGTCTGAGGGAGATCGGTAGGAGTGATTCGCTTTCCAATGAGCATACCAGCGATGGTACCGAGTGCGGCAAGACCACCAAACTGAGTGAGGACTTCAGGGGTAAAGCCAGCAGCGAGCAAACTGGCCAACACACCTGTACCGACACCAAGAATACCAAGAGCATTACCCATGCGAGCAGTGGCTTGGGAAGCAAGACTGGAGATGGAACCAATGCAGAGAACAGAGCTGACAAGATAACCGGCTTGAACAAGACCAGCAGCACCAGTTGATGCAGCAGCCACGAATCCACCACCACAAACAACAGCAGGAATTGCATAGAGCCAGGGGTACTCGGGGGGGTCGGTAGGTCCTATTCCTGTTAGCTGGGTCGAGTTAAAGATCGGACAACTCACGCTTGAACATATCCAGCATACGCTTGGTGATTACGAAACCACCTCCAACATTGACGAAAGCCAGCAAAACACTCAGGGCACCAAAAGCTTGAGGAATAGTCTCGGGCAGAAATCCACCTCCAAGAATGAATAAACCACCAATACCGACCATACCGGAAATAGCGTTGGTGACACTCATCAGAGGAGAGTGAAGCGCAGGAGCAACACCCCAGACAGCACGATATCCAATAAGACTAGCCAGAGCAAATGTAAAAGCGTTCGACATGAGAAGAGGGCTGGTCCATTTTCCAAGAGCCAAGATACTACCCATACCAGCGGTGACACCAGCAACTTCACGAGTCTTCTTTTGCCAGGGAGTCAGAGCTACAGGTTCAGGGGTCACTTCGGCTGTCTCGGCCTTTACGGGTGGAGGAGGAGGTGCTGCGCGAGGGGCGGGTGGCAGAATATCTCCTTCTTGGGTAACGATTGCACCTCGGACGACTTCATCTGATAGATCAATGCCGAAAGCCTTGGGTTCAGGGGCCATTGAGAGCAGGAACTTGGTGATGTTGTTGGAGTAGAGAGTCGAGGACTGAGTTGGCAGACGAGAGGGAAGATCAGTGTATCCTAAAATGTCAGTAGATTCCCCAAGCAAGGGGAGTGTGCATACCAATAATCTTGACATCGTTGTAAACGGCCAATTCACCCTTCTTGGTAGCTTCACAGTTGCCTCCAGCTTCAGCAGCCAGATCGACAATGACACTTCCAGGTTTCATAACATCGAGGATATCGTTCTTGAGCAGTTTCGGGGCAGGCTTTCCAGGGATCAATGCAGTGGTGATGATGATGTCGACTTCCTGGGCTTGGTCTTTAAACAGCTTCATTTCAGCTTCGATAAATTCCTTGCTCATTTCCTTAGCGTATCCACCAGCTCCAGATCCATCCTCCTGGAGTTCGACTTCGATGAATTCGGCTCCAAGAGATTGAACCTGTTCGCGAGCAGCAGATCGAGTATCGAAACCACGGACAATGGCACCCATACGACGAGCAGTAGCAATAGTACTCAAGCCAGCAACGCCAGCACCAATAACCAAAACCTTGCAGGGAGGAATCTTTCCAGCAGCAGTGACTTGACCAGTGAGGAATCTGCCAAAGACATTGGACGCTTCGAGAACAGCCTTGTAACCGGCAATGTTGGCCATACTGCTGAGGGCATCAAAGACCTGAGCTCGAGAGATACGGGGAATCATGTCCATGGCGAAACTGGTAGCTTTTCTAGCGGCAATCTTTTCGACGAGTTCTTTGTTCTGAGCGGGCTGGAGGAATGAAATGATGGTTTGGCCTTCTTTCATGGACTCAACCTCTTCAAGACCAGGACCACGAACTTTGAGAACAATGTCTGAGTTGGACCAGACTTCCTTGGGACCATTGACAAGAGTTACGCCGGCCTTTTCATAGGCGGCATCGAGGAAATCAGCAGATGTACCAGCACCACGTTCAACAAGAACCTGCTTGAAGCCCTTTTTCTTAAGGAGTGCAACATTGGCAGGCGTAAGAGCTACACGGCGCTCTCCAGGGAAGATCTCGGTTGGAACACCAACGACAAGATGATCATAGGGAGTTGTCTTGGGAAGGACCACGGTGGAATATTTGCGAGGAGGCGCAGAAGCATGGCGGATCAATGCGAGGGGCTTGGAGACGTCTGCGACAAGAGCATGCTGTCGAGGCGAAGCTCTCAAGGTGCTGTGCCATTGCTTGCGACGAGAGAGGACATCTGAAGTTTATTAGCTATGAGCTTCAATGGCAGACAAAACCTACCTTGAACTCGATACCCTTTCAATTGCTTCTGTAGAAAGAAGGACGAGGCGCACAGCTCGGAAGCTGACGCTGGAACCGCGGACGAGGCCAGCGGGCGAAGCATTTGGGTTGCCATGATTAAAGAATCATGAGAGCGATTGCGAGACCGGAACGAGTGGATCGCTTAGCTCCGTCACCTCAAGTGCCGAACTCTTGAGGCCTGTGTATCCAAAAAGCGACAAAACAGTCAAACGTGAGGAATTCCAAAAGAGAGGGAATAAAAACAAGACAAAACAATCGAGGGGTTGCGTTATTGTCTCTGTGTCATGTGTTAGGTTGTCGGGTACCCCCCGTTCCTCCAGCTCCCGCAGCCCACCACTGGAGCTTCCTTGGACCCTACAGTTTCTCCCGGGGTTCTATTAGCCGCCCCGGGAAGAGGGGCTTGGTCCACTGCTGCCGCTAAAACCTGGGGGAGGGGCCGCAGCTGCGGAGAAGCATCAAACGATGCAGGGTATCATCGAATCATAGACTATTTACCAGCGGGAGCTTCGGGAGAATTTAAGTAGCGACATGTTGTGCATCCAGTCAGATGAGTTTGTGGCTACGGACCTGCCTGATGAGTCTTGCCGAGACGCTTGGCTCCAAATCCAGATGGTCTCCCCTCCTCGGACGTTGAAATCCGGGCGTGAAACGGTCAAAGATGGGCCGAGATCATGATGTATGATGTATTTGACGTGGGGTACGTTTCATGCGGCTTATCCATCGGCAGGCTGGTCTGTTGGTAGTACCAGGAAGAGAAGAACCCATTGTCATTTGCTGTGAACCGGGTGATCTCAAGATGCTTGGTGTACTTGCATACAGGACTCGGTCTATACAGCTGCACCAGGCCCTTGAAGAAACCCCTCTTGTGAGCGTGCGTTCAGAATCTTGAGTCCAGTTACGCTCATGAGGTCTTCTCGCTCAAGAGCGCGTCCTCGTAAATGTCGACTAAAGCCGATCAAGGCCAACTCATCGTCAACAAAACTCAGCCCAGTCCATACTTTTTCAGTCGTTTTCTCTCTGATGTAGCCATTTTGTATTATAGGAGACAATTTGACTCGCGGCTTGAAACTTATTGTAGCTCATCCAAAGCTATACACGTTACGCAGATCACAGTATCAGAGCTGGCTGATAAGAGCATTGAGCAACGAGAAGCATCCGGTGTACGAACACAAATTCTTTCTAGGATGGTTAAACTTAAGTTGCGCACCTCTTCTCAGTCTCCAAACAAAGATCTAGCGCTAAATGCGTGACTTCAGTGACGGATGGTCACGAATACCCTGAAGGTCTACAAACTGCAGAGATGCAAATATTGCATGACTTGACTGAAGAAACGTGCTTGATTACTGCTTGATTACTGCCTGTATACAGCTGTCCTGTGAAGCATAGCAAGAATTCTAAGGATGTATGGATTTTCAGAGAGACCCAGGGTAGCACTTCACATGTACCTTGCCAAAGAGAGGCACATCCCGATTAAGATCGCTTAGATTCCCGATGGATTTAAATCAGAAACATTTTTAAGCAACAACTACATTCGATAGGATCCGTCAAAGGGAGCCTGCCCACCCGATTACTGTTTTGAATGGTAATATGGTGAGAACTGAGATGAACGTTTTCACTGAGAGCACTATGACGGTTCACGCCTAATAAGGGTATCAAGACCAAGAGAGTAATACATATATCCTTATTTATTATATCAGTTTGTATAATATTATACCTTTAATCTCAGCTTAATCTTGTTCTGTATTGAGCCTGAGAATGGTGTTGAGATGAAGGCTCATCACATCCACAATGCTGTAGAAAATGAGCCAAAAAGAGTTGCACCTTTTGCTCTGAAGATTTATTCAACGTAGGAAAAGTTACTTATTTCTCACATCCGCTGCTTCACTTTTGCTCGAGTCGTTGCAATGTATCACATTCATTAGAACCAGGAGATGGTATTGATGAAAGACTTAAAGCCATATTTTTCTCATCTCATCATAAGTGAATGAATACCTGGTTGCATGGGTCAACATCTGATAACGATTCGCCAAGTTGCTGCCCATATTTCCCCATTAAGCCTAACGTTGGTGTAATGGTGTGGACCTCAACACCAAAAATGGTCATGTAATTTAATCACGAGAGCCTCTTCCACATGACCATAATAATCACCCAACTCATAATAAGACTTTAACAGCAGTTTTCTTCTCATCATCACTAATCCAACACAAACGATCAACATGCCTCGGAAAGCTCCTATTCACCACTTCTCATATCGCTCCCTAATCATCCCCCCAATCCTCCTAGCCGCAGCAACCATCGTCACTCTCTTCCTCCACTCAGATGTCAACTTTGCTCTTCTCTGGTCCCAATGCCACTCTCACGCCCGCCTTCCTGGTGTTAGTCGCATTCCAGGTCTCGGCACACCTCTATGCTATCTGATCAGCTTCTTCCGCGCCGCGCTTCACTCATTGCGCAGCCGCGCTGTTATGGGCGTTGTGTTGGCCTTTATCGGCGGTCTCTTGACAGTGAGCACCGTTGAATCAGCGCGTATCTGCAATGCGCCGAATGTTCTCATCGCGTATCCTACTGGTCCATGGTTGGTGTTTGATCTTGTGGGTGGTGCTGTCGTCTGGGAGCTTGTTATTATTCCTGCGTTTCTGCATCGCGCGAGAAGTGTTTTGAATGCACAGAGGAGAGATGAGGGTGGCGATGCGCATCAGATCTTTACGAGTCGTCATCTTCCTGATAGTGAACTCGTGGCTATTCCTATCAGTGTAGCGCTTGGTTACTTTCTTCCGTCTTTTCTTATGCTGTTCTATACAACTCCCGAGACGATCGGCATCTGGCTCTTCTTCCCGATCTATGTCGAAATCATTCGCCAGATTATTCGTCACACTATCGCTGCTCTGAGGAGAGTTGACCCAACACTCGTCCATCTCGCATCCAATCGGTGGTCTCTGTTGTTTGTTTACATACTGCCCTTGATCTGCTCGGTTCTGGCTCATGTTTCTTTCATCTGGAGCTTGACTCGACCCGACGACCGCAAAGAAATGACGAGATCAATCATTGTCTTTATTGAAGTCAACGCCCAGTTCATCTTCTGGACCGTTCTGTACTGGATGTTGGTGGAGGTTGGGTGGCGCGTTCCTTTGACAACAATCATCACTTCCATTGTAGTTGGACCTGGCGCTGGAACGTGCGTTGGGTGGATATACCGAGAGAAGCTCATTCATCACGACAACGAGGAAGACAATGGAGAGGATGCTCAAACAGCAGATGAGGAGACGCCTTTGTTGCAATGATTTGATACCCTGACGTTACTTTTATAGCCCTAATTCCTATAGACATGCTTCATGACTGATCAATAGACTCGAGTATCTTTACAGCTTGCAAGACTGTCATGTACAGGTCCAGACCTTTCTTATGGTACAGATATGATACAGATTAACCCACTCACCATGCTCAATCCTGTAGTCTTGACAATATCCTCTCTCTGATAACCTGTGATGCCACTACTGCTCCATGCTGTAATGTGATGGCACCAATGATGGCCATGATGGCACCGTTGAGCACGACATCGGCACCTGAAGCTCGGAGCTTTTGCACCTACTGCACGTTAGTCGAGTTACCGCGGACAGCAGATGTATGTACCTGTTTGGGCTTCCACCGCACAACATCGATCAATCCCACTTCAGCTGCCAAGCCAGATAGTCTCTCCTTGCCGACAACGTCCTTGGGTCCTTTGATGGAGAGATTGTCTACCGATTGCAAATTTGGATGCACGAATGGCTGGCGGTCAAATCCGTCGTCGAAATTCGGTGTTCCCATTGGACTTTGGGCAACAATTGTCTTTGTCGTCTCCATGACAAGAGTCATTCGTCCTGGTAGAGTCAGCATAGACCAACATTCATCCCTCGTCCCACCCACCTAGAAGCGCCAATCGGTCGTTGAATCCTCTTCGTCCCTGATCAAAGCTCTTGTGCGTAACAGCCAACCACTTGAGCTCCTCGGGCAGAAGTTTGCTGCCTCCAGGACCCAGTAGGCGCTCGTACACCTCGTCCAGCTTCTTGGGATCGTTGTTGACAGTCCAGACCTTGTTCTGAGGATTCTTTGCCCAGTCGAGTTGCAGAGGCGCCTTCATAGCGGCAGGCGTCTGGCTCCATCGTGGCACGACACCAGAGGAAGACGGTGTCTTGGTCCTGAAGGATTCGGGTGTCGAGTCGGTAGCGTAGGTGCGCACGCAAGGCATGAGGGTGCGGGCGGCATGCCTACTCCGCCAGAGGCCGGAACGGCAGGGTTGGAGGGCCATGGTGATGAATTGGGACGAGCCGGGCTGGGGGTCAAGGCTCGAATTGCATCTGATGTTCACTATCGAGATGGGGCTAAATGTGAAGCTTGGCCGCGAACATTTTCTCGAGGTCACGTGAAGGAAAGTGACACCGCTGTGACCCCACCTTTATCAACACCAAGTTTACGCCAAGATGGATGATCTGGAGCTTCACTTTTTTCCGCTAGGAACATCAGGCTACACGCCATTTTATCTCTTGTCAAAAATACGATTAAGATAGAAATGAACAAGCCAATAATCTAAAGCAAATGACTTTCTACATACAATCAGGTACCCAGAGGAATACAGGCTCAGATCGAAAATTCCCGCCCAAATCAGATTTCCAGTGCGGGAGCTCCTCTGTACTTACTCCTCGTCCTCGATCTTCGTCTCATCCTCATCCTCCTTACCGCCCTCTTTATCCTTGATCATCTTCACCTCCTCTTCTCCGTCCCCCTCCGTCTCAGTCACCTCGTCCTGGTCAAAGCCGTCACGGTATCCAACACACACTCGCATAGGAAATGCGACAGTCGCAACGTGGTAATCATATCCATCTTGATCCCCATAAAACACCAGCATAGGCGACACAACCAGATCGACAGGCCGACCATCGTATGTAGCATCGTCGTCGCCGCCAGCTGATTGCATCACGTTTCCAGCGTGGAATCCCTCGACTCTGGCTGAAAATGGAAATCCATATGCCTCCTTGGTCTTGGGGTCATGAAAGACATTTCGAAGAGTCTGGCGACCGCAGTCGAACTTCAACTCGAAATTGACAACCGTTTCTGTGAGAAGTGAGAGCATCTTTTTACAGAAGGGGTCAGGATTCTCAGGGAAGTATTGGCCAAGCGCTTTCTCCAGGATCTTGACCACGCATCCCGGCTCAATCCTCTTTTCAAATTGGCCCACTTCTTCAATGGAGTAATAGAGCTCGATTGTTGTGTATCGCCAGTTGGGATACTGGAAACTCCGTGTTTCCTCGTCGTAACAGAAGTTTTTCTCTATGGTCAAGGTCAGTCCCACGAATTAAAGGACTTTTTTTTCATCTCTTTTTTTTTCATCTTACCTCGTAAGATGCGCTCCATCGTGGCTTGAGCTTCCCAATACGGCGACGTCCACTCAATGTCCTGACTCTTTCTAGACAAAAAGTTCTCATCAATGATCTCCCAGATCCAACGTGCAAACATAAACTGACGTATGAGAGGTGTCTCAAAGAGCTGTTGGGCATGAGGCGAATATCCAATGAACTTTTGCTGAGTGGCCTCGTCAAGACTATCCCAGGGAAGATCCTTGAAACCAGCTACCTCTGAGATCTTCATAATGCGACTATGAAGCTGGTCCCATATCTTGAAAAGGTAACCTTGTTGGTACCCTAAACCAACCTGCAACTGAAGAGCCCGCCGGAAGTCTTCAAGACCCTCATCCATGTTCTTGAATTGACTCTTAGCTAATTCAGCGCTGGCCTGTCCTTCCTTTTGCTGTGCTTCTTTCCACACTGCTTCTTCTTCGCCCAGCTGTTGTTCCGATGCACGGTTCGGCGATGCATCTTTTGGCGATGGATTATCCAGCGATGCCTTCGAAAACGTCAGTTCAGAACCGAATATAGACGGCTTTAAAGTGGCTACTCACTCTGCCGATCCCTGGGTCCGAAGGTCCTTCCATGGCGCTCCCTCGCGTCTTTTTGTTCTTCCCTGGAACCACCTTTTCCTGATCTTTTGACGTTCTTGCGATCTTGGTGACTTTGTCTTGGTCAGGTTGATTGCAAGACTCCAGTCGCTTGGATCTTCGAAGGCCAGCCATGTTCTGAGAAGAAAGAAAGACGCGATCGCCGCTGTGTGAGAAATTTGGGGGAAAGGAGGATTGTTTCGAAAGCTACCGATTTCGAAAGTGCGAGCGGCCTTTCACGTTATGTACTCATCCTTGTCTAAAGTCGATTGCCTTCCGGGGGGGAAAATACAACCTGCTGACTTACACCAAAATCCAGTCTCTTGTTTCCTACCCCCCATCCCCGTAACACATGACCACAGGAGTACAGAACCAAGCACCACAGACTGCCAGATAAAGGAGTGAGTTTCTATGTATGACAAGCGGCCGTGTGGCTGGACAAACAACGCCTCTGCTGGGATAGTTTCCGCTCTGTTGATCGTCTGCTGCATGGACAAGAGGCAACCCGAGACTAGCATCATCTGCATTAGAGAGGTGAGTAACAAGCTTGTCGATGAATCATGCACCTTTCATTTTTTTCTTTTATTGTACTAGGAGGGGGTGATGAAACTTGTTTCTTCATTGGTGGCATCTTGGACAAAGAAACGCCAAATCTCTATTCACACAGCCCGTGCCTCCCGCATGATGGCCTTTTCCCTTCGCAATATCGCAGATGCCGTCTCTCATTGGCTTGATTGTCTTGTTTTGAACGTGTAGCTCAGGACATGTAACTGAGCTAATGTAGCTTCCAGCCATGAGGCGGGTATCCAAGCAAGTCTCCGTTAAGGATGCCCTGATGAGTGGCTGTTTTGGAATACACTGACCAGCACAGTATCCCTTTCCCCCTCTGCCTTGTTCCACAACTGAAATATTGGGATTGACCGACATTTCATTCTATTGATGCCTTGTAATGACCCCTCAGATGCGTGATGAGTCGTATCGTTACCTATCATATCCTCACTGGCCTGCCGTGCATGGCAGGGCAAAAGGTCTAAGTTGTGATGCATCGGATAAGTCATACATGGGCTGCACTGCCTGCAAGGTTTCTGTTCCGGGGTACTCATAATACCAGCGCAGCTTAAGCTCCCTCATCTCCTGTCCGTCAGACGCTGAAACTTTCCATCTGACTTTCCTTCAACCTGTATCGATTGAAGGGTCAAAGAGATATGGCTACTTCAGAGAACTCATCCCAATCCGGGAGCAGAACCCGTGTCATTGTCGGATTAGATATTGGAACCACGTAAGTCATACAACACAACTCTTGATACTCACTTTGCTCACTCAACTCTGTAGGTTTTCTGGAATTTCGTATGCGGTATTGACGCAAAACCCGGATCGACCGACATCCTTCTGGTGGGAAGTTGACGGCAAAAAGTCGCAGAAAATCCCAACCAAAATCGAGGTCTCTGAAATCCCTATCGAATGGTTTAAGCTTAGCCTGCTGCATCGTGATGATCTACCATCGGATGTACGAAACTCACCCAAGTTTATTAAATTAAACAATACCCGGGAAGCTATGAATATCACAGCCGTCAATGCTACAGCGGATTACATTAGCAAGATCTGGAATGTCTTCCGTGACAAGCTTCAAAAAAGAATCCCCGACCCTTATATCCAGATAACAGTCACTGTTCCTGTGGTTTGGCCTAGAAATGCTCGTCAAAAGATGAATGAGGCCCTCCATGAAGCACGTATCCTCAATGAGAATGTGGTACTGGCTCCCAAATTCCTTGCTGAGCCAGAGGCTGCGGCTCTGGCATTCTTTTCTGCGGCATACTACCTACAAGAGACACAAGCAAGAACGACTTTCTATAATCTTGGTCATCTGTTTATGCTTAACACGCCCCTAGATCTCCAAACTTCAACCTGGACATGTTGCCATCGTTTGCGACTGTGGCGGCGGTACCGTTGTAAGTTTTCCGTCACCCTACCTAAGCTTCCTTGTTTGGTGCTCATCCCCCCTCAAGGACACGGGCGCCTATGAAATATGCTCCGTTCGCCCCTTCCGTGTCAAAGAGGTGCTTCCTGGCCAATGTATCCTTGCCGGAGCTTGCATTCTCGACGATGCATTCTTGCAACTTCTAAAGGACAAGGTCGAGACGATGACCTCTCCCCGGGCATTCCAGGCCTTGACAGAAAAGGATCTTCACGGCATAGTCTACAACCACTGGGAGCTTGATATAAAGGGGTGCTTTAATGACAACTTCCCTACCAAGCATATTTACCTGCCTATCAAGTGGGCTGCGAGCCGCCACAAAAGAATGCCCGTTGGCCAAGGAGACGATATCACATTCACCCAGTAAGTGACTGAGACTCGTGTAGTGTCTTATGAGCTGCAACGGATATACATCATGCTAACAGTAAATTCAGTGGTGATCTTGCTTCGATCTTTAACCCCATTGTGGGAAAGATCACAAGCCTGATCGAGATGGAGATGCAGAAAATCTCCAGCTCGCTTTCGAAGGACGTGTCGGTGAGTGAAATGCCTGCAAAGCCCGTATTGAGCACCGCCCACTAACATGAAGATCACCAGCACCTCATCGTGGCTGGAGGTTTCGGCCAGAATGGCTACCTGCGACAGAAAATTGTGCAGACAGTGAACAGAGTTTCTCCCACCACCAACATCCTCGACTATCCAGGCGGACAAGGGTAACTCTCCCACCCTTCCTTACACTCAGATAACTGACCGTGCCATGAAGCTGGAATGCTGTGTTTTGGGGAGCCGTTATCCAGGCTCTCAAAGCACAGGCGATTCAGCAACCGGTCCTAATAACCTCCAGAATCGTCAGAGCTAGCTGGGGAGTGCGTGCTAGCCACGGGAACTCAATATTCTGGCTCGTCCATGAAGTTAGTTTTTCTTTCAGGTTCATACTATTAATATCTCACTGACAATCCCCCAAACAGAATGAATCCCTTGACACCACCAGCCCTAATCTACGACCTATACCCGTAGAAGCTCTCTCGGCCGAGGATCCCGCCAGCGGTGACATTTTCAGTATTCGTGTCTGCCGCACACAGCAGAATGCAGGCCAATACCATCAAGATGTCTGTCGACTCAGCTGGAAGACCGTTGATGTTGGGTTAAAGTCCGACATGAATGCTGATCTGAAAGCCCCTTTGCAGATCGAATTTATATGGGACGGGGCAGAGATGGGATTCTCGCTGATTTATGGTGGTGTTCAGCAGAGCTCGGTGAAGGTCGAGCACAGTTGGGAATTTTGAGCAGCGGTTGCCTTTCGTTAAACCTAGACCCTATGCCTAGGGTTTGTCAACACAATTGGTCGTAGTGGAAGCAGATCTTGGTATAAATACCGAGGCTTATCTGGTCATGTCTTTCATTCGGTCTAGGTAGTTTTGGAGATTGTCAATACAGGAGCGAGGTTGAAGAATGTGTATATTCATGGATGTGCCCTAGTGATGAGACGTACCAGTCCAACAATTGACAGATCAACCTTTGCCCTCAGAACATCACTGATGCCGTCTCTCATCGGTTAATGGTCCTATTTTGAACCTTGTGGCTAGGAAATGGCAGATTGTACGTAGCTCACCCAAGTTCATCAAAGGAAGGAAGGACCGGGGATGCGGGGATCACAGTTCCCAAACCTACTGCGGTATACATTCCCAAACTGTGGCTGCCTTGAGTAGAATTCTTTTCATCTTCAAAAGAAAATTTCCAATACTTGTATTCAGCCTACGGTGCAATTCCTGTTGTTTGGGCTATATATGTTTGCCAACTGATGCTTGAGGCCATTCCTGAAGCACCTACCTAGGGAGGAGACCAGGTGGGCTTTCACGAGAGAAGCCAGTTAACACAGTAGCTTTCCGAACCAATTAATTGGCATGCCCTGCAGAACTTCCATTTATCAACAATCAACTTTACGCCTGACCAAGGAGGAGTCTAGTGGGAGGCGGCGGCAAAGCCTTGGGAGCTTTTGCTGACCTTGAAGCTAGCGTCGACTTGGGAGCTTCTTGAGTCAGAGGTAGTCGAGCAGCCTTGGGGGCATCGGAAACACGCGGCGCAAGAGCAGTAGCCAGAGCCCTAGCGATTATAGGTACCAGTGCAATAACTGGCAGAGGTGCCGACAGTGGGATAGGAGCAGCATAGGGTCCAGGAGCAATGCCAGGTACACCCCGAGCTACAGAAATCGGCACGAGGATAGGGGTAGGGGCGACGACGGGAGGAGATGCCACCGCTGGGGTCTTTGCAATTCGAGGAGTCTTTGCAGTCGACGGGATAATAGTGTTGCCCACCAAAGATCGAACACTTGGAATAAGCGCGACCTTAGGAGTCGATCGAACTTTGGGCACACGACCTACACTCGGTGTCGTTCTGACAAGGGGAGCATTGACGACAGTCGGAGTAACTTCAAGCGCGGGCGCTTTGGCGACATCGGGAGCACGATCGACTTCTGGAGCCGGTAGAGTCTGCGAGACCTGACGTGAACGAGGAGCTGCATCGGTCGTCGAAACCTGTCGAGAGCGAGGCGTGATACCAGCACGAGAAACTTGTCGCGAACGAGGCGATGGCATAACAAGAGGACTCTCGGGGATAGCAGGTAAGATTCGTGCTGGAGTTTCTGGGCTTCCTGGCGCTGGGCCGGTTTTTGGAGTGGTGACCCGGCCAACTTTCACAGGGTCGCCGTCTGGTATCTCCGTTGCAGTGGGAGTGACAGGACGGTTGAGCGTTGCATTCGACCCCTGACGACGGAGAGAAGCGTTGGAGCCCCGGCGGCCCAGAGTTGGAGTTGTAGGACGGCGGCCGAGGGTGGGCGTCGTTGGTCGACGGGTTGGAGTACTAGGACGTTCTGGTTGTCCCTTACGAATGGGACTGGTTCGTCGTTGAGAGGACTGTGTGCCCATTGCATAGCGAGGGGAGTCGGCCATGTTGACACGAATGTGAGTGTGGAGGATGTATGCTTCAAGCTGATCTTTAACAGGGCACAAGTCGGAGGGAAACTAAGAAATCCTCCAGCTCAGCTGAGAATTGCGGCATTATATGCCCTTCTGCAAGCTGCCAACTCATCGTCCTCCATACTCGATCCCTCATTCTGAAACAGGAATACACGGGAAAGTCCGGGCGGGTGGTCGCTTTGCTTTTTCTTTAGATGAATCAACCTCAACTACTCGTCAATCATGAGGCAATGTGATGCGTTGACTGGGATCTGTAAGTTTACCCCTGTCTTGACGGCTGATTAGCTCCCGGATGATGTGCAGCTCTAGTGTGAGGCTGGGGTATCCCTGTAACGGATCGATGGATGAAGATGAGCATCACAGCGTTTTCCGACGAACAATCATATTCAGCAGCTAATTGGAGCACAGTTCCCGATTTTATAGGGAGAAACGAGTGAAAGATGTTGAACAATCAGTACTATACCAGTGGCACTGTCTACTTCATCTTCCTCCAACTACTCTTACCACTCACCACCGTCCTCTTATTCTTCTCAGGAACCGTGTATCCTCTGTCCCTCTCCAATCGATGTCTTTCCCAAAAGTCACTCATTTCCTCTCTCAACATTCCCTTCCCACTTCTTGAGTCCCTCTCCTCCCTCTGTCGCTCATTTCGTTGCGGCAGCATATCGGCAACCTTTGCAACAGCAGGCTTACACAGTGTTCTCCACACCCAAGACATCATGTGTCGGTACATGTGGGCAAGCCACTTGATCAGAAGTCGAGCATTTGTGCTAAAAGCTGCCACGAGAGAAAAGACCACGAGGGCGAAACTAGCGGGTAAAGAGATTGCGCCGATGGTCTTGAGCGACAGGTTATTCTCACCACCCCATTCTTGAGTGTTCATACCGAAGAGACCGGTAAAGAAGGTCAACGGGAGGAATATGACTGTAAATGTGGTAAAGATCATGACACTGCGACTCTGCGCACTTGCAAGGTCGGCGTGAAGCCTACTCAGCCGTACCTCATCAACCTGCGCCTGTCGCTGAACCATCTGAAGCAGTTTGTCGTAGTCGTTCCTCGTACTTCGGACTCTCTGAATCATCTCTTGAGCTTGGTGTGTATACTCTGAGACTTTCTTGATTGCTTCACTCAGGAACAGTCTCCCGTTTGCAGTACGGTCACGCAGTTCCGGACGAGTGTAAGTAGAGAGCATAGAGCTGACGACTTTAGACTGACGCTCAAACAGATGAACCAGAATAAGAAGTTCATCCTCGATATCTCGAAGTTCAAGGAGAGCAGATGTGTTGTCCCGGTTATCCTCTTCTGCTCGACGGCCTTCGGCTTTATGGCGTGCTCTGATGGAACGAGCTTTGTTCTCAACTGGCTCATAGGCTGACGCTTTGTCGCGGAATCCTTCGGCACGAAATGTTTTGAGCGATGAGGTGAGTTTTTCGGTCTAAAGGTTAGCATGGTTTACAAAATGAGATTGCGGCATGATACAATCGCGCAAAATATGTGAGGGTGACATACCAGAACGCTGATGGCCTCTTCAAAGATTCGAAACACTTCAAGATCTGGGTGCGAAGATCTGTCGAGGAGGACTGTAACAGCATGGAGGACTGCTAATGCTGCCAGGTCCAGAGCATTTTCGCATTGCCGGGTGAGATCGACGTTGACTTCGTTAAAGATGCTGTCGCGAAGATCTGCCTGCTGATACAGAGGCCCTTCAATGGCATCACCCTCCCGCTTCGGGAAGAAGGAGAGTAGGGTATCTGAGGGTCAGCTTAGGGTCAATTCAGGGATATATCACTTACGAGAGTCTATGGCCCAAAGCCACACCTGATCCACCATGAGAACATTACCGTTGAGTATAGAGTCCTCGCAACCCTCCTCGTCTTCCCCATCCTGGCTGCTAGTTTTAGATCGTCGACTGCCACTTCCGCTACTCCCGGAACTACTGTTCGACATTTGCCCATGAAGTCCTGGGCCCAAACCGGGAGCAAATGTCCGTTCCTTTGTCAGTTTGTACAGCATCTGATCATCATCTCGCGACCGAGTGTCCCTCAACGATGGGTATCCGTACTGATCTAGTGTTCGCCGACAGTTGAGGGGTGGATCGTGGCCCAAAAACTCCCAGATCACCTGCGATTCAAGAGAATCAGACTTTGCCACAGATTCGGGAACAGGTCTGGCTCGCCCATGGCCGAGACGCTGAAGGATGAGTTCTCGTCGGCGAATGAGTCGTTTGTACGAGTCAAAGTGAAGATACGGGAGGAAGAGACAGGTGTAAATTCCCCCTTCTGGCTTGGGCGATATCGATGATTGTTTCGAAGATCGACCTCGAGGTGACACTACACGGTCAGTTTGGACTGCAAGATATGAGTCAACTTACTGTGCCGAGGAGCTGAAAAGTAACAGCCTGGTTTCGCAAAGTACGCATAGTGTTGAGAGTGTCGCCCTCGAGAATGCCTCGTCGCCCAGAAGTCATTGTTGAACAGAGGAGCATAATTGCGGTTGTTTGCTGTCTGCAAAGTCTCGAATATTTTCTACTGAGGTCAGTCATCCTATCAACTAACTGTCTTCAGGCTGCTTACCGTCACCCAGCTGGGATTATTATACGGCAGATGAACCCACATAAACTTGCGGGTTTCAATGTGAGGTTTCGAAAACGCAACAGGTACTTCATCCACGATTACCGTCTCACTGGCTCTCCTCTCGCCATTATTAGCGGCCTTTCGGATAGCAACGATCGCTTCTGGCAGCCTCGGAGATGCATCGATATCGTCATCGTCGCTGAAACCCTCTATGGTGCTTCGACTTCGCTGTGAGAATGGAGGAAAGTCCTTGTACTCGTATTGTGAGGCTTGAGTTCCCATGCTGACAGACCTGCTCAGAGATCGACCCATCCTTCCACGAGGAGGAGGTGATAGACGATCGACAGCCAAATCCTGCTCAAAATTGGCACGGATAAGCGGCGAAGGACGTCGCATTGGTGTTGAGTAGTGTGTGGGTGGTGATATCGCCGCTGGTGATAAAGGTGTGACGGGGGATCTTGCTCCCGCCTGAGGTGCTGACTCTGATCTTGTCTTTTCTGCATCAACAGGCCGTATGACAGGGGATGCAGGAGGACACAACTCGACAGATCCTTGCGAGATCCCAAGAGGGTTGTCGTGTGTTTCATCAGCAACTTTCTCAGTCGGCAGCATCGTTGTTTTCCCTCGATTCCTCAAGAACCTGCCTTCATCAACCGTCTCAACTTCGTTCAACCTCTCGGCCAAACACTCCTCTGGTCCCTTTCTCAAGAAATCTCGGAGTGGCAGTCGCGTAGACCAAGCTCGAATCGTCGCCACATCCAATGGACCCGGGGGATCTTCAAAGAATCCGTGAACCTCGACGTTTACCTTTTGCTCGAGATTCAGAGACCAATTTCCATCCTCACGAGAGTACTCGTCTGCACGTCCGATCAGAGCCGACAACTGCTTCAGAAACAGACGCATCGTGTGGACATTATGACGCCCGAAAGAAGCAATATTGGCATGATCACTCTGAAGTGGGAGAATGGTCTCTTGTCGCATGCCAAGAATAGCAGACTTGATTGAGGTTAGTGGTGCGGTGAAGTAGACATCTCCCGAGCTGCCTGAAAGACGAGAGTCGATAGTCTCATATAGCGTCCAGATGCGAAATTCGTGTGCTATCGATTTGAAGTCGTCGTCTAGTTGGAGAAGAAGGTTGTTTCCCACACGAAGGTCGTCGGTTATTGATGTCGGCATAGCCGCTGACAGTTGAAGCAGATTCTGAATACCCGTTGCAAGACTCGGCATGGCAAAGTAACTCGATCCTTGATGAGGAGTGCCTATTCTGTTAGCATGGGTCAATCAGAGATGTATCACTTACCAAAGAATGCAGCACCATAACATTGCCTGTAGATATCCTCAAACGACGGGTCTCTGCTCGCCTTTGTCAACACCATCTTGATAATAATACCGCCAATGCTATGTCCCACAAACACAACCGGTCTTGTCTGCTGCTCTCGTTTTCTCAAATTTCCCAACTCCTCCAACAATGCATCAGCCAGAGTACTCAGCCTCGTATCGTCAGTCGTCGATGGATGCTCATACAACAGAATCCGAGCTCGATCGGCTTCACGACGAAGTCCTTGGCGAACCCATGATGGAGCTGGTCGATCAGCATCAGAGGCTGCACCTTCGGCGTCGCGCATAGACAATGCTCCGTAGTATCGACTCATGAGACCATCGCGACTCCATGTTCGAAGGGGATCTGCTCCGGGACACGGAACAGTTACAATGTCGACAGTTGTTTGATCATGAGTGAGCTCTCCTTCTGGATCAATAACAAATCTGGCCTTTGACACCACCTCTTCTGTTCCCGTCGACTCTTCACTAATTTTCCCTTCAGGTTCTCTCCTTGTCGTGTAATCATTCAGTGGCGGAAGTTGACCTGGGGGACTCCCTGGGTTTACACGAACCGAGTCCTTGTCATTGCTGAGCTCTGGCTCGGGTGAGTCCACTGTATCCATGTCAACAGTGTGAGTCCTATAATTTTCCCGGCGTCTTTGCCTGGGGAGTTTTGGTCGAGAGGCTTGAGACATGAGAACGTTGATCGAAAGTCATGAACCAGATGGTGTTGTTCGAAGTATCAACGGTATTCAAATCACTCAAAAGTCACTCTGAGTCATCCGCACAAAACATCAGCCTGGCTTAGCCCGCTCGTGACAAAAGTCCATTTTCAAAATAATATCCGATTCCCATATCAATTGTTGATGTGCTAATATTATCTCTATAGGCTGACTCCGTAGATCCTAGAGTGGGGTGTCTGAGACAAGGTTAGTCAAATGACTGCACCACCTGAACCATCCCGATGACTGCCTGCTAACCCGTTTCAACCCATCCCAATAACCACCAATGCTTTTTAAACACCATCGATAAATAGCATGCAGATGTGCGATGCCGAAATGCGCCCTCAACTCCAATCAAAAGGTATGTATCCGAACCAAACGCCTTTACTGCAGTGAAAAATCCCCGATAGTAGTGCAGTGCACCACAGAATCCATGTATAGTCGATTCTCGACCTTGCACGTCTGTCCTGGTCTAACAACAAACATGCCATTGGGGCCAAGATTAAATGTCTTTTCGTTCATCGTGACCCGAATCTTTCCTGAGGCGACGGAGCATGTTCGCAGTTTGTCGTCTTCAACAGCCCAATGATTAGCGCTGCCGGGTTTGAGAACCATGATGTTGAAGCTGACGTCCTCGGAAACGGTGACGGGTTGACCGCTGGTGAGATACGAGTTGGAATAGGCGACATCTGACCTGTTAGCTGCGCCTCACAGACAACGGGAAACTCACTGTCTGAGGAAGATTCATCCTTTATCCTTCCTGGAGCAACCTCCCAATCCTCCATTTCCAATTCAACGCCGATTTCAGGTCTGCCCATGATGGTAAGTGTTTGGTCTCTCATGGCAACGTCATTCCCAGAAGAACGTCTTTTTCTTCGCTTTGGCTGGACCTCGGTCATGGTGTCAACACCCTCAAAATCGTCGAGATCCATCGGAGGATTCAGTTCCCCAGAAGAAGACCTCGATGAACCAGAAGCCCCTCGTCCCAGTTTTGGCTCAGGACACCAGTCACAACCGTTTGAGCGTCGCTGCAGATGACACCAGTATCTGCATCCCACGCAAGACTCTAGAGCAGAAAATGCTTGTTTCGCTGACGTAGACATGCCAATTGGGAGACGGATGCAGGGTTGCGATAGTCGTGCAGATGGTCGAGTGGTATTAACCATGCACTGCTCGCTACCAACCACAACTGTACCTGTGAGATACGCTACTGCACAGGAATAATGAGTGACATCCAGGTTGCTTCCCCGGTGGGTATGCTTCCAACTCTCGGGCAGCTCACGTCTGCGAGGCAATGTCAACATGAAATTGATGTCCTCTCGTTGGTGAGACTTTTGGGCTGGACTGAGGTGTTGGTGGAGATATTGCTTCACCTCCGATTCTTGCATAGCTTGAGGCAGGCAGGTGCGATCCTGTGAGCGTGTTGTCTTTCTTTCCTGTTCGGCAGCTCGAGATACTCGGTTTTGCTGGAATGAAGCGAACACAGACAATCCTGGATCAACTGGAGGTGGCGCATCAGGAGGGAGTGGGTTTCTGGAAACAACAATCCCAGGTGTGCCTCCAGGACCATCCTTCTGATAGCTACCGACCTTGGACAATGTGCCATCTCCGTTGTCATTGAATGTCGTCGAACAATGGCCAGCGCCAAAATGTCCACCAAGACCATTGAGTTTGCCAAACACGCGGCGGCAATCTCGCACAGGACATACGTATGGAAGTTCAGGGTCATCGTGAAGTTTGTAGTTTGCCGGAATAAGTGCCCCGCGAGCAGAGGTAGAACCACCTTCGGGGACTGAGTATGTTAGATCAGCTCGATGCAGTTGATTTCGAGGACCTACAGGGATATACAGTGTAGGCCCGACCAGGTTCAGCCATGATGATTGCCTCCAATCGAGTATCAGGGACTAAAGAATCAGGCGATCTTGCTGGTCCAGGTGTTGGTGATGGTGTCCCTTGGCCAGTGTACTTTTTGAGCAACTCGGCCCCGGTGAGAGAAACCACCGGAGATTGAGATGAATGATGCATGGCGCTCTTCTTGATAGCTGCACTGTTGATCTCAGCTAATTGTCTAGCGACTTCGTCTTCCGTAAAGCGACGAGCTTCACGAACACGTGCGTAATCAGCGGGAGTCCTTTTTGGGAGAAGGTCTGACGGTGAGTTTCTCTTTTGAGGGATCACTTGAGACGATTCAGAAGCCTTTGAGAGGTATTGTGCTGGTCATGTCAGAAATGAACGACGCCTTAAAAGAGACATACACTGTCTACGTTCCCATTCAGACTGAGCTGCTTGAATTCGAGGGTTACTTGATAGTATACCAGCCGCTGAAGCTTTGACGGCTGCGCTACCGACGATGTCGCTGACGATACGTGAAGGTTCCGGGATGTTGACGTTGGCTTTGAGGGCTGGATTCCATGGTATAAAGCCTGTGTTCTTTGTCATTGAAGGGTCTTCATTGCCGAGCATTGTAGGGTCAAGTATTGGCTGTAGGTTGCGAAAAATCCCATGGGCGAGTGCAGAAACGGACTGAGATGTGAAATGAGGGAACGAATAAGAAGCCCAAGTCGGGTTGCACACGGGTGAGATGAAACGCTGAAGTGAGTGAGGCTGATGATGAAAGTGAACTGGAGACGCGCCGACGCGAACGAGGTTATAGCGCGGTTAGGGGCCTAATGTACCTCGCTGCAGAAATAAGGTGCGAGATACCTCCCCAGGTCCCCTCCAACAGTGACCTAACTCCGCCAACGCAGTATTATCACAATTAACGTTACATGCAATCAATACCGTTTGGGAATTTACAAACAGATCTATTTTCAGGTTCACTTCTACTGCAGTGATTCATGATTTCGACATGTCTCATAATGTACAGCTATACATACACTTGTCCACCTATTCTACAGCCTCTTCCGTCGCATCTAACGGCTATTTCTTCTTTGAAGCCTTCTTCGCCTTCTTAGCTTGCTTCTGGCTAAGCATCTTGACAGCCTTGATCTCCCCACCACTCTCAGCCCTCTTCTGCTCCGCCTTTCTCTGCCCCTCGAGTTCCCTCTCCCGTCTCCATCGTCTATGTCTGAACCACTGCTTTCGCGTCCTGAACCTCTTGGTCTTGAGACCCGTCGTCTTGGCCAGCTTTCCAATAGCCCAGTTATCTTCACGATAACTGTAGTCCTTTCGCAGCTTGAGCAATCTGTCTGGTTCGCCCGCTTCGACACGGTTGACCTGGAAGGGTATTCCGGACGGCGAGATCTCGGGTTGGGCGGCGACTTCTTTGATGGGGAAGGCGGTCATGTTTAGTTTTCGCTTGCGCTGGGCGTGAGCGGGATATGGTAGCGTGTCGTTCTTGTCGAAGACTACGCCGATGTATTTGCGGTCGGGGTGTAGTGAGGGATCGCGGTAGTATTTGACGTATCCGGTTGCCATTGCGTGAATGGTATGATCTCGGCCCATGATGCAGTTCTCTCCAGGCCACCAATGCGTACCGCGCTGTTTGTAGAGGATGTTTCCAGGAATGACGAATTGATCTAAAGGTCAGCCCAGCCCGGTCCATTCACAGCGTAAACATACCTCCTGTACGCTTTGCACCGAGCTTCTTTGGAATACCCCTCTTGGGCTTCTTCTTGTATGCTCCCTGTGACTTGACCGAGGCAAATCGATGACCTTGGACGAGGGAATTGGCCAATTGGACACCCAGGGGAGTGACAGGTGTGAAAGCCGGCCTGGCTAGACTAGCCACAGCAGCCAATATTGGCCGCTGCATCGTGAGGAACCTCATGCCGGCGATTCGTGACGATATGGGCTGAGTGAGGTTGGCAACGCTTGATCCTCAATTGATGGAGTTTTTGCGCTTAGTCATCGCTTATCGATAAGGATGTGGACAGCTTCCCTAAACTCCAGCTGTAACATCAACATTGGTCTGTAGAATAATCATCAACAAAATGCGGTATCTTTTTGCTGTTCTGTCTCTCTTGACTTTGGTCAATGCCCAATTTGGCGGCTTCTTTGATCAAATGTTTAATCAGCAAGGAGGCCACGAACACCATCAAGCGCAACAGCAAAACAACCCAAGCGATGCGAACCACTACAAGCAGAATTACGAGAACTGTAAGTACATCTACCACTTTTTGACTCTGCTAACATGTACAGCTGTCTGCGACAAATACCTCTGCCCCGATACTCTCGCATGCGTCCACTTTCCTCACCACTGTCCCTGCGCTTGGGATGCTCAGCAAGAAAAGTTCGAATTAGCTGATGGACAGCGTCTTTGTGTTTCTCGTGGTGGATTCCGGCCAGGCGAAACAGCTCGAAAGATTGAATTAGCAAGAAAGGGATTACTGTGAACCATCGACAATAAGCATAACGACACCACGAACGACACCAGATACGAGTGGATAATCGTAAATATTAGGAAATGAAGCATGTCCTCTACCGATGAGACTATGTGCCCTTTGTCTCCATCAGAATCTTGAAAGCGAGCGAGTAATCAGATAACCTCACACTCCTCCTCTGCCAACGCCCAATAATGATATCCTCAAAACTCCATCCTAATGCCCTAGCCAGCTCGCAGCCCTCATCATGCTTCCCCAGCACCCTACGCAGTACCGTTGGGCACGCGCGGTACCTGTGGCACATGCGGCACCTCACCCTCGTCGTCCTCATCCTCATCCGGGAGCGTCTCGGGGTGGCCCAGGAGCTGGGCCACATTTTTCATTTCGTAGTGTCTCTTTCGGAGCTGTTCAAACTTTCTGTGCTTCTCACGCTCCTCGGGAGACATGCCCGCCAGCTCCTCCTCCGCGTTGTGGCCGATGCTGCTCTCGTCGTCGACGTGGACGCTCTTTTCGCTGCGGGGTGACGGCGCGCCCGCTTCCGGGATCTCCTCTTCCGGTTCGCCCAGCGAAAGGCCCGGAATGTCATCTTCACGGCTTGGACGTGAATTCTTAAGACGAGCACCAGCGTCCGCCAGAGGATCCTCGTCTTCGTCCGACGGGTCTTCGGCTGGGTCGTAGTGTTTGGCATAGGGAGTCTTTGGTTCTGTGATCTTCATGGTAGAGGAGCGCTCCTGCTCCGTGAGGTAGAGGTTTGCCTCGTCCCACTTGAGCCGTTGGGAGGGTTCGAGAACGTCTCCGATGGAACCGTTGGCACCTGATTGTCGGCGGGATCCAGAGGGGCGAGCTCCAGAAGAGGAACGACGGTGACCAGCGTTGATTTGAGTGTTGGCGATGGTGAGCTCCTTGTCGCTGGCAGGTCGATCGTGGCTCGGTGAAGTGGGAGGAGATTTCTGGTACGAGTTCTTGAGGATGCCTAGAAATGTTAGAGAGGTCAAAGATGGCGTCAGGCAACTCACCTCGAGGTCGTTGAGGAGGATGGGTGGGAGGCGAGTGCGCCGGGGGAGAATCAACAGCAGAAGCCATTTTGGTATAGTCGGAAGCTTGAGTTGAAAGGGTTAAAGCCAGAGCTCAAGCCCAAGGCGTTGTATCTGAGATAAAGTGCGGTTGAACGTGATGTTTGCCTGTGATGTAGTCGCGAGATCAGGTTGAAAGATGAAACACTGTGCTCGTGAGCAGATCATCAGTAAAAGAGGCGGGGAGGGCCTATAACATCCAATGACGCAGTGGCCTGAGACCCCAGGATTTGGAGGGGCTGGTACGTACCAAGCCTTGATTAACGGCGTGTGATGCTAAACGAATGATGGCGATTTATGAAGATAATAAGGATTTCTCTGTTAATCCCGTTATTCTAACCTTTTCAGTCAATTTTTTTGGTCGTACATAACGGTTGTGACGGGGATACCCTTGTCGTCCCATTTCTAGTACACCCTCTTTGATGCAAGAAACATCTGGAATATCGTGAGATTACGCACGTGAATGCATTAACGAGTTGTTATCTCGCGATTTAGAAGTTTGTTATCACAATTGTATTCTCATCATCTTGAGATTGCAATATGGCAAATCACGAAAAGACCTGATATCGTTATTCGCAGCGTCAACTTGCCGGTCTCAAAATACGTCATTTTCCCAATGAAAGGGTCGTCACACAGCCGAATGTTTAGAGGGGAATGGTTGGATGCGATGCAACCTCGTTCGTCATTCGAAAAACCACTCAAACTTGAATGATTGGCCATCTCTACGATGAGATGAAACGATATTGATCTTCCTTGGTCTACATCTTGTAAACCGCTCATGCCAGCATACCATCAGCGGCATGCATCTTGCCAGCAAACTCCAGATAATGCAGCCCAGAAGCATGTCAACTACTTGGTTGAGTTGTGAGTTGTTCTCAATCATCTGTAAGCAGCTTCACCACCTTCGCCTGCTTGTCCTCCAACTCAGAGTTCTTCTTCTTCAAAGCCCGGTTCTCAGCCTCCAAAGCCTCAACACGTTCCATAAGACGCCCAACTTTTCGAATATTGTCCATGTCCTGTGAAGATTTGGTGTTGGAAGTTCCCTCGGCCTTGGAGTTACCTGAATCGCTGTTGGCAAATGAATAGTTAAGCCCTTTCTGCCATAGTTTCTTACCTCCCAGCTGAATGTTGTCGCGAGTTGTCTCAGCAGGGTTTTTGGATTCATATGCTTAAAAAAGATCAATGGTGCCTCGAGCCACACTGACCCAATCTCTGCGTCCTCCTGGACCGAGTCGGCGAAGAAACTCATCCATTGCGACAGTTTCTAGCTTGTCTGATGCCTTCCGCTTCAGTCCATCTGTGTGCTTGGAGTTCATCTCAATTAATTCTACTATAAGAGATGGTCGTACGCTGTTATTCAACACATCAGTTTCGCTATTACCGGTGGGGATGATGAACTTCCCGGATGAAATAGAATTTGGATAAAGTGAATGAGCGAGATACGAATAAAGAATCAGATGACCATACGCTGAATAAAGATACGGGAGATGAATGTGACAATAAAGGGGTGTTGGAAAGTTGAAAGGAAGAAGAGAGTATGGTCCAGGTGAAGGCGAAGAAACAGCTTGAAGCAGTCACCATGAATCAGAGTTGAGGCTATTGAAAAGGTGCCGGCTGCTAGCACTGGCAATCTCATCAATCAATGCAAGTTCTGCTTGTGAGCCTGCTTCCTCGAATGTCTACAGCCTCTCCCATTGATCAAGGTGTTCTTCTGCAGGCTCCTCACAAACACCTCCGTGAGTGACCCAGCCAGACGCAACGAGTTGGGCAACGAGTTTCCACTCATCACTGGTAGCTCGTGGGCTGGTAGGGACTACTGTATCAAGACTTATTTCGAGCAGCACTGGATCATGAACGAGTTTGCTAACTAGGTATCAATTTAACTAAACTAACGATTACACGCTTGCAGAGTGGACTACCTAACTGACGACATACTTACCAATCATCTTACCAGACTTCAGGTTAATACCCATTCATTCAGCCTAATCGGAACTCTTCTCATTGTGACCACTCTCCTCATCTCGGCTTCCACCCATGCTGTAATACTTGCCAAAGACACGAGTCTCTAGATCAGAGACACCGCCTGTAGACTTACGAGCCTGGCGACGGAAATAGATACGCTTAGCCCATTTCCAAGATTCAATACCAAGGAAGAAGAGAACAGCCTCGACAAAAACAATACCCCATTCCCAAGAGATAGGAGCATGCTTGAAGACGACAGTGTTGAGTCCAGGGATATAGATGATAGGGAACATGGTAACAAAACCAGCAATAATGGCCCAGAACAGGAAGGGGTTCCTCCAAACGTCGTAAATCCACTGGGTGAAATACTTCTTGCTCTTGGGTTGCATTCGGAAGAAAGACCTTCTCATGTTGATCATCTCCCAGGCAAGGAACAGGGCGAACCAGGTCAGGCATGCAAAGGTTGTTGAGCGAGCACGGAAAATGACTCTGCAGTCTTCGCTGTAGGTGTTGTTGCAGTTCTCTCCAATGTCGTCAGCGCCGTTGCCGAAGCCGTACAGGACGAGGACGAATGAGGCGAGGCAAAGGGCTGACATCCAGAGACCGTAGACGACCATGTCGAGCATGAGTTCGGGGGTAAAGACACCTTGTTTCAACTGAGGATGTTAGTACGGATCATAAAGGCAATAGATAGAACATACGTTTTGAGGAGGACGCTGCATGATATCTGGGGCGGCAATCTCAAAGCCAAGACCCATATCAGGCATACCAGATGTGATCATGATGATCCAGAGAATCTCGACAGGTGCCAAGGGGAAAACCGACAGATTGTTCTTATCCTTGAAAGCAAGACCGATCAGGAGTGTACAAGCTTGGGCAATATTCTCAGCCAAAACGTGCAGAATGAACTTCTGAATATTGTCAAACATTCTTCGGCCTTCTTCAACAGCATTCAGAATAGAAGCAAAGTTATCATCAGTCAAGACAATGTCGGACGCTTCCTTGGCAACATCAGATCCAGCCTGTCCCATAGCAATACCCACGTCTGATCGCTTCAAACTGGGCGAGTCATTGACACCATCACCGGTCATGGCGACGAAAGCCTTGCGGCGATGAAGGGCTTCAATCATACGGACTTTGGTCTGAGGGGCACAGCGGGCGACGACAAGAGGCAGAAGTGGAAGCTGATCAATTTCATCATCGGACAGCTTGTCAAATTCTGAAGCAGCCATAACCATGACCTTGGCGACATCCTTGGGAATCTCGGACATCTTGGCAGGTAAAATACCAACTTCCAAAGCGATAGCACGAGCTGTTTCAGGGTGATCACCAGTAAGCATGTGAACGCTGACACCAGCTTCGTGACATTTTCGGACTGATGGGGCAGATTCAGGGCGAGGAGGATCGTACAGGCCGATGAGGCCACGGAAGACAAGGTCTTTTTCGAATAGTCCACGATCAAGTTCAGCCTCGTTATCCTCGACATGAGGAATATCTGTTCGGCTGGCGAGAGCAAGAACACGAAGACCAAGTCGAGCCAGAGATTCCATGTTGCTCAAGACATCTTCCTTGATGGCGTCGGTAAACTCGAGGATTTCGTCACCAGCAGCATAAACAGGGCAAGAAGTCAAGACGCGTTCAACGGCGCCCTTGGTAAAGACCCATTGCTTCTGAAATTCGCTGTCGTGGAAAATGACGGACATCTTCTTGACATCTGAATCAAAGGGGAATTCGGCAACTTCATGCCAGCGGGGGTTATCGCCAGACGACAATCGCATGCGGTTCCAGTTGAATCGAGAAGCAAATACTTGCATAGCAATCTCGGTTGGGTCTCCACGAGCATGCCACTCGCCTTCAATCTCGTGGACAGTAGCAAGATTGGCAAGTGAAGCAACGTTGAGGTACTCGACGAGGCTTGGATCTTGAGCAGGCTGGGAAGCGGGGTCGATTGATGTACCTTCGGACTTTTCATTCTGGAAGTCGATGTTCTTGGGCTGGTCCTCGGTGAGGGTGATATCTCCGAGGGTAGGGTTGAATGGTTCATTGGAAGCGCCAACAGAGTATGTGCCGCGTCCAGGGATCCAAGCCTTCTTGACGATCATGGTACCTTGGGTAAGAGTTCCGGTCTTGTCAGAGCAAATGTCTAAAAGGTTAGCTATGTTTGCATGACACCGAGTGGTACTTACTGGTTACACCACCCAGAGCTTCCAAACTCTTCAGGTTGCGGACAATGACATGTCTCTGGACCATACGCTTGGTACCAGCAGCCATGGTAATGGTGAGAACAACAATCAGAGAAGCTGGGATCATAGAGAGACCAGTTGCCACAGCATAAATGATGACTTCCCTCTGCGACTTGAAATCATTGGCTGCCAGAACAATAATAGCACACACAATGGCCGTTCCGAGAAGAATGATTGCCAGCTTGGAGAGCTTGCGCTGAAGAGGAGTACCGACATTGACACCAAGGAATCGCCCAACAGCATCAGAACCGGTCAAGGTCCAAGCTTGCATCCAGCGACCAAAGTTGGTGTTACCCTCGGCATCCCTCTTTGGCTGTCGGCGCTTGGAAGACTTGCCACGAAGAGCAACAGCAATTTGACCAATCTCAGTATAGGTACCGGTAGCAAAGACAATGCCTCGAGCTCGTCCCTTTGTCACAGTAGACGAGCTATAAGCAACGTTGAGTCGATCACCAGGGCCAGTATCATCTGGAAAGGTCTTGTTGATCTCTTTGCGAACAGGTAGAGACTCGCCAGTGAGAAGTGCTTCGTTGGTTTCAAAGTTGACAGCCTCGACAAGACGGATATCTGCTGGAATGGTGTCGCCAGTCTTGAGCTCAACCATATCACCAGGGACAATCTCAGCAGTCACAACAACTTGAGTGTTACCGTTGCGGACAGCGTGAGCGGTGGGAGAGCTGAGAGAACGCAGAGAATCCATAGTCTTGGCGGCTTGAAACTCTTGGAGGAAGCCAACGACAATATTGAGCACAATGACGGCGGCTACTACACCACCTTCAATCCAAGACTTGATACCAAAAGAGGCAGCCATGGCAAGGATGAGAACCTGTCCCCCAAAGGGCAAATGAGCGACTCTACCGTTATCTCTAAAGCTTCCTTTCAAGTATACTCGAAGGAAGCCTATGGAAGGTAACTTACTAGAGTCAAGGCATTTGCGATCTGCCCGATAAAGATCTTGAGAGGTTGAACACCTTCTTGTTCGCCGAATTCGTTTCGACCATAAGTCTCGAGACGCTGCTTGGCCTCGGATTCAGTGAGACCATCATCGAGATTACCATTAAGCTCCTGGGCAACCTGCTCAAAGGTAAGAGCATGAGCAGGTGCCGTCATGGGAGAGTTGGCTTGGCCCGAGATGTGAGGCTTCTCTTCTTCGTTCTGGCCCATTTTGACAGTTGATGAAGAGGAATGAGTTGAGAATTTTAGAAAGAGGAGAGGGAGAAGCCCTTTTAAGCTGCACCTTCATTGGGGATCAACTTCAAGAAACCTTCCAAGTATGACACCGGTGGACCGTGAGGTGGATCAAGGTGGATGTGCCAAGAGTTACCATCACAGGAGGTGCATGCGAAACAAAGGTTGCGCCAAGGTCGCTCATGGTTAAACAATTTTATTTGGAGGAGAATTTTTATATGTGGAGATGATTGGCATTCAGAGTAATATGCCAAGACGATACGTCGGAGGATGTAAGCCGCATTGTGTTGAGGCGGTTTGGAGGTTCGAGTGTGGAAGATATTGCCACCTGAGTTGGTAACATGAGTGATGAATGTCTGTTTTGAGTACTTGGAAGCCTGGAGGGTTTCAAGATTAACTCACATTTAGCTATCATCAAGCTTAAACAACCTTAAATTGAAGCAGGATCTTTATCTGCGCTGTGAATCATTGTATAGACAACCAGCGATGCGCCAAGTTTATCTCAAGAGCTTAAAGTCATTAGTGGTGGTCCTTGCTTCTTGGCGTTGCTGGGTCCTCCAACCTGGTTCTTTCGATAGGGCACATGGCAATGACATAATTTGACGCTGAAAACAGTTATTCTTGGTCTTTTTGAGACTCAGAAGTGCTCAGACAGTCGTAGAAACGTTTCGTATTCATTATCTTGGTACTTGTTAAGCTTCAAGTCATTTTTAGATCAAATTCTGAGAGAAACAAAGGTATCGGAAAAGCGGATCTCTCCATCGGGGAGTCGGTCTTCACCTCCTACCTTCAAGGGTCTAAACAATCCCCAGATTCCCGTCTCCGCGATATGTGAGATAAGATTCGGCAATTACGTAGTAGTCTTGGACGTTTAAGAACCAGGATTAAAAAATATAGTTATTATTCGTATTATATGACAACACTTACGTAAGAGAAGAGAAAAGAGATATTGGCCTCTTATTCGTCCTTCCTGATTCATCATGGCGCGGTGGTAGAGGAAGTACAGCCCTCCTACCGAAGGTACCCTACCTGCCAGGTTCATTGTGCTTCTGGGAGGTCGGCTCTTGCCCGCTCAACCGATGCAAAGCTAAGATAGCGGCTTCACAGCCTCAGCCTTCTGATACCAACTGATACCAACATCAACTTCGCAACACTTGCCAAGCTCTGCCAAGACAATAAACATCTCGTCATTTGCTCTAAAGCTGAATCATTCTCACGGCTCGGAATACTCATCAATTAATGGTCAGAACTGTTGATGCACAGCCATGCCGTTGCGATATTCCGAACCGGCACCAAACAATCACTCTGATGTTCTAGAACCAGGTCTTGGGCTTGTAGCCACGACTGCAAGCACTTTAATCAGTCTCGATTGCTATAATTGAAGTCACATGTCGCGACCATTATCAGGCAATTCTCGCACTTGTCAATTTGACTACTGAACCCTCACAAAACACCGCATTTTCGTTTCTATCACTGAAAATGGAGCCAGTTGGGATCATTCTGCTCGTGCTTTTTCTCTTTATCATTATCATGGGTCCTCTGTATGTCTTCCACAGTCAATTTGGCCACTGCTAACTGAAAAAGAGTATGCTTCAGAATGAGCGTGCGGAGAGCGTCGGAGAAGGTTTTCAGTCCCCAACCTAATCAACTGGACAATGCCCGTCGAAAACTCAGCACCGTTACAACCTCAACGGTCATTCCACAAGCGAATACCGATCCCACCGCCGACATTGAAGCTCAGACTCCACTGTCCGGGTTCGGTGAATGGTGAGTGCATCCACTTCCGGCGAAGTTATCGGAAGCTTTGTCTCCGCTTTCATGCTTCTCGGCCGGAGCCTGTACGGGCCGCTCCAGGATCTTGCTGACATTCTCAGTCCCATCTGCATAGGTCCTCTTGTTCCAGAACCAGTACATACCGTCAACGCCGACCCACGTCCGATTCTCGAAAAAGTTTCAACAGTGACGTCTCACGAGACAAATCAAGCCAAGCCCGGTCCAAGTGTACAAGCGACGACCGATGAAGCTGAAGACGACATCATGACGATAAACACGTGCAGGCATTCTTTTCATTCAAAATGCCTTTCGTCTTGGTTCTTGATCGAACGATATGATTGTCCTGTATGCAGGGTGCCGTATTACCAAGGGATACCACGTCGCGAAACAGCTTTGAGCGTGACACCATTTTGGTGATCACCGCCACACTTAATTGATCACTAATCTCTAGTTCAAATGTCAATGGTTGCTATCCAGCCAGGCTTTCTCGTACAACGTCAACGCAGCTTAATGATGCTTACACGCAGCCTGCGGCAAGGTACGGTTCCTGATTAGTTCAGCTTCAGCCACAACAGTTACCTTCAGCATCTCGATGTCGTATATCTGAATGTTTCAGTTGTTTGTGGAGCTTATTCAACACTTCTCCGGCCCCTTCCGATTCAATTCATTGGCTGTGCTCATTTCTTCCGGAGTATCTCCTACGGTTTGATGCAGTCTTCTGTTGTTGGGTGGTTTGAGCGTCACAGCGGAGCAAAAGCTGGTGACAAAGTACGTACCGCCACCATGACGGATCGGCGATCATCCCGCCCACCCAAGTCTAAATGACTTCATCGCCATCAGCAGGGTCTGGATCGAGGATTTCGGTCATGGATCGCTTGGTGAATTGACCGTTCGACAAGCCAGCAATTCAGCAGTTGATGCAGGGCCCTGCGTCATTGGCTCTTCGGGCCACTTCCTCCGACTACCATTACTTTAAATCTTGGAGAATGTTCGTTGCCGAATTTATCAGGTACTTGACCTGTCGCTTATATATGCTTCGCCCCATGACATTCATTTCTTCCATATTTACATCATTCGACGTATGTCATCTCGTTTCTTGACATCTGCTGGAAGACTTCTCTCCCTGCGACTTTCAGTTGGAAGAGCATACAGCACGACTACAACCATGACATCGAAACGGAAGAGAACTGGTGCTCATCCGCCACCTCCGGTACCTGAGATGCGTGATGCTCCCAGGAGAAGCAGTCGAAGAATAAAGGATGCTGCCGAACGGCCAAAGTCAGACACAGATCCAATGAAAGCTGCTGATCCAAAGAAAGCAAAGGCTGTCTGGGATACAGGCGAAGGTGTTGAAGAAGCTATGCGCGAGCTGAGCGAGATGGAGCAAAAGCTACAGACTGTCGTCAGAACACAACGGCTTGCAGTCGAGTCCTCAGATCTTCAAGTCAAGAAAGAAGCCGCCAATGAACCTGATATTCGACCGAAAATGTACTCGCCGAACAAGGATACTGTTGCTCCTCGAGGCAACTTGGAGGGAAAGTCAAAAGTTGTTAACTCTGTACCACTAGATGAGTACGACGCCGAACTCGCTGCTGGCGATGTCGCTGATGCCAAAGGTGAAGACGACGGCATGGACCGCGGTGCCAACAGGCCTCCCCCTGTCAACAGTGAAACTCTTCCTCTACCATGGAAAGGAAGGTTGGGATATGTGAGTTTAGCACTGTGACCATCAGACATTACTGACTTTCCAGGCCTGCCTAAATACATACTTGCGCAATGCAACTCCGGCCGTCTTTTCCTCGAGGACCTGTCGCATGGCCTCCATCATTGAACATCGACACCCGTTAACAAACCCTGATGAACCAGAACACCCTACCAAGAACCGACCAGACAAGAACAAACCCGCAGACCACGAACGAGGACTCAAATATGTACAAGAATTGGGACTGGCGAATGCAAGAGATATTGTCAAAATGATTCGATGGAATGTCAAGTACGGCATCAGATTCATGAGACTGAGTAGTGAGATGTTTCCATTTGCAAGTCATCCAGAACATGGTTACAAGCTAGCGCCCTTTGCGTCAGAGGTGCTGGCAGAAGCTGGCAGAGTAGCTGGAGAGCTGAATCATCGTCTAACGACACATCCTGGGCAATTTACACAGATTGGTTCTCCACGCAAAGAAGTTGTTGCCGCTGCCATGCGCGATCTGGAATATCACGATGAGATGCTTACTCTACTCAAACTTCCCGAACAGCTTGACCGCGATGCTGTCATGATTCTGCACATGGGTGGCACTTATGGCGACAAGCAAGCAACCATTGACCGATTCAAAGAGAACTACGCCAAGCTTTCAGACAGTGTCAAGCGACGATTGGTGTTGGAAAACGACGATGTCGCATGGAGTGTTCACGATCTGTTGCCTGTTTGCGAGGAACTCAACATTCCTCTGGTGCTCGACTACCACCATCACAACATCATATTCGACCCATCGATAAGAGAAGGTTCCCAAGACATTATAGGTCTTTACGATCGCATCAAAGCTACCTGGGCCAAGAAGGGAATTACCCAGAAAATGCATTACAGCGAGCAGACATCCAGTGCAGTCTCACCAAGAGATCGCCGCAAGCATTCCGCCAGAGTCAAAACTCTCCCACCATGTGCCCCCGACATGGATCTAATGATTGAAGCCAAGGATAAAGAGCAAGCTGTTTTTGAACTGATGCGAACCTTTAAACTGCCAGGTTGGGATACTTTTAACAACATTGTACCATATGAACGACCAGATGAATCACGAAAAGCCGTCAAAAAGAAGGCAAAGAAGGGCAAAAAAGCAAACGGCGTCAACGGAGAAGCGAAGGATGACATTGAAGTACCTGAAAAGATTGTTAGCGCCGAAGATTTTGGCATGGGAGGTCCTCAAGCAAGAGTGTATTGGCCTGAAGGTATGGAGGAATGGTTGCGACCGAAGAAGCGAGAGATTAAGAAGGCAAAGGAGGGCAAAGATGGGACACCTGTGTTGAAGCAAGATGGGGATGAAGAATGATTATGGTTTAATGTCGCAATTGCATGTAAATAGTGTACAATTAATGAAGACTGCATGAATATTGTTCAATGTGTGGTGAAAATCGAGGTGGCCGAACATACAGGGTAGGAGGTCTGAAAAGTTTTCAAGGCCTTCCCAAGTCAACCTGGAAGCCTCAACTTTCTTCAAACAACAGACAAGATGGGTTCTACAAATTTTGACGGAACGAGCGAAAGCTTTCTGCGCTGGTTCAAGTCTTTGCCAGACGCTACATTCTCCGACGCCATTAAAATTGTTGATCTTCGTGATCGCAATGCTGGTCGTGGTATAAGTAGGTGCTCATACATGGCTGCCAGGTGAGGCTAACAAAACAGTCGCTCTCGAGGATATCCCTGCGGAAACAACTCTATTTACCATTCCGAGAAAAGGAATCATCAATGTTGAAACTTCGGAGCTGCCAAAAAAGATTCCAGATGCTTTTGATCTCGACAAGCCTGATGACGATGATGCACCAGGACTGGATTCATGGAGTTCGCTTATCCTCATCATGATTTACGAGTATCTACAAGGCGAAAGCTCCAAGTGGAAGCCTTATTTCGATGTTCTTCCTTCGTCATTTGATACGCCCATGTTTTGGTCTGACAATGAGCTTGACCAGCTTCAAGCCAGTCATATGCGACACAAGATCGGCAAGGCTGATGCTGAAAATATGTTCCAAAAGACACTGCTTCCCATTATCCGAAGCAACGCTGAGATTTTCAACGCCGGAAACAAGACTGATGCAGAGCTTATCGAGATTGCCCACCGGATGGGCAGCACCATCATGGCGTATGCTTTCGACCTTGAAAATGACGAGGAGGAAGAGGAGGAGGCAGATGGTTGGGTTGAAGACCGAGACGGAAAGTCGATGATGGGAATGGTACCAATGGCGGACATTCTGAATGCCGACGCCGAGTTCAACGTAGGTCGTTTTCCTGAGTGACTGGCAAAGCTAACAGAATAGGCTCACGTCAACCACGAAGAGGAGAGTCTCACCGTGACCAGCTTGAGGCCCATCAAGGCGGGCGAAGAGATTCTCAACTACTATGGCCCTCACCCGAACTCGGAGCTCCTAAGAAGATACGGATACGTTACCGAGAAGCATTCTCGTTATGATGTTGTCGAGATTCCCTGGGACATTGTCGAGTCAGCTCTGACCTCCAACTTTGGCATCCCAGGTCAAGTCTTGGAGCAGATTGTAGGTCGAGTGCACCCTCTGATGGCGTTTCTAACTTGAACAGCGTGGCGCTCTCGAAGAGGACGAAGAATTTGAAGACACATTCGTCTTGGAGCGAGGAACAGGCGAGGTCAACTCGGATGGCACCTTTGCCGAGCCCGCTCGATTCGAAAGCATGCCCGAAGATCTCCAAGAACAACTCAAGACATTCCTCAAAGGTATCAAGAAAGCACAACCCGATGCTATCCCTGACAAGCGAAAGAGAGACGAGATCCACCAAGCTGTACTGGCCAAGACACTGGAGGCTCTGGTGGCAAGATACCCAACGAGCATTTCCGAAGACGAAAACCTACTCAAGCAGGACCTCAACCAACGAACTCGCATGGCTATTGCCGTCAGACTTGGAGAGAAGAAGCTACTTCAAGAAGCCATTATTGCATCTTCTGGAGACGTTGAGATGACAATGGACGACGAATCTGGACCAGCCAAGCGTACAAAGCGATGACCCAGCGGGGTTATGTGATAGATCTTGTTTCCTCTCCTCTCATGCAAGAGGTGCAGAAGGCGATTGCGAACCATCCGCAAGGCAACAATTCCAATCAAAACCACAGTTATCTACTATTTAAATGATCCATATCTTGCACATATTGTTTTCCAACTCTTCCTCCTGATCAGCAACCACATTGATGAAGCTCAAGCTACTGAACACCAGCGAGGATACTGACAAACAATTGGTCTAGATCGATCCAGGCCTGTAAGCCGTTGAGCTTACCGTCCGGCTGAGACATGAGTAGAAGTCTGCCCAGCTCCCATACAAGAAATGCCTCGCTATACGCGGTTCCGCACTCGCATCGCAAAAACGTCACCGGAGATGCATGATAATGTTGAACCACGAGTCCACCAACTTGATGGCCTCGCTGTGAGTTATTCGATCGACGACCTGTCTCAGTTACATTCAACCATCTTACGGTGTACGCCACCCCCAAAGAGTTGCAAGCGAGCAGTTACTACTCGGACTTGAATGAACCCGAACTCAACACCATCAGAGAAGAGGCTTGAGCATTGGTTGCTTCGAGTCACCTGTCGAGGTTCCCACACGACCAAGACACACATGTCTTGCGGAGACACCGACGTCCTCTGGCCTCAGATGCAATTCAGCTCCTATCATCGCATAAATCCAACGTTGCCAAGTCGCAAGTCACCAGATAATCAAGGGTTAGCGCCAACAACTGATCGACATCAAGATCTAATCTCACCCATTGGCCCGCTTTCTTGACAAATCAATAAGACAACTTACCCGGTGGGAGTGTCCGGTTGGGGCTCCTCCGTCTATCCGTGGAGTATGGGTCAACCGGTGTCGAGCAGAAGAAGCGTAAGAGGGGCCGGGCCGCGGTGATGTTGCATGAACTAGGGTGTTTTCATATTCCCTGCATACAGCATTCAGAAGTACCATGAAGCGTGGCACCAATCCTTAATTCAAGAAGTCTTGAATAGGCTTTACGGATATGTGAAATGTCTGGCAGACTGCTGAAGCTGACATGGTGTCGTCATTCTCCCACTCTATTGCTTCAAGTCACCGGAAGTCGGTTTCCTCACCGGTTTAGCGACCGAGGAAAGCCAAGTGGTAAATCCGAGATGAGGCTCTGCGGATGAGTGAGTTATAAAATGGCAATTGCTCAAATGTGATCGACAGATGATCAAGTCAACTAGTGATCATGCTGAAACAGGTACGCTTAAAGCCAAGCTCCAAGCTCAACTAACACTGTCAGAAAACATCAAAGCATAGCTCAAGCCGGAAAGGGAGCTCTTCAAGCCAACCCACCCCAGGCTTCCTGTTCATCGCCAACAAACTCGTCATCCACAATCCAGGACGTGACGATTATCTTCACCTCATTCCACCCAGCTCGCCAAACTACTACCGCGGCGAAGTCCCAAGCAAAGTAATGCGCTACAAGAACGGCGAAGTGTCAGAAGCAGCAGATTGGCGATGGTATCGAGACGCTTCCACGCTTCCGGCATCCGAAGGACAATTACTGAGGGTGGACGTCCGCGGAAACTGCGTCACGGATCAGTATGGACAAGTATACCCGGCTGAGGAGTATAAAACGTTTGGGGTTGCTGCTTGCAATCCACTGCTCCCAATCATGGTCACTGAATATGATCCTCTGGTCACCATATCGAACTGGGAACTCCTACGTGTATTTCATCCACCATCCATTCCCGGGCTCTCTCAAGTGAGCACCATCACCAGCACTATGGGTCCCGGGCCTGGTCCTTTGCTACACGTTGCTGGCAGAAATCCTGCGTGGATTCCCGGTCTACTTCCTCTGACCTACAAAGCACCCCGACGTGATGCACCACACTCAGCAGGCCTTGGAGGAGAGCTGCCGATTGTTCTGGGGCTCATGGCATTGAATGCATCTCCAGGCAGTGTGATGAGCAACCATTCGATAGACAGTGTATTTCTTGGACACAATCGATTATGGAGACATGGAGCTTGGACAAGTCCTGATGCTCCTAGAGGACGTATGTTGTCCATTCGTTTGCTGATACAGCTAACAACCACAGATCCCCCAACAGCTTCTGAAGATCCAAAAGGATTTATTGTCAAGGTGTTTTTCGACCCAGACAACCAATACTCTACTCGAGAAGATCTCCACAGTTTTGAGTGGGAGAGGGCTATTGTTCGAGATTGACCAAATGTTTGACAGCTTAAGCTTGAATTGATTTAGTCTATTATTCATTCCTGTATGAAGCCCCTGCTCTGCAGTTTGCCCCATGTTCGTTATCCCATCCATGAGCTAGGTGTAGTTGTCCGCTCGATTATGTAGTCGACTCAGACCGCGTCAGGAAGTCGTACAGCGATATCGCCAGATTGGGTAATGTATCGAACCCAAGGCAACGAAGGATATTGCAACTACAGTTGTTAGTGCTGATCGAATACTCAACGAAATTCGTACCTTTGGCTCGGTAATCTTTAGATACCGAACCTGAATACCACTTGTGGTAAAGTAAGGGATCTCAAACTTGACCTGGATAGGTCGTTTGGCACCCTTACCCACACCTCCGACTCCTCCCATGCTACCACCGAAACCACCCATCATACCGCCACCTTGTTCATCATCTCCTCTCACGCTTGGCAGGCCCAGCTCAGCACGCATGAGGAATTCCTTGCCACCACCAAACTGTTTGATCTTCCAGACAATGGCACTTTGCTCAGGGGCGTAATGAACGGATCCGATGTTTGTTCGGAAACGAGGGCTATCGGCGTCATCCGGAACGGGAACCACGATTTCGACATTGTTGGCGGTACTGCGACGCTTGAATTGGGCTCGAGCCTTGAGCATGTATTCGATCCGGGAGCCTGAATGGGATTCGACCACACATTCAACCCAAATCAGAGGCTTGACTTGGGTGTTGAGACGGTAGGACATGAGCTCGAATTCGCCGTCAGGGGGGATAAAGGAGATGGTTCGGTCGTTCTCGAATCGTGATAGTCGTACGCATTGGTGAAACTTGACGTCCTCCATTTCGATAGCTTTACCACGGGTGGCTCGACCGGTTGTCTCAAACATGACCTTGTCATTCAATCCTAGACGCAACTCGGGCATACCACTGAGGTAACACTTCATCTTGATAGCGCCAAGAATCTCTGATCGAAGGACATTGCCGTTTGCAGACACCAAAAGGTTGAGAGACTCGACAACATCGAGGAACACTTCGTTCTTGCGGTAACGGATACCCTCTGATCGCCACGACACAGCGTTTGTGACAGCAATCGGCGGCCGTGCTTGGATCTCGAGCTTGTGAGACTCCTGGGTGATGTACTCCTGAAGGATCTTGGATTCTGTTGTTTGAGGATAACCAAAGTCCATCATTTCGTCGAGAAGTTCGTAGATGATGACAAAGTTGTCTCGAATGGATTCTTCTTCTAAAGCTTTGAAGTACTCGGTAAAGACCTCGACGATCTTGTGAAGGAATAGGAGGATTTCGGCGGCATTCGTGTTTCGTTTCGTAAGGGCGAGGAGGTAGAGGTTGTTATGGCGGATGTAGAGGTACTATTCAGTTAGCGGAGCCTCCAAGCATGGAGACCACCTACGTTGATGCCTTCGTGGGAGAAGCATGGTGGAACAGCAGAGGAATCTTCCTCAGCTTCTGAAAGGAGTACAGGGAACTTTTCAACTGCTGACATGGGAATGTCACCACGATAGTTACGGGCAAGAAGGGTCTACATTGTCAGCGAGGTTATACTCAGTGGCGTTCAACACACCTTGCCCTTGAGATCTAGAAAGAAGAGTGCGGATGCCATGTTGGATGTCTTGGCGGAAGCGGAAAGGAGGTCGCGATAGATGCGACGGTCAAGATCAAGACGAAGAGGTCATGCGCAGTAACAAAGACAAGAATCAAAAAGGAGAGGCTGAATAGTAATTAAGGACTATAGAGAAGCGCAGGCAATCATCATGGTCCGAGGCGCAATCGTTTCGTGGTTAAGCTGTTTCGCTGGCATCTTTTGGATGCCTGGTCATTCCAGTGACGACACGGTAGAATGTCGGATATTGGTGGGGTAGCTTGAGCTTTTAGTCACGTGAGATATGGATCAGAAATTTTGATAAAAGCTTTGGTTTTTTTTTGCCTCTGTTTGTCTTCTCCTCTCCTCAACGCACCCTCTAGACAGTGCAGACCATTACCTAGCCTGCAACCGAATGGCATTCTGTCATTTCAGCCGTGGAGCCGTTGATGTGAGCTGCGATTTCGTGGTGCGGAGAGGGAGACCTGGCTCCATTAAGAACTGCCCGAGTATTATTAGTTGCTTTGGCGGTGTCAGAGGAGCCGGACATACAAATTCGTGACTGAGACATGCGATCTGGGGTAACGTGGCAGGTGACCTCGCAGCCTCGACTTTTGTTGGGGTATCGTGGCCGAGGGCCCTTGACCTCAGGGTCTCTGCCAGTCTACTTTGACGACATCTGCAATCAGGGATCTTTCGAGGTTGTAACAATTGGGCTCGTAAAGATCGTGGCAAAGTTAAATTTGCAAATGCATGTCCAATGAGCTTGTGACCGGTGCATCCATCTCGCGTTTATCACGAAGTCGAACGCGAGGCCTGGGTCCAGTATCCAGCTCACAATCTATACTAAACGACTCTGCCGGAGTAATTCGAGTGTCTGAGATTCTGTAAACTCAGTCCGTGCAGACATGATCCGTTCAACCGATTCAGGGTCCAAGATAGTACAATCTCACCCGTCGCGATATTGTTAGTATCCGCAAGAATGAAGGATACCCTTCATCGCACATGTCAGATTCACATGTTGATCAGTTATCGGGGACCAAATACAGGTCAAAGTAACCGAATGCCGACTGGTTTGGATAAAGAGTATGCAAATGCAACCTTACTTGAAAAGGAACATATTAGCATAGCTCAAGATGAGCAATCAATGAGCAATCGCATCTGACGTTATCAAACAATTCCATTGGATGGAAAAATAACATTCAAACGCATCAGGAAAAGGATATAATCCTTCCTCTGTGGCATGTGCTTGAGTTGATCCTGTTAGTGGATTGCTCATGACTCGGGCGACCCGCTTAACAATAGTGACGATGAGTATTCTCTTTGCATGTGATGTCGGTGCATCATCATCCCCAGTTTTGACACGTGCTAGAGGCCCAGAGGCTTCAGGTACAGTTCTTAGCGACTCTAGTTTCGACGTTGAACGTTGAGTTGAATTGATCTTGTGATGCTGCGAACAAAACCTAGGCCCAACAAATTGACCGCATCATTAATCAAGCGAAGCGCCCCAAATTCGGTATATCTTGTGATGATGCCCTGATACTGGGTACAGCTCTTTTAGCGATCTTCCCCACTACGCCTCTAAAACAAGTCACCTGAAGCCACTGTAGCCGGCCCGGTTTTTAGTGGGCTATCGTCTTGCGCTGGGCTTGTTTGTTCAGCCGGTCCCTGCAGCAGGAGAGAAGGTCCCGCGAGCGCCTGACGTTAACAGGATTCTCTTGTCCCCCCACGATCGCTCTCATTCCCAATCTCCCCAACATCTCCGCTTCATCATCACCATTATTGATTTACCATTTCTTTTGTCTCTTTGCGATATTCTTTGCGGCCACTGGCCGATCTCATTCGATGCTGAGTTGACATATCCGTGTTATCGCCGACCATGGAGCGCAATCACATGCTTCCTGATCGGGAGTCCGAGTCTCGTCATGTCCTCGGACCACCACCTGCTCGACCTCCATCATTGATGGCATTTTCTCCTCCAGCCTATTCCAATGTCGCTTCACCAAATGCGATAAAGTTTCCTGATGTTCCTACCGATATACCAACTTCTTTGCCTCCTTTGGCTAGATTCGAAGCCGATAACGAGACCAAGTTACCACCTCTGAGTTCACTTACGAGCGAAATGGCCTTGGAACCAACCAAGACCTGGCTTCCGTTACATCCTATGCCTTATCCGCCTGTTCTTGCGCATAGTATTGATAGCCCGACACGAATGGATCTTGACGGGAGTAGCAACAGTGTCGTGAGCGCTGCTTCTCCTGATGGTCTTCTTGATACGAGGGCTGGTAGCGTCAGCCTTGATGATCCAGATGTGCGACTGGCAGCTGAAGCGCTTGGTGATTTGAGAGCAGGTATGTTTTCAGTTCTAACAGAGATCATTTCTAACGTCATAGACTTTATATCTTCGCCGCCGCATAGAAATTCCTCTCTTCCAGTTAGTCCACCAACTTCTGGGCTTCAATCGAATCAACCACAGTCTCCGCAGCCTGAACCGCTTCTGTCTCTCCTTACGACGACTCATCCATTGTTAGCGAGCACAATTGAGGGCGCCACTTCGGCATACGGTGGTGCCAAGAACTTTTCACCGCGATTTCGATCTGGTGCCGAATATGTTGAGGGATACCTGACACCTATTGCGAACACTGTTGGTTCAGTTGGTCGAGTGACGGGTGTTGAAGGAGGTGTCAGATGGTTTTTGGGTGCCGGGAGGCGACAAAACAGTTCAACGTCGGATTTGGAAACCGGCAACAGCAAGAAGCGACGCAAAACGGATGAGGATGAGGCAGTCAGCAACAAGCGATTTGAGTCTGAAGGAATGCAACAAATGAGCGATGAACAGATGGATACAGCGCCTTCGCCATCTTCAAAGACCATGTCTCGTCGCATGTCAACTACTAGCACCGTCGACACGCTTCCTGCTTACGATGAGTTGCGATCACCCGCATATACCGAGACTGATTCCAATTCACCAAGGCCGTCACGACCAAACAGCGCCTGGCAGTCACGTCTGATCACGTCTACTTCCGGTCTCAGTGTTGCCATGAGCCAGGAGAGTCTGCGCAGTCTGAAATACTGTCTACAATGGCTTCGATGGGCCAATGATCACATTGCTCGTGTGATCTCAGCTTTAAAGACCACCCTTGAAGAGTACGAAAAGGTACCAGACGGACAAGCTGGCGAACAAGCTGATCCTGAATCTCGCTCTCAACTTGCTGCTCGCATCTCAAACCTCAAGGGTGATGTTCTCAGAACCCTCCGAGAAGCCATCAATACTGTGTCGAAATACGCAGGAGGCGCATTGCCAGAAAATGCACGAATCCTTGTGCGACGTCATCTCACTAGTCTACCCCAACGATTCCGTGTCGCCACCATGACCGACAGGAATGCCGGGCAACAAGACAACGATACGGCTCTAACTGAAGGTGCACACAAAGTTTTGGTATTGGCTAAAGAAGGTTTGGACATGGTTGTTCAAGTAAGTGGTGTTGTAGATGGAACAATTGTCAGCGCTGAGCAATGGCTCGACCGTATGGGCAAACGAAGAGCTCAAGAAGATGAGAAGCCAATGCTTCCTCAAACTGAGGCTAATGGAGATGTGAAAATGGGTTAATTGGAAACGAAAACGAGGCGGTGATACCTTCGAGTTCCAATATCACGAGGAACTCATTCTATTTCCTTGAATGACAAACGACAGTTGGTGATGAGCGAGTTGGATTGTTTCTGGCGTTTGGTTGGCTTTGTAGCAACGAATATGAGCTGCTTTCAGCATGTCAATTGTTGGCTGTCTGATGTATCATCGGACGACATGAATGTGATGTACGGGTCGGAACAACACAATACCGACTATTTAAGACTCTTTGGATGCAATTCGATCACTCAATCATGGCACCTTCAAGATCAAGATATTCCACCACAAGAGTCAAAGCTTGTCAGCATTGTATAACCGCAAAAGCAAAATGTGATCGCAAAGAAACCTGTGGACGATGTGCCTTGCGGAGTTTAACATGCAGCTATCCTGGGAGATTTCGAGAGCCGATCGTAGACTCGCAGCACTCTGGGAATTCGGAGAACTGGGAAAACTCAAACACGTCGGACACTCTGGACCTTGAGCAGAGCTCGCTCCAGACAGACACGCCAGCTGACCTTCACTTTGATCCACTGGACCTCGTGTGTCCGATCAACAGCGACGACATCAAGAACCGATGGCTCAACTCATATGTTCCTCTGCCTGGACAATCGCCCAAGAACTACAGTCAAAGTGTTATCAATTTTGTCTACCGAATGCTCAAATCCTATGCCTCGACAGTGATTCGAGGTCGTCTCCCACCATTCATCCATCCTATGCAGCAATCACTGGTGCCACTGTCAACCTGCTTTACTCTGGTCCGAATATGCGACCCTCTACCTGGCAACGTGAGTATCGCCGCAGATATCCTCCAGCGAGAAATGACTAGACTTTACGAAGAGCGAGGAGCATATGAAGGCATCCATCTTCTTGGAGTGTTTCAAGCGTACCTCATCTATTCCATGGTTCTGTTCTTTCACTTGGGGCCTTCAATGCCATTTCTTCGTCAGGCAATGATCAACCTTCAAGAGATTGCATGCGCGACCTCTCGTGAAGGGCTTATATGTGCGGCAGAACAACGAGGTGCCCTACCGAAATGGGAATCATGGATTATGGCCGAGGCCAAGAGACGAACACTATACACCATGTACTTTCTGGACAATGTGTTGTCGGCTCATGATGGGCTCACCACGTATCTCGGTACCGAGTTGAGGGGACTCTATTCGCCATCGAGCAAATATCTATGGCAAGCTGATCGGAATGGATGGGAACAAAGCTACAACTCTCATCTGGCCGAATGGGGAAGTGAACCCTTTCGACTGGATGAATTGTGGCCATTTCCAGATGGAATGAGTGAGGAAGAAATAAAACGCCAACGGCGGAGGGTAGATCGATGGCTGGAAGATGTTGATGAATTTGGGACAATGCTATACGCAGCCTCAAGCTGTACTCATGGGGGGTAGCGCTTTGACTTAATATCCGAAACAAATCGGGTTGGTCAGATCGTACAGCCTTGCCAAGATCAATACTCCTCCAAATCGGCCAACTTTACCTGTAACCGTTCGCATATGTCATTCAAGAACATGTTTTGCCCAATTACGCCACAGGATCAACGACCTAACCTGTCGCCTTGAGTCATTGCAGTGACCTCAATCCAAAGGAAGCCCTGTAACAGAAACAAAGTTCAGCACCAACCGTTAGTGGCGTTGATCGTCGACGGATGGCTCCCCGATGATCCACTAGTTACAGCTTGACTTTCAGATATCAAGTATTCATCGCCTCCCGTCTAGCATCTACACTTTGCAATGAATTCGGCCTCATCTCCACGATATGTGGAATGCAACAGGTCCCGATTCGAATCGAAATGCCCCACCTGGGGTTGTTCCCGATTATATGAATCCTGAAGACGTTTACTGGACGTTGAATATTGTCTTGACGACGATATGTGTATTCTTTGTCACACTCTTTTTTATAGTACGAATATATGTGAAGAGAACGATTAGCCGGAACTTTGGATTAGAAGATTGTATGTCTACATCTCATGTTAGACAAAGCTAACAGTTTAGGGACGTGTATAGCAGCATTTGTATGACCAACTCTTGATGTTTGGCTATGGCTAACCTTTAGATCACCGCCATCATGTACTGCGTCACTGTCTTTATGAGTACGTCCATTCCCTTTTCGTTGCGTCACTAACAAAGTAGTGGCCCGGTATGGAGCAGGCTATCATGCTTGGGAGATTCGCAAACCAGAATATTACAACTGGTTAAAGGTGAGCAGCCCAAGTGTCACACGATCGATCTAACAAGTCAGTGGTTTTATGCCAGTACGGTTGTCTATATCCCAGCTGCCTTTTTCACCAAAGCGACCATTCTACTTCTCATGGCACGAGTTTTTGCTGTCGAACCACGAGTCGCCAAGGGAATCAAGATCTTGATATGGGCTTTACTGGTGGCATACATTCCGATTCAAATACTTCGAATTGTCAACTGTTATCCCATCCGGACATATTGGGACCCAGATGTCAGAAACGCACGATGTCTTAACCAGCGAAAGATCTTCTTTTCAGATCTATCGCTATCGATTGTCACGGATCTGGTCATTCTGTTGATCCCAATACCTCTGACTTGGAAACTCAGAATGTCGATAGGAAAAAGGATCAAGATTGTCTTGCTTTTGGGGGCCGGTGGAATCGCTACAGCCTTGACACTGTTCCGTGTTGCCAAAGCGGTGGACTTTCTGAACTCGGATGATATCACTGTCGATTATACGCCGATTAGCATTCTAACGTATGTTTTTCAGCCCGATAATGCTTGTCTAACGATTGCAGGGCTCTCGAGATCACAATAGGCTTCGTCTGCGCCTGTCTTCCATCTCTGAACCTCCTGATCGAGCATCATGTCCGTAAACGTCGACGAGCACGAAACCCGAACTGGCCGCGCGATCGAACACGGACCTCTTTGTTCAAGAAGCGTTTCCGATGGATTAGTTCGTCCACAGAACACATGCCCTCTCGACCGAATCGGCCTTCAGATGGAATGATTGACTTGGACGTGGAAATGGCCATGTTGACGGGGCAGCCTGTACGATTAAGAACGGGAAGAACGGCTAGCGCAGGATCTCATGATATCCGACCACTTGATCATCGAATTAATTCTGGTGACGGACGGAGAGAGGGATGGTTGTCTCAAGATCAGGATGAGCAAGACGAGGTGCAGGACAGCAGATTCATCATGCGAATGGTGGAGGAATCAAGAGCACGAGCAGACGAAGGAGCTAAAGAATCATGGTGTCCAGTCTGGGATGGACCGAGGGATCCTATGGCGAGTCAAGGAAGTTGGAAGTTTAGCGTGCGGTCGCATTAGAGCATAGAGCGTATACCCAGGTATGTAAAATAGAATTGATCATGATAATGAGAGCTTCCATCCAAACTTGTGGATAATCTCCCTCCAGTCTTGATTTGTACTCGATACCTGAAGATCTCTTGTATGCCAGATCAACTTGAGTGCGTTCCAAACAGCAGATATGTTGCTGATCGGCCATTTACTATCCATTAACATGAAGTGATCCAACACAACCTTTCGTTGCTCGTCTGATGAGCACGCACAGCCTGCTAAGAACAGCGGCCACATTGGGAATGACCTTCGAGTCTGTCCTTCAACGATGATATCGGAAAGACAAGAAAGAAGAGATTCGTGGAGGGCCAGAATTGATGGGTGGGTGATGGCTGCGTTGTAGCACACGAGGCGGAGGTAGATTTGGGCTGCAATTCTAAAAGACTCGGCGCTCCGTAAGAGATAGTCGTCGGTGCCCTGAAAAGAGAGATCCTCAAGTCGTTGTTCAATTTCCTGGCCCGCTGTGTACAGTTGATCCTTGGAGATATTGTGGGTGGACAGTGACGATATTTCGTTGATGATGTCGACGAGATCCATTGAGCAACCAATCTGTTCATCAACCAGATTTCGAGAATGCGGGAGTGTAGCCTCAGCTTTGGCCAACCCAGCCATTGCTTGGTGTAACGAATCCTGGTGGGTAGGTTGTGTAGTCTCCATCAGAATATATCGAAACCGGAAATACTGGAGTACAAACTCGGCCACATTAGGGTCAATACTGTTCCCGAAGCTCTCAAGCAGAGCAAGTGCGCCTTGAAGATGACGGAGCCATGTCGGACACGATCCATGTGCGATTTCGAGAGATGCCAAAAGAACACAGGTGAGAAGATTGCCCTCACTGCCTTGGGAGTCTGGAAGAGCGTGCTGTAGTTCATGGAGAGCTCGGACTTTGTACTGCATTGACAGAGCGCGGTAGTCTCTTCCATCTGGGACAATGTTTTGCGCCCATTCTGCTGCGCTCATGGCCAGGACTGCGGAGAACAGAGGACCTTGGTAGAACATTCGTGGGATGACTGATGTACGGAAGCCATTCCGACTTGTATCCACATAGACTCTGCTCTTAGATATTATCTCGACATCTGATCTGTTAGCGGCGACAACTCGTGGTGAGAATACTTACAGTATTGGACGAGAGCTTTCTCAACTGAACGTCCCGACTCGAAAGCAAACGGTGACAAACTGCGGGGAACAGATTCCTGCGTCCAGACAATCCTTCCCTCACTCGAATTACAAATGGCGACGAGTTCTCGAGGTGAGAGATTCAGAAAGCTATGACTCTGGTTGTCACTCGGGACCAGATAATGATCATTTGAAGCTGCCACGATGAACTTTAACGGATTCGATGCTGAAGCTGGACTCGGAAAGATACAGTCATCTCCTGTTCTTTGACATCTTCGACATGTCGGCTTCTCCTCGTCACATCTTCGTTTTCGTCTTCGACAGTTGAAGCAGCCATCTCGGCTCCGAGAGCCACCTGACATGATGCATTGCAGTTGATGTTAGTTGAGTGTCGATGGTGGGGAACGGATGGACTTCCGATCAACGCCACGTGACGGCCGAGTTGACATGCATTAGCTTTATTGTTTCTATAAATTATATTACACCTTGGTATCTTTCTGATTATCTATCAGATCTGACGTCTGAATACTCGATTCAGCAGTGGATTCTACAGTTACCCTGCAGCCACAGCGGAGACGGATATTAGACGGCCATACCAATTCATCATGACGATCCCAAGACATTTCTGTCAGTCCACAGATATCCACGTCGCATTACTGCCTTATTCAATAGGTCTTGATACAGCATATTTCCCTCAATTTACTTAATACCAACTCAATGCTTCCATGGCCACATCCCGACGCATCTCCGATAGTGGAGGGTTAGCCCGCAGTGGGGTTCTCGGAGTCATACTCGGTCGACATACGGAGGCTAACAAGATACGTCGCAATTCTTCTCACTTGCACCAAATTCTCCCCCGTCAATTCAACGCCGTCCATAGCCTTCAACATGGCTAATGATCACATCCTCACCCTGTCATGCCCTGACAAGTCCGGCATCGTCTATGCCGTGACTGGCATCTTTGCCGCCAACAAGCACAACATTCTCGACCTCCAGCAGTTCTCCGATCCCGTCTCCGAGCGCTTCTTCATGCGTGTTCACTTTGGACCTACCGAGTCCGAGTCCACCGAGCACCTCGTCGAGGCTTTCGATAAGCTCGCTGCCGAGTACAAGATGGACTACGATATCCGCCCCGTCGCCCGCAAGACCCGCGTTCTCATCATGGTCTCCAAGATCGGCCACTGTCTGAACGACCTCCTCTTCCGCATGAAGACCGGCCAGCTGCGCATGGAAGTCCCCGTCATCGTGTCGAACCACCCCGACTACGCCGCCCTCGCCGAGAGCTACGGAATCGAGTTCCACCATCTGCCCGTCACAAAAGACACCAAGGCGCAACAAGAAGGCCAGATCCTCGATCTCTGCAAGAAGCACGGCATCGAGCTCATTGTCCTCGCCCGCTACATGCAGGTCTTGTCTCCGACGCTCTGCGAAGCCATGTCCGGCCGCATCATCAACATCCACCACAGTTTCCTGCCTTCATTCAAGGGCGCCAAGCCTTACCACCAGGCCTACGAGCGCGGTGTCAAGATTATCGGAGCCACTGCTCACTTTGTCACTGCTGATCTGGACGAGGGTCCTATTATTGAGCAGCGGGTTGCTCGTGTTGATCACAGCATGAATCCTAAGGAGCTGTCTGAGGAGGGATCTAATGTCGAGAGCCAAGTTCTTGCTGCTGCTGTGCGGTGGTATGCTGAGAGGAGGTTGTTCCTCAACGGACACAAGACTGTAGTCTTTAATTAATAAAAGTTTGATTTGACTGTACAATGTTCTATGCAAACTCTCGTGATGCGCATGCTTTGAAGTGTCTACCCAGGCCCTGCCCCAGACTGCGGCATCTATGGAGTGATAGCGAACGACCGAACATCAATCCCCGAATAGCTCAGCTGGAAGAGCGTTCGGCTGTAACTGATATATGACACCGAAAGGTCACTTGTTCGATCCAGGTTTCGGGGATTTCTTTTGCTGGTCGTGGCATTTTCATGTTGTCAAGTATATCATGACAACTCAACTTTTTAGTCACAAGATGAAATATACTAGCAACCACAGCGAAAAAGAGTTGCCGTTATTAACAACAACTCAATGAATCTAGTAGTATGCTAGAATCTCAGCTAATAAAAAGAACTTGTAGGAGTGAAAAGATGCAAAAAATGAGTTCCCCGAAACCTGGATCGAACAAGTGACCTTTCGGTGAGATGCTTAACAATTACAGCCGAACGCTCTTCCAGCTGAGCTATTCGGGGAGATCTCCGAAACCGGAGGAATAGCCATTGGACTTGGTTGGGAGGAGAAGTGTAAATTGTACCTATATGCAGCATATCTGCTTGAGCACAATTAATACCTAGTTGGTACCCTATGGCCCAGAATGAGGGTTGAATGCGAGAAAGTAGAATTGTGGCAAGGAAGTATTGTCGCAAAGCTCGTGTCTGAGAAAACAATCGCATAGGATTAGATGAAACAAACCCCGCGTTATCCGTGTCACAATGCGACGCCTCAACACCAAGCTTGCATTTGGGATACTTCAACCACTGCATCCAGTCTCCTGCACCCGCAACCCGCACGAATCTCACTGTCACAGCCCATCTTACCGCGTTGAGAGCACAGCATCATCCAGTCCACATGTATCCAACTTTCCTCGCCGATCGCCATAGCTACTCCTCTGATCGTCAGAGCCATCCCCGAGTAGCTCAGCTGGAAGAGCGTTCGGCTGTAACTGTACCGTCACCGAAAGGTCACTTGTTCGATCCAGGTCTCGGGGATTCATTTTTGCTGTCATTGCAACAGAGACCTTTCTGGCGTCTCACCTAACAACCCTCACAGTCCTTCCAACCTCTCCCCGCTCAACCTGTTCAACCCTACCCCTAACCTTCTTCCAAACCTCCTCAGCAACCTCCTCCACACTCCCGCCAGCATCAACCACCACAAGATCCTCCTCCTCCTGCGTCCAGCCCTCGCCCTCATCCAAACCAAGTCCCTGCGCTGCAACGTCCTTTCCGCCCATGCTGAGACCCCAGAATAATTCCCGTACACGTTTCTGCATACCAGATCGTTCATAAACTTCCCCACCCCAACCACCTCGAGCTTGAGCTTGCTCCTCGGTCAGATCGAGAAACAGCACGAGATCTGGTCGGGGAAGACCGCGTTCTGGTGCTCGTGCCCAAGGGAGGGTCAGAGAGGGGTTTTGCTTGGCGGCTGAGTAGACTATGCCTGAGTGATAATACCGGTCGCAGACAATTGTAGTACCAGAAGCGAGGAGAGATTGAATTTGTTTGCTAAACGGTCAGAATTGAAGTGTAACAGACCAGCATACTCACACAGCTTCCCATCTGTTTGCGCTGAACAATAGATGAATAACATGATCATCCATCTCGACATCACTCTTGAGATAAGCATCAATCATTTGACCAATTGGTGTAGTCCTGTCTACAAACCATCAGCATAACTCACTACTTTGTCAGTGACTTACCAGGAAATCTCATAACCTTGACCTTTTTACCCTCCTCGACAAATCTCTGCTCCAACAGTTTCACCTGCGTCGTCTTTCCACTTCTATCCAAACCCTCCAAAACAACGAATGCGCCTCGAGCTGAATCATCGGCAGTATCAGAGCTCGCAATCGCGGCTGTAGCTAAATCGTTGATTGAAGCCATGATGGTTGATGAGGGGAAGTGGATTGCTGACGAAATATTCACACTGTTTTGGTTAGTGGTTCACGTGGGACACAGTGCGGCAGGAATCAGATCATAATTTACACTCAGTGAAACACATTCAGGTATCAATTAATACTCAGACAATAATGCAATCACAAAACTATAGCCCCAGCTCTTGGTAGCCTAAAGAAGAAGAAGAACGCCGGCCAAACTCCTCCATCCGTATCCATACCCATCCATTCCATCATTCATTCCATCCATATCCATTACCATAACAGTTCATGACTTGTTCATGCCTCATGCCTATACAGCTTCATCATGTGCGCTGCCGCTTTCCCACAACTCAAAACTTTCTCCTGTTCCTTCGATTGGTTCCAAAACTGCAGCCTTGCTTGGGCCTTCTGTGGGCTTGGCCATTAGGTTGTCGATGTCTTCTGTTGAAGGATCGATGGGCTTTTCAGTCGCATTCACCTCTGGCTCATCTTCAGGTACAAAAATGACAGATGTCTCATCACATCCTTCAGCGTAAAAGTCGGCAGTGTTCATTTCTCCCAATGCGACACGCTCTTTCTCAACAACCATCTCATCAGCTTTTGGTGCGCGACGAGTTTGAGAGATGTCATCAGGAGGGGGGACATTTTCCTTATCGCGACCCTCTGCACGATCTCTGTTGAGCTTCCGTTGACTCTCCTCGTCGGACGAAATGTCAAGTACACATGTGCTGTGTTGAAGAAGGTTGGTCATCTCTTGTTCGGGTGTGTCCTCGTGAATGTCAAAGAACCAGCTAGCCTTCATGTCTGGTTCATGCAGAGCAGTGATGGGTTCCTTCTTGGCGCCATAGCCAGGAATAGTACCCTTGAGAGCAGCATCGAGAGAAAAGGGAGCGGCAGATCCAAGACTGAATGAAGGAGGATCAACACGAGTGTAGGGACCAGCAGTGCGTCGTCGGCTAGATGCGATACCGGATCGCTTGCTTCGTGTGGGAGATCGACCAGCTGGAGCATAAATGGGAGAAGACTTTGAGATGCCAGAGCTGAGTTTGGCGGGTGATTTAGGTTGAAGAGTGCGCCGGGTCTTGGTAGGGCTCGTGAGGCGATTAGGAATGGGAGATGCAGATACAGGTGCAGTAGGCTTGAGGATAAAAGCAGACGGCTTGAGGATGCTGTCCTTTAGGATGTCCTTGTCCTTGGAACCTTTTGATCGCTTGGCAAAAGAAGTAGGATCGACATTTTCAGAATCATCGGTATCAATCAATTCAGCCTTTCGCTTACCACCAGTTGGCAAAGCTAGTCATGTCAGTGAAGCCCAAACACTCCGCATCTCCACATACCATTCTGCCTATTCTTGAGACTGGTCAAGGTCTGGAGACGAGTCCCATCAAGGGGAGCAAATGGTTGACGAGTGACAGTAGCCATGATGGACCCAGCAGCGAGTGAAGTTCTTGTTTATTGTTATCGCGTGAGTCGAACGTGTAAATGAGTGAGGACGATGATGAGTGAAAGTGGGAGGGAGCGGGTAGAAAAGAGGTGCCAGAGGTGGGTTCTGGTGCGGAGGGCGCGTGGAGAAGATCGGTAATAAGGGAGCTCAGCGCGAAAGTGGGTTCCCTCTAGGGCGTCGTGCCTTGGACGTGAGCGCGGACGTGACGGCGGCCACTAGAAGCAGGTCACTAGAATGCCTACAGAGGGCAGTGGGCCGACAGGTATGAAACGAGAATGCAGATTCGCGACCGTGTTAATCAAGCCAACCGGTAGTGCACGGAATTTGATCGTCGATGTCCAGAGCATTGATCATTTCAAGATAAGGCCATCTCTGCCTGAGGTGTTTTCCCCTCAATCAATGCAAGTTGGTCACCGCTAAGGACTTTTCCAAAATGATTCGCTCAATGCAACATGCCTTGGCCTTGTGGGACGTCCAAAACTCCACAAGCGTCAACCCAGTCTGCTCCATGTCGTATCCAATCGTCGCGTTGAGCGCCAATGCAAGGGAGATTCAGCATGCAGGATGAAGACATTTAATATAACGCAAGTTCGTGTTCCTTGATCTGTGCAAGCCTGAACTCAATGCCCAAACTCGTCTTGCTGTCGTGCCCAGCCAGCTCTGTGCATGGCCGCCAATATGCGACCATGGTCTCATCACAACCTTGGCAGACACAGAAATCCAATTGGTTGTCGTCTTTCAGCTGATCTGATGATCGCCAACCAGCTATTGCCTCCACTGAAACGGGTCCCTGTAAAGTGTAACTTTAACCTGGCTTGTTACTATTAAAGGCCAGACCACCCGCGAACTCTCGCGTCGTGTCCGTGTCGAACCCCTCTTGATGATACTTATGTGCAACGCTGATGCATCGAGCTGCAAGTCGGAGGCTGGGAGGCGGGACAGTAACATTCGCTCGGCGTTTGCCACAAATTTGACCTGGTCGCATGCATAGCCTGCCAACTCAGAGACCATATGTGACCATAAAGTCTGGACATCTTGCACCAATGCTTCAGTAACAACACACACTCTACCGCCATGGTCGCATGAGGTTGCAGTTGAAGATATATCTATTGTAAGCCCCTATCAAGTGATAATACTACTGTCATGTCTGAGGTTGAATCATAATAATATTCCACCGAATTGTCACTGGCTTCTTGACCTCGCCGCTTTCCTCGCCTTCCTCACTCACTTGTCCTCATGAAGATGGTGTGGTCCACGAGTTCCCGACCTGCTCGGACCTTGCTCATCATCTTCAAGCATGTGCTGCCGTGGTGCTTTGGTCCGGATCACCGTATCATGGTGCAAATGATGAGATGAAGGAAACGCTCCTGGTGTCTTTTCGTCTTGCCGAAGCTGATGATCAGGACTAGCTCGGTATGTTTCAACTCGATCGAATCCAATGTCGTGATTGGGTTGGGTCTCATTCGTCTCGCTTGCGTCCTGAAACAAATCGTGTCGATGAACTGCAGGTGGACTGGCAGGTGCCTTTGTATCGGTTCGAAGTTGATGAATCGAAGGAGGATACACAGGAGCAGAACTGTCATCCTTCAACCGGTGAGGTGCCTTGGTTCGGTATGGTCCTTTTGGATCTTTGGAGAGGTCATGACTGTGGTCAAGCGTTGCGTCGGTGGGTGCAACCGGATCTTGAGCGATTGATCTCTCCCGGGGCTTGCTTCGGCTGCTTGCAGATGAAGTTGAAGACGTGCACTCGGATGAACCTTCGGGAATGCATGGAAGGCTTTCATCGGGTTCCGTATCACAAGTGGTGACCTTGCTGTGCGATCTAGAAGTGCTCAAGGATGTGGTCATTGAAGGTTCGGTCTCATACCCACAGCAACCGCGTCTCCGATGATGTCCATGATTGATGAGTTCGTGTTCGATCTGAATGAGGGTGTCACATGGATAGCAGCAGCCATATAAATTGTCTTCATTACGGGTTCCTTGGATGTTGTAGAGATCGCGAACATCTGAACGCAGTCTGGAGATCAAGATACCATAGACTAGACATGTTAGAGTGGTTGACCTGCAAAGGGACACCTACAAGGCAAGCAGGCAGCAAATGTCAAGCAGGGAACAGAAACTGCCGGGTTCTTCAGAGGCTTCGACTAGTATTCCTCATGTGTATCGACGATTCCTTTCTTGCTGACCCTGAATCTGACATGGCCATTTGGGGGTGAATCATATTCATACTCCCTGTTGACAGCATCACCGTAGCTCTTTTTGGATCGACCGTAAACAATGCAAGGGCAGAAAATTGCTTTCCATAGGACGTTGACTGGGGCGAGATCTTCATCATCGTACAGCCATTGTCCAGCGAACGGCTTCTCCATGGTGTATAGTGAGACGACAAGCGGCGATAAGGGCAAGGAAAAGAATGATGATAATGCAGTGATAAACAAGATTGATGAAGATGATGAAGAGTTTGAGAGGATGGTGATGAGAAGAGTAGGTGTTGAGTGAAAGATGCATGCAAATGGCAGGTGAAAGCACAGTCGCGCTGCTTCCTGGAAACAGTGGTGATGCCTTCCTGAAGACATGGCAAGGTCACAGGAACAAATGAAATGGCAAGAGCTGATCGTGAGCCGCCTCAGTTCCCCAGTTCCTCATTTTCCATCGCCCATCATCCATCTTCATTTATCACTTCAACACAATCATCAATCTCCCCTCCCCACCGTCTTTCATCATCAATCGCCCATCGCCGTTCCTCAACGGACTCTTCATTTCAAGCGGAAATATTGAGCTCCCATTCACAAGCCTGACCCTCAAGCAGAATCATCCATCATCCATCAGCCATCTCGACATCCAAATCCCATCATCTGTCTGCCATCAATCATCACCCTTCATCAACAGAACCATCATTTTCCAAGCGGAATGTCAAGTTGGCAGTCACAAATTGCAGCCCGCAGTTGCTGGCCAAGCTTCTCGAGCTCAGATCTCGATATACTGACTTTAGCTGCACTGGAACCATGTTGCCATGATTCACAACCAAGCTGACAACCCTGATTCATCATCTAACAATAGACAAAAGCCACCACTATTCGAGCGATGAAGCTGAGTTCCCGCTGGAAAACATCACCGGAGGTTAATGGTAAGTCAGCGCCATCTCCACGACCAAATTCCGGGTTGATTGAGTATGAAGCTTGGTGATAGACGCTCGTGCAGAGGATGGAAACGAGGGTGATGACGAAGCTACTGAACCGTTATAGACACTACGACCACGTTGCAAGCATCAATGTACTGTTTCATCTTTTGTTGCTAGGAGTTTACTGATGAGACCCAGACATACCCCTCCGATTGCTCACCATGGCCAACACGACTGGCCTCCCCAAAGATGACTCCTTGTAAATAAGCGGCTGAGGCAAGCGGGCCGAGAATACTTCTTCATTGACCCGGCTTAGCTAAATCTTGACTGATCAGAGCATCAATTTGCCCTTCGAAACATCTCAAGGGTCTTCGAGCAGGTGATATTTCGGCCATGGTTAGGCACTATGTATGTCTGTTCTGCCACCATCGATTCGTATATTGACAGTCAAAGACTGCTTTACAACCTTGGACAAGGTATCAACACTGGCCCAGTCCATGTGGCACGCCGGTGTTGTTTGCAGTTGAAACCTGTGACTGAGATCTTATATCAGCACAGAGAACTTAGCACGCCGAGGGCAACGGAGAAAGCTTTCTTTCATTACTCGTTCTTGAAGCTGAGCATGTCTGCGGTGACGCTGCTGCCCATGTAGAGGAGAAGAAGCCCAATGCGGCGCGCTATTCGAATATTGTCACTGTTGCCAATCTACAGCGGGGGCCAACAAGCCTCTTCACAGGACCAAGGCCACCTTCGTTCGACCCTCCGATATCCTCGCCCCTTGAGTTGTCACTGATCCTATCCGGACATCGCTGCAGAGTCGCTTTCTTTCAGTCCTGCTTCCACCATTCACCTTTCTCAGTAGGTTCTATGTCTATCATACCAGACCGCCTGGCTAACTGACGATACAGATCGTGCGGCTTTTGCCAACGCCATGTGAGACCAACTAAACCAATTTGTTGACAGGTAGCAAATCTGCTCAGAGGTACTGTCCGGTTTGTCACCAGGACCGCTACTGATGAGATGCAGCCACACTTCGTTGTCCGACCGTGTCCGACTGCGACTGACCTTGCGGTCATAACGAAGAGGACTGCCCATGGATCAGCAGGAAGGCGAGTAGGGCGACAACGCTGCAGCAAGCAACCAGCTAAAATATTTCCAGTCTCAGAAGCGGCATGCATTCACCTTTCCAAGCATGTCGATGCCATGCAAGCCTGCTAGTAGGTACTGCCCCCAACTTTCGATGTCGCTGGAGAATTTACTGACTAGGTGCTGACATACCATGACCTACTACGACTCGTCTTTGGTCAGTGGCGGATTTAACTACTTACAGATTGACAGGCGACCCTCGATGATGCTTCTGAATCAAACATCTACTGTAGCTAAGCCCGCCATATGTGAGTGACAGCATCAGTTCCTTGCCCAGAAACATGTCCTTCGGAAAGCATGTCTGATAATGAGATCAGGTGCTTGACTCCTGACGACAAGCTTCCTACGGACTCAGTGTGGCTCGAATGCAGAGAACTATCATCGTGAGTGCTCATAGGAGCATACGAAGAAGACCGCACTCATATACTCTCAGCAACCCTTTGGTGTCTGGACATCAACTGCGTTGATAGAAGGAGTACAAATGACAAACAACACTCAGCACTAATCAGCCCAGACAACTGCCATGTGCTTCTCGCCGCCTGCTCAAACATCTTCCATCTACTGAAGAGTGCTGACGACAACCTGGACTCAATGGTAATCCAGGGATGTTGCCATCGAGCTTGGGCTTCTCTTGACATGTGGATTGACATTCAACAGATATGCCAGATACACACCAATTCTCTAGATCCATCGACTTGCCTCAGACTGACACCACACAGGAGGATCGATACCAATTTGGAGCTTAGGATACTTGTAGAGCACGGAGCAGTGACTACTCTCATGCACCTTTCGAGAAGCTCCCGATTTCTGGGCTCCGGAGTGCTACTAGAGGTGAGTCAGAGTCAGCGCAATTCAGCACTAACAGCCCAGGGAATCACCTATGCTCTTCGCCGACTTGTGCAACTTGCTCAGCCTCTATAAATGCTCGGTCTCAATTGCCGAAGAGTGTTGATGATGCCTAGATACCATTGTGATCGATGAAGAGGCGGCCTCCACAGCTCTATCACTCGGACCTTTACGCATACTGACCTTACGATCAACGTCCAACCGCGGCGCCGGACACGCTCCTCAACCCCTTTGCCGTTGGATAGCCTCGACAGAGCATTAGTGGTATATTGAAGGGACCCACGACGATGGGTATCGGCTTCAAGTTTGCATTGCCTGTGTAACACCGAGCAACGACGGCGAACACACTCTCTGCGTGCTTTGAATGATGCTGATGGTTCCTAGACACGATGGCAACCGGTGAGGATGCCGCTTCCACGACTCTATCGCTCGGGCAAACAATAATATCGACTTGACAACTGACATCCGATCGCTATGCCAGATGCTCCTTGCCATTTCACCCCGTCGAGTAGCCACCAACAGGCACTGAGAGTCAGTCGAAGGACATAATGACCGGCATTGATCTTGAGCTCATGGTCCTCGTACAGTAACAAGCCACGCCCCTGTCTCGTACCCTGTGATTGCCTCGAAGAGTATTGATGTGCCTACATATGTTAAAAAACTCTGACACTTGATCGCAGATGCCGACTTCATCGTTTACGTCTGGCCGCTGTACCAGAAGCTCCCCATTCCCGAACCCTCGAATAGCGCCCAAGAGGCACCAAGGGCAAGCAGTTTGGGACACTGACTGCGTATATAGTTACGCTGACGTCAAGCATAGGTCAAGTTAAATAGCGTCGCGTCTCGATACCAAGCTCAGTCTTCCCATCTGCGTATTGGGTTCTGTCAACTCCTCCAATATTCATGGAGCTGAAGATCCCACCGAGTCCGCGCTGTTCGGGTCAAGCGACGATGTCTTCTACACTTTACGACGTTCTGGTTGCCGCATAGAGCTGAAGAACGCTGACTGAGGGCCGAGATACGATGTCAGTAGGCCAAGGTCGAGCTGATCGCTTTGTGTCTCAAGCTATAACCCTCCGTCTTTCCGTCTGCGCTGATGGGATCTTGTCACCTTTCTCCGGACCTTGCCAGATGCATCGGCAACAGGTACAAGCGCTCGTTGCGGTTCCAATTACGACTGACGTGGAACTTCGCAAGTCGAGCCATGTCTCCAGTCATTGGATCGATCAGCATCTGATGACGCTGACAGATACTCCGAAATGCTTCCCGCAGGCTGCCTCATGCAACGTTAAAGGGCACCTGAGGGCTCGCATTTGCTGCATCGAACCCATCTCGGTGAGCAGTCATCCACCATTCAGCGCTGGCCATTGTGGTGAGGACGCCCGGGCTCTTCAATTTCATTCGCAGGTTCTCTCCCATTCTTAGGCCACTTCATCTTGGACAGGCCGAAAGTACTGGTTGGATATGTAGGTACGAAGTTGATACAAGAACGACACGGCCTTCGAGACGAGACAGATTTGGAGGGCAGCCATTTCCGCCCGCTCCAATTTCCGATACGATACAGGTCAAAACACCACGTTTGGCATGCATTGCTTCCAATTTGATGTTTCAAACATAAACTTCAGCAAATCTCTGCATATTCGCGCTGATCATTCAGGCGAGTTTATGCGCTGACAAGTTTACAGGTCTTGCTCCTATTTGCTGATAAGGGCCCAACTGAAAGTGCTGATTGCATTCTAGACATCGACACATCGAAACGGCTGGCTTCAAATCGACGAAGAAATTGAAGACGTCAGTATCCCGGCACTTACGACTACCTTCAACGACACAAAAATGCACTCGATTGACATCAACTTGCATGATGCTCTCGTTGTGGCACTGATCTCAAATTAGACCAATATTTGTGGGCATAAAACACCCTGACAGGGATCACTACAGGTCAGCGTCTCCCACTCAGGAGAGACTTGATTGTCACCACTTATTCGTATCAAGCGCAAATCCGAATACAGTGGTTCAATCAACTGCCGTCCTGCCACTAAGCGTCACCGTCGTCATCGGCTGAAGCGACTGTATCACCATCGAACCTTCAAAAGTGGCAATAGAAACAATGAAAATTCCAGCTTCAGGTCCGTTTTTGGTAAGGAAAAACGGCAACAACATCAGTGGCAGCAGACACAGTACAATGACAGCGCCACTGAGCACCCGCTGAACTCAAGTCTAGAACTCTTCTTATCCCATTCCTTGGCAATGGAAGCTAATGCAGGGACCCCAGCAAATGCAGAGACCAGGTTCTGGACTTTAACTGAAGAACTCACTTGCACTGAGGGGAACTTGCATTGGGATGATTTCGCATCTGGTACGTAAATCTGAATTGACTGTGATATCGGATCTATTATACGCGGAGATTGGGATTAATTGTGATCAAGTTATCGGATCCTTATACGCGGGTTCCTTGCTAGACACGGACACGATTCCGAGTGCGATAAAAATACACGGAACTCCAAAACACAAGTGGATGCTGTGCCGTGATTGAAACACAACGAATACGCACAAGGACCGAGCCATGGAAATCGAATTCGATCGTGGCGATATACATATCAATAAGATTTTGTGGAAAGCTTCTTTATTCAGGGCAGGAATTCTGTGGCTTCAACTCCCGCGGTTCGAAGCCAAACCTGGTGCCTGTTCCTGGCTGACTCCTGAGGGATCAACGGTGACCACTGTCATGTGTGAAGTCATGCCAGATGATATTGACAGCCCACTGACCAAATCATCAGTTTGGAGGCGTGACATGGACGACATGATAGACAGTTAGACACAAGATCACGGCATCTCGGCTGCCAAGAAGAACAATCTTTCTTGGCTTTGCGGAGAGAATACTCTTATGGCACGGCTTGAATGAAGCTACAATTGGCGAGTCAGTGCCAAGAGCCGGCGATTAACCCATGTTGGTGGCGCCGGCGCTCAGAATTAGCATTAGGATGCGGGTAAATCACTAGATAAACTTGAGCCATTTTTGAAGGGATGGAGGTGTTATTCGTGGGAATCGATCTGGAGACATGCAGCCGTGCCACATGGGATCTGGATCTAGGTCATGAAGGCCTGACTTGAGGTTTTTGTTATCTGCGGGGGAATTCGGCTGCAAGTTCAGTAAAGTCCAGTCAAGTGCGCAAGGTGGGCAGTGCAGTTTTTGTGCATGTCTTTTGTGCATCTCAACTGTGAGCAGACGCGTGTTATGCATCAGACGGACCAAACCTTCATTGGTGATGCCATGATTCGATTGAATGGTGATGGTCCTGGAGCAATCTAGAGCGTAGCAATGGCCTAGCTGATGGGGGCCACTAGAGCCGGGGACCCCCGCTGGACCTAGCTCGTTTAGCTGGGAGCTCCCACCAGGCCCAAAGGCGGCAAGCCCATTGTTAGCGCACCCGCTTCGGGCCCAAGCGTTGAAATGTGCAGGGGGCTTGGTTCATCTTGGATTAGTTAGGGGTTCCCTCTGTCATGTCTCTGTCACTTGTGCTCCCGTTCTCCTCTCCTACGTCTTTCGTGGAAGTCAGTCGAGCGAGTGAGTTCGTTCGATCAGTGGCGTTGCGTTGCGTTGAGAAAGAACTCATATACAAGGTTCCTTCTCTTGGGCCCCATCACTCTCCCTTGCTTCGACCGTCTTCTTCTTCTCATCGCAATCTCGTCTCTTTGGGAGATCCTCTTTGATTCTCTTCTATTTTCTTGGCTTTATTACTTGACCCATCATAACCAATCCAAGCGTTCCATCACCGAACGGACTTGAACGAACCGACGATCCAAACATCCATGTTCTGAAGACCTGCACTCCTTGCCGATTGAGGATTGTCTCTTGCATCTACATTCATTCGACATTTCTACATCTACATCCAACCGCGCAGAGTCCCAACCTAGGTTTCACTCAAGTATGTACCAGCCGTTGGTGTCACTGTCACACCAGCCATAGCCACGCGTCCACTAACCGCGATAGCTTTCAATTCATCCAATCCTTCAATACTTCAATCAATCCGACAATTTGACAACTCGATCCTCAACTCGTCATGCCTTCAAACTACGAAAAACTCTCCCGCCCGAGCGGCGAGACAAACCTCACAATCCCCGAGAAAGCTGCCACAAATGCGACCGTGACCGAGACCCCTCGCATCAGTACAACATCTACACCCCAAACAGACAAGCTCAACCCTTTCGACACCGACATCGAAGCCATGGTCACAACACGAACATCAGACTCATGCATGCACAAAACATCGAGCACCCCCCTGGCCAGAAAGACCGACTGCCAAGTTTGGCCTGGAAAAGATCACTGGAAGCAACAGGCCAAGGCCGCAAAGGCAAAGAACCGCTGCACCTGCATGGCCAAGCTCAGCCAACGCAATCGATGGATCGTCAAGGGTTTGATCATCTTTCTCGTCGTCGGCATCGCTGTCGGTGTTGGATTTGGTGTCAGCAAGCCCCTCAACGCTCCCATATGGGGAGACAAGGACGACAAGTAAACTTGTCTGCAGACAATATTTCGACCTTGCCCTGCATCGACAAGAAATCGACTTGTTCGTTGGCAGGGATTTGTTTCAGGACTTTGTTATCGCTAGCGCGCTGATTTCCTTTCATGAACGGCGTTGTGGTGTCATTTGAGTTGGCATTTCTTAGGAGTGATGGATTACAGAACATGGGTCTTATTTTATTGGGGGTAGACCAAGACTAAACTAGAGTCTAGAATAAAGTCTCGACGGTGGCCGTCATTTCATCGCACAAACTGAGGTTGTCGCATCACACGTGAATACACACCAATCCCCTGCATCTCCACCAGATCTTCAGGAACAATAGCTGCGGCCCGTTGGTCAGTGGGGAACGGAAAGATGCAGATTTGTGAGAAATCACTCTTGATTTGGAAATGGCAGCAAGGAAATAGCCAGTCGAGGTTGGAGATGCTGATGGAGGGGATCCACAGGTACCCGAAGCATCCGATGGGGAATGTACAAAAGATATAACCGCCGCCGCCGCCACTGCATTTATTCTATGGTAATTTCGAGTATCTACCTGAGGTAATATGCATATGTGGTGGAGTCTCTCAACTCGTGTTCCTGTCTTTCTGCATCCACCATTAGAGAGTTTCGGTGTCTCTGTCGCATACGTTGTCTCGTTGCTATGCAGACTGATACCATCCAGGCTAGAACAATGAGCCTGAGAAGGACAAAGCAAGCCGAGGTGTGCATTTTGAAGGTTGTTTGTGTGTTCAGTTGATGGACGGGGAGAACAGAGCGTATTAATAGCGACAAATGGGTGCTGTTCTCTGTTCAATAACAGTCACTGTTCTTTGCCATCACTGCTTGCCAGTTACTCTGCATCATAGTGTTCTATGTTTGTTCACCACAAAGGATGCTGTAGACGAACAATTCACTGTTCAGCACACAATGAAGACAAAGAAGTGAATCATTCGCACACATAAGAAGCATCTTAAAAACCTTCTGCATCACATCCTCCCCTAACACACAAGATGACCAACTCTTACCTCCCGGCTTCCTTCACAGAATTCCTCTCCTGGCCTGTTCGCCGAGACGATGCGCCCGAGTTCAAAAGCGACCGGATCCTCACCATGGGTATTGTCGGGGGCATCATTCTTCTCTTTATCGTACCGCCTACCTGGTATTTCATCGCCAGGACCATTCGACTCCGTCGGGCGAGGGCTAAGGGTAAAGATGTTGAGCAGGGTGCACAGAGTCAGAGACAGTGAACAGGAATAGCACGCAGGTAGTTCACTCAAAGGTGCTGGTTCGCCCCAAGGAGCATCTGCATGAAAACTCAGCCAAACAGTCATCAGAGCACCACCTACTCAGCGCTATATAACTACTCCCCTCCCCATCACTTCACCATCATCACTCATCAACACATCACCACAATGACCAACTCTAACCTCTCAGCTTCCCTCACCCTCGTCCGCCGCAATGAGGTCGGAGAACTTCCCGATCACAAGACCACCTATCTCATTCTTGGCATCTGCTCTGGTGTCTGGCTCTGCATTGTTCTTACTTGGTACGTTGTGAAATGCTGCCGGAAGAGAAAACTCAAAGATGCTGAGCAGGGTCCTGAGCCGTCAACAGTCGAGGCTGGTCCTCGCTGACGGTGAGTAGTAAACGCAGGTCGTTTAGCTTTTTGATGAGTAGATGAAAAGAATAGATTTATTCACTGAACCTTTGTCCAGTCGTGAAGTCATGTAAAACTCCAACAGACTGTCTGTAAACTCTTGTGATGAATCATTGTTTGAACCCTTACACACAAGCTCAAAGTCAAGAGCCACATCAAAAGGTGTATATTGGAATACATGTTCCAACGCCGCGGTATCATAGGTATACACCGACAGTGACCGGAACAGCGTTGGCAGGGCTGGGGTCTTTGTCGGCTGTAGGTTCCAATCCAGACGCCATGGACAACATTAATGCTGCCTGTCTGTGACTGTTCCCAAGTACCTGCTCGACGAACAGCGTTGGCCAAACAGGCCATCAGATCACATCATTTGGAGAGCGTCCAGAACACTCCTCTGTTCCTTGGCCAAGAAGTACAAGTGAACAAGGCTGTTCTCACCTACAGAACTTTCAATATAAGCCATATCCCCCCTTAGGCTTGAGAAAAGGTTTGTGTATGCACTGAATCACAGCCTCGCACGATAATGCGCCCAAGGCACATCATGAAACCATCACCAGAGATGCACCCAATGATCCTACCTTTCATCAGTATCATCATCTCCTTCAACCTCGCCCTCGGAATCATCATGTACTACTTCGTCCGCCGCAAACGACACCTTCCCGATGACGAAGCAATCGAGCTCACCGAGATCAAGCCAAATGCTGACCGAGGCATGCTGGTCGAAATTATCTCCATCTATCGAGACGGCATCGAAATCTACACAAGAGACAAATCACCCGCCAGTCAACGTCTGTATTACCATCCTTCACTCCAGGACCCCGAGCAGGCTCACATGCACCTCCACGACGTCCCAATACCCCCCAAAAGATCAATGCAAGATTTACGAAGAGAATTGTCCGTAGGACTACGTTTGGTACAGCGATATCACAACAAATAAACAATAATCAACACGACTGCATGGTCACAGATCCCACCAGCATCAACACGTCAATACCCTCGGACACATCATTCATCTACATCTAGCATACACCAATACGATTAACAGTCGATTGTATCTCTCAAATACTTCAATAGCCCGCCGTGACCACCGACCGGTAAAGCTGGCCACATTAATGCGGTCCTGCGCCAATACCCATGTTTATCTATCCCAGAGGTGAATCCTGACCCCTTCCGTAATTTGCCCTAGTAATCTCAAGTTTGAAGAAAAGGAGACGATCCAGTTGTGTTGTATGTAATGACAAAGGAAATTGTTTGCTTGCGATTCTCGCGTCGCATGTCGTTATGTTGTCAGGTTCAACATTTACTCGTAAATCGGTCGACTACACGGACTGATACAAAAGGAGCGGCTCGCCGACGTTTTCGATTTCGGGGATCGTGCATTTCAAGTCGAACGCTTTGGATAGGACAATTTTGAAGATCTGTCCAGTTAGCACACTGTACTCTCCGAGAACCAGGAACGGTCACTACCTTTTGCACGTTGATGCTGTGACTTGTACTCGAGAAAATTAATGCAGCTCTCATGGCTTTAGCAAACCGTCTCGCCTGTTGTCGTCAGTCATGTCCCTCCGGGGGCTCCTAGCGGAGGGCTCTTCCTCGCTGCGCTCGTACCTGATTTGAGATTTCTTCTTGGTCTTGGGGAGGAAAGTTGACAAAGTGATCGTACTTTGTACCGACGAGAATCGGAATGGCCGTCTTGTTGAACCCTCGTCCCTGCCGATACCACTCCTTGATGCTATTCAATGTGCTCTTGCGAGTAAGATCAAACATGAAGAGGATAGCGACAGCGTCGTTGCACACAAGAGGCAGCATGTTGACAAACTCTCGTTGACCACCGAGATCCCAAATCGAAAAGGTGATTTCTGTGTTACGGATGGAAATTGTCTTTTCCATGAAATTGACACCTAGCGTTTGGATATAGTCCTCATCCCAGCTTCCCTCGACGTACTTGACCATCAACGAGGTCTTGCCGATCTGTGCATCACCAACCATTCCGACCTTGATGACAACATGGTTTCGACCGTTGGATGATGGCTCACCGGAACTCTGTCGATAGTCGTTGTAGGCTTGATGTGCGGGGTTGGACAAGCCACTGGCCGGGCGGGAAATTGGTGGTGCGGTTTGGACGGGAGGAGTATATCTGGTGGAAGGGTCTTCTTGTCGTGGACTTTGAGCTAGCCCTTGATCGAGGGATGTGCTTTGCTGATGATGGAACCCATTCGGGTGGGGAGATTCTTCGATGCCTCCGAGAGTCTCATCTTGACCCGGCGGTGGCAGTGGGACCTCATGGGGAGGTGAACTCATGATGTGTTCCATGGTTGCAGGTTCGGCCGGAGCCGAAGGAATCGTGTAGTCGTCCAGCGTGAAGGTGTGACGGGTATCGTGGTGAACGGTGTCGAAAGGGTGACGGTGAAACAGTCGAGTCGGATGATGCGAGCGATGAACGAAAGAAATTGGTAGAGAACGTGGTCGGAGAGAGTGACAGAAGAAAAGATCAGCTTGTCGACAGCATCAAGCTAGTTGACAAGTGATGATATCGTGATGCGCAGCGGGGAGGTCAAGACGAGGCAGCTGAAAGGTGGCGGAGTCGAAAAGCCACCAGAGTGAAACCGTGAGACAAGCCGTTTAGCGTTGAGACCTCGGCGGCAGAAATTAATCGCGTTCACACACTTTTTTTCTTCTAGACCAGAGATCGGGCGATGCGTTTTGTTGGAGCAGGGAGTTTGCGCTGACGTTTGTAGAGGATGATGGTGGGAGCCTCTTGTTTAGGCCAGAAGCGGGACGGAATTTCAAGGCACCGGGTTTGCAGCTGGTACAGGCCCAAAGTGGAGGGATGGATTCTAACAGCACAACAGGGGATGTGGTATTTGAGATGAAATGTTCTGAAAATAGTCCATTTGACTTAATTTCGAGATAAACTTTGCTAGGCCATGCTTATGCGTGAAATGTTGTGATGATGATGGTGGTGTTTTAGCGTAGCGCAGCGCGTCAACGCGTTTGGACAAGTAATTGGTTGGGATTTGGTGTATGGCTAGCTGAGATTGCGCAATAACTGCGTCTGATCTGACTGTCCACCATCTGAATAGAACGTCAACATTTGTAATGTAAATAGCAGCCATGTTATTGTAGCAGAAGATGTATGGTAGTATCAGTACGGTAGTATGCAAGACAGCTGGCAGCTAAACAACCAGGTAAACAGATGATTCAAACCCCACGTTGACATATCTCCGATTGGACCAGTGCTTCCTCATGTCTTGTTAATTGACGGCCAAATTCTTGTGCCTTAATTGCAATTGCATTCCACACTCAGATACCGTGCAGAGTAGAATTGCTGTAGAATTGCTGTAGAATTGCTGCTGCAATGAACTTCATGATGCTGACTAAGTCGGCTTCCCTCCGATCCACTCGGCCCATCTCCGCATGATGCCGACAAAGCTTGAACTCTGATATCACCATCCGCATCATCACAATGGCCTCAATTTCTCGGTCTCTACGCGCCGCAGCCCCTCTGGCTAGGGGTATTGTGCCCCGCGCAGCTATCCGCACGCCAATCCGAGCATTCTCCTCCACCAAACTGAGTATGTGCCCGACCTGGATCGCTGCAATGACGACACTAACCAAGCAGGCCTCGCTAGAAGATACACCAAGGACCACGAATGGATTGATCTCTCGGCAGACAAGAAGCACGGCTTCGTTGGAATCTCCGAATACGCCGCCGAACAACTCGGAGATGTCGTCTACGTCGAACTACCCGAGGCTGGAACATGGGTCGAGCAAGGCGATGCTGTCGGAGCTGTCGAGTCTGTCAAGTCTGCAAGCGACATCAACGCTCCTGTTCGTCTACGAGTCCTACAAGTCAACGACAACCTCGAGGAGAAGCCTTCAACTATCAACAAGGTCCCCGAGGACGACAGCGCCGGAGGTGGTTGGATCGCAAAGGTCGAGGTGGATGAGGAGGGTGCGAAACAATTTGAGAAACTATTGGATGCCGAGGCCTACAAGACTTTTGCTGGAGCTGAATAGAATACAAGGGTATTGATCTGCCGTACAGTCCCCGACTGCCATGACGCTACTTGACTGTCTCCGGGACTTGTCGGAGCCTAGTGATCTCATCAAGAATACTACCGCCTCCCCGTTCAACCAATGCATTCGCCAACTTTCTCCCAAACTTGTCTGCCTCTTCATGTGTCTTGACAGGTTCTGTTATGTCAGAGTCAACGCCGTGGTCACCCCGAAGATTGACGACCGTAGCCTTCATATGTAACTTGTCGTCAACCCATTTGGTCTCAACACCAATAGGCACGCTGCAGCCACCCTCAAGTGCCCTCATGAGTGCTCGCTCGGCCTCGCAAGCAAGAGCTGTCTGTTCGTTCTCGATCGTCTTGAGCAACCGAATCACCTCTTCGTCATCCGCTCGGCACTCAACTCCCAGCGCTCCTTGACCAACAGCATGAAGAATACCGCCATTGTCAGACTCCAGAAACTGTGTAATGTGGTCTCCGAGATCCATCCGCTGGAGACCTGCCGCGGCCAGAATGATGCCGGTCAAATCGGGATCCTCCTCAAGCTTGCGTAGACGAGTCTGGATGTTTCCTCGGTGATCCTTAAACTTGAGCGTCGGGTAACGTCGAATCAATTGAGCAATTCGCCGAACGCTGCTAGTACCAATGATGCTCCCGTCCGGCAGATCGGCCAGAGTCTTCCAGCCGTGCTTGTCCTGCAATTCCTTCTTGATCACGAGTGTATCTCTCGGGTCCTCGCGGGACGTGACACATCCGAGAACGCAACCCTCGGGGAGAACCGTCGGCATGTCTTTGAGCGAATGAACAACAATGTCGAGCTCCTTGTTGACGAGCTTCTCCTCTAGCTGAGAAGTCCAGAGACCCTTTCCGCCAAAGTTGTAGAGCGCTGTGTTTTGATCACGATCGCCAGTCGTTGTCATGCTGTGGATGTTGAATTCATGATCGGGAAAGTTCTTCTTGAGCGCATCGACGACGATTTGGGTCTGGGCGAGTGCAAGAGGCGACTTTCGCGTGCCGACGTTGACAACGCCTTTGCTCTGAGATTCGGCCATGATTCTTGATTGACGAGTGTAGGATGACGACTCGTACCATGGAGGGGCAAGCTCTTTTCCTCCAACGATGGTGGGGCAATTGTACAGTGCGGGGTATAACACTGTAGCAGTGGATAACTTCATGATGTAAATGTGGATGTTGTGATCGTGATCTCGATGATCCGATTATATAGCCGGGTTCTAGTTATAGTCAACCTTTGATAACCGTAAAAGTAGCATTAAATAACCTTGCTAGCACGCATGGACATGAGCATGCGCTACACGAGAGTAACGGGCGCGAGTGCCGGCCTTGAGCAACGCTTTGACATGTACGTAGCAACCGATATTGGGCATCAGACGGATGAGAGACAGACAGAGACGAAGAGATGGACGAAGAGAAAGAAGAAGGGATAAGTAATGGAAAGGACGAAATGATTGTATAACGATACAGTAACCGTGAACTATATAAGAAGAGACAACAAGCAGTTCACATCATCACCACCAACACTCGTTAATATGAAGTTTCAACTTACTATCCTTACTCTGGCTGTCATAGCCCTTGCAAACCCTCAGGCTCCTCCTGATCCAACACCAGCTCCCCCTGACCCAACACCTCCTTCAACCTCTGAGCAGCCTGCACCTCCTCCTGACCCCCCAGCTCCGGCACCTCCAGCTCCTCCTCCGGTCTCTCCCCCGGCTGATCCCCCGGCTGACCCTCCAGCTGAACCGTCTCAACCTCCTCCTCCTCCTCCGCCGCCGCCTCCTCCGTCTCAGCCTGCCCCGGTACCTCCTCCATCCGGACCAGCTCCTGTTCCTCCTCCAGCTACTCCCGCCCCAGCACCCCCTCCGGACCCAAGCCCTCCCCCGCCCCCGAGCTCAACCGCTGAACCTCCTCCTCCCGAGGGACCAATCTGCGAATGCGGCTACACTTACTGCTCCTCAGTCCTCAAGGGCATGGGTATGTCCACCACCACCCCAACGACCAAGACTAACGAGCCCAGACAACCCATGGAATGAGGCTCAACTCTCCGAGGCATACTGCAGCACGCCGAATGTGAAATGCGACGGCGAAACACCAACTAGCAGTATAGATAATGCTCTGTTCATCTGCCTATGCGATCAGCCTAGTCAAAAAGTCGGAAACCATCTTGAGTTTCTCTGCGGCTGCGATAAATGTCTTGTTGTCAAGCCTGACTACAGAGGAAGATGCAAGACTCCCCCATTAGCTGGATCCAAGGGCGGGAAGGGTAATAAGGTCAGAGGAACTAATCGACTGGGCTTCTGGATGTAGGTAATCGTGGAGGAAGTCGCTCATTTGGTGTTTTTGTTAGATCTAAATTGACCCATTGCTACTGAGTCTGTTCGATCATCAGTGTTTGCAATCGCTTCAAGACTTGATGAGACTGAGATACGAGCGTAGCGAGACAGAGCCCTCCGCTAGGAGCCCCCGGAGGGATCTCACATGCCTCCAAAGTCGAATGCTCCAGTGAATCAGACTTCACATCTGCATCAAAGTGACAAACTGCATGATCCAAACATCTGCCACGAATGCTGGCTTACACATCAAGTGGATCTCTCTCTCTTCCACGAGCATCCATCAGCGGTGCGTGCAAACCTCGAAGCCCACGCATCGGCCGCTCCGGGTACGTGACCCCGGCCCGCCCCACACAAAAGCCGGCGCTACACGGGGTTAAGTGCCGAGAATGGACGGCTAGGCCCGTTAGTCTGACGTCAGTAGCAGCAAGAGCCGGACGGAAGAGTTTGTCAATGTGCTCGAAACGGTAGAGAATTGGCCCGACTGCAAGGGTCCAAGCGTGGAGAAGGGAGACGTCTGCATGTGGTATAAAGGTGAGTGCGTCATCCAGTAGAGTTTGTTTCATCATAGCACTTCATCTCATAACTCATCTCATATACCCAACCACAAGCATATACTCTTTCACTCAACATACCCATCTCGACACACCTTTTACACCAGATACCCAATTCATACACAATGGCTCCCAAGGTTCTCGTCGTTCTCACCAGCCAGTCCAAGATGAACAATGGACACCCCACCGGCTGGTACCTGGTAAGCCGCTCACTCACCCACTCACCGCATCTCAATACTAACCTCACAAACAGCCCGAGTTCGCTCACCCATACTATGACCTCGTCAACAAGGGCGTCGAGATCACTGTCGCCTCTCCCGCCGGCGGCGAAGCTCCCCTCGACCAAGCCTCCGTCGAGATGTTCAAGGGCGACGAGGAGTCCGTAAAGTTCCTCAACGAGAAGAAGCAGATCTGGGAGCAGACCACCCCCCTCAAGGAGTTCCTCGGTAAGGCCTCCGAGTTCGACGCCATCTTCTACCCCGGCGGCCACGGCCCCATGTTCGACCTCGTCAACGACGAGACCTCCATCAAGCTCATCGAGGAGTTCTACAAGGCCGGCAAGCCCGTCGCCGCCGTGTGCCACGGCCCCATTGTCTTTGTCAACGTCAAGGTCGATGGCAAGCCTCTCCTCGAGGGCCGCGAGGCTACCGGTTTCAGCAACTCTGAGGAGGAGGCTGTCAAGCTGACCAGCGCCATGCCCGTCCTTCTCGAAGATGAGATCAAGCGTGTTGGTGGAAAGTACGTCAAGGCTGACGACTGGGCTGAGAAGCTGGCGGTTGATGGACAAGTTATCACTGGACAGAACCCTGCTTCTGCCCACGCTGTTGGAAAGGCCATTCTCAAGGCCATTGGCGCTTAGATAGATCATGATACCACATTAATGCAATGAGATAATGTCCAAAGTTGGCAAATTGTACCCTGTTGTTCCCTCCGGGGGCTCCTAGCGGAGGGCTCTTCCTCGCTGCGCTCGCGACTTCAGTGACATTGTAAATAAGATGATTTTGAAGATCACATGTCAATTACTATGCTGAACTCATCTCAGTGAATACGCCCTTCTCACTGCCTACACACCTCTTCATATTGAACTAGAGTGTACATACACAATACTCATAAGAGACAAATGCGTGATAAGTGACTGTCATTACATTACTACTAATCTTTCTTAAAAACCTTCTCAAACCCAGTCAAAGTGAACCTATAATGCACCTTGTTCTCCTTCACTCGCTCAACAGCCTCAGCACATCCCTTCTCCGAGATATCAATAGTCTCAACCCAAGCAACAATGTTCTTCTCGGCAGCCAACTTGAGCATAGCATCCATCTCCTGGTGGTTACCGAGATGGCTTCCCGTGATCTTGCCAGCATTGCCAGCAAATGTACCGGCAGTCATCTGAGGAAGCGGCTCGTCAGGAATACCGACGTTATGAAACTCTCCTCCAATGTTGAGCGTGGACATGTACGCGCTCATGTCGAACTTGTGCGTCATGTCGGCGCAGTTGAGGATAAAGTCAAAGGTGAACTTGTACTTGTCGGCCCAGTTCTCATCGGTTGTGACGATAACTTCCTTTGCGCCGAGTTTCTTTGCATCCTCCACCTTTGAGGGGGAATGTGTCATGGCGTAGACTTCAGCGCCGAGTGCCTTTGCCCATTGAATGCCCATGTGTCCAAGGCCGCCGATACCAACGATCGCAACAGTCTTTCCAGGGCCGACGTTTGCTCTCACGAGGGGCGAGTAAGTGGTGATACCCGCGCACAGAAGAGGAGCAACCTGCTCAGACTTGAGAGCGTCGGGAATCTTGAATGTGAAGTACTCGTGAGCACGGATATGCGATGCAAAACCGCCATGAGCAACACTTCCATCCGGATAAGTGCAGTTATACGTGTCTACCATATCAGGACAGTAGTTTTCGTTCTTGTTCTTGCAGAGCTTGCACTCCAAACACGAAGCGACTTGAGCACCGACGCCAACACGGTCCCCGACCTTGATGTCCTTGACGTTGTCGCCTACGCGGACAGCCTTGCCGACGACTTCATGGCCGACGCAGAGAGGGCCTTCAAACTCGCCCCAGCCGCCTGTGACGGTGTGCACGTCTGAGCCGCAGACGCCGCAGGCTTCAATCTCCACGTCGATATCGCGATCGCCCCAGGTCTTGGGCTTGAGGGTTTGTTTTTGGAACTTGTTCCATGATTTGGGGCTGTCGACGCAGAAGCCTTCAAAAGTATCGGGGTAGCCCATGATGAGAAATGGTAATTAATAAATGATTGATCTGTCTATCAGGGTTCTCTATTCAAAGTATTTATATCCTCTCACTCTTCTCTCCCCTCCGCCTTCTCTGTTGTCTGTTCTGAACTTTCTTAATGACGTCTTGAGTTGAATGTCTATGACGCTCCGCGATAAAAGCTCCGGCGAGATATTTGCATTGACAGCATCATTTGTTCTCCATTTGCACTCAATCGGGTAAGCTTCTCGAAATCTAGTCAGATCGGGATGCATTCTGAGTGCAAGTTGGAGATAAGTGGCCGTATTAAAACCGTGGGTCAAATGACGTAGACGACGATTGGCGAGATTACGTTGCAACGAGATTGAGTAGTATTCGGGGGCCTACGTGATAATTCCGATTAAACTGATAATGCATACTCTTCGATGAGAGGATAAATCGACTCGTACAGGCTGCATCTCTGATCCAGCACTGATTGGTCGATGATTGAAGGTCCTGATGTCTGTGTCTGCCCGACATCTCCCAGGTTTGCAACATATCTCGATCCAACGGGCCAGCCTGGTCCAGCTTGCGGGTTTCTGACAAATCTCCCCACAACTCCTCGAAGATACTCCGCAAATGTGTAGAGTTGTGGTGACATCGTGTCAAAGGTTGGTGTATTGAACAGCAGAAGGACGTCTGAGCCGTGGAATTTGCCTAGCCAGGAGTATTTGTCGTCTAAAAGACTTGTGACCGAGGCATTGAAGTAGAATCGCCATGTTGGATTGACCGAGGCTGAAATGTTGGCGAGAATAGCTTGGGGCTGGGCGTGTTAGCTGTGAAGTCGGAAGCATGTGAACTTACACATTGCCAGACAAAGTCTGTATAGATTGCGGCAGCAACATCAAAGTCGGTCTTGAGGCTGGGGTCGTCATAAGCCTTGAGAATTGTTTTCTGTTGGCTTTTGCTGACCAGTGGCTCAGAAAGATATGCCCCTAAGAATGTCTCGAGTGAGATATTTCTGTTGATCAGTCCTCGGCCCTCTTCCGCAATTGTTCCCATAAGCACAGGAATTATTGCAACATCGCCATCTCTCCATCTCTCCGCTCTGTCACTCAGAATTGTCACATTATCAGTGATCGGCAAGAATGCACTCCCAGCCGTGCCCATAGCCTTGACCAGATCGTCTCCTGGCACCTCTCGCATACACTGCAGCTGATCTGGTCCCTGGCAGCCAACAACAGTTGTCAGGTTATCCCAGTACGAAGTATCGTGATGACTGGCAGTGCTTCCGAGGTACCCAACAGACATTTGACCAGAAAACATCATTGCGGCGCGGAATGGGGGAGATGTGTATCTGTTGACGTGTATATCGACGGACATGGCACCTGCAGATTCACCCCAGATGGTGACTTTGTCTGGGTCGCCACCAAAGGCGCGAGCGTTTCTCTGAACCCATTCGATAGCGAGTTGCTGATCATGGATACCGAGGTTGATCTCTGAAGCTGGTATATCTGGGGAGTTTGGGAACCCAAAGACTGTCTCGTCAGCAGGCTCAAAAGCTGATGGTTCACTTACCATTTGTTCTGTAATTAAAGGTAAAGACGACGATGTCTTCATACGCCGCGAAACCACTCAGATCGACTTCTCCGTTGCCTTGCTGCCATCCACCGCCGCTGATGAACAAGAGCACAGCCCTTGAAGGGTGGGGGTCTGCTGGAGCGAAAGCGTTGATGTAGAGACAGTCTTCACTCTCACGGGATGCTGTGTTGAACAGTCCTTTGAGCAGATCAATCTCCGGAGTGAGTTCTACAAGGTTAGCTTTGCTCATTGGAAGTAGGCTGTACTCACCACTTTGGACGAAGAGCTGCCTGCATGAAGGACCAAACCTGGTCGCATTCAAGGGCTTCGTCCATGGTTCAGGCTTCTTAGCCCGGGTGAAACGCTGCGTTCTCGCAGCATAAGGAATACCGAGAAACTTGTTCACAGGCGAAGCAGCTGGGAGAGTTGTAGTGAGACCAAAGACTGGGCCTGAGTCGAGTGTGACTGTTGGAGTTTCAGCCCCGACGTAGATTGGGAGCAAGAGTCGTGACAATGTGAGAGGCTTCATGATTGCCGCATGATGGCAGAAATGAATTCGCTATACCTGCTGGGAATGCCATTTAAATATCCGATAGATTATGCTTGGGTGGAGGGTTGTTGAATGAGATGCACATCGACGGTGCAGCCGTATTGCTCGGGTTCATGGTTGTCGACACGGAATACGACGAATGCGAGATCGCCCACTAGTCAGCGCCATGCACCCCGATGATCAATTCAACATGAGCAGAGTCCGAAACCTCGTGCATCAGCTCGCAAATGAATGCATCATCTGGGCTCCAACGATGCATTGGAGCACAAACAGGGGACGTGCGAATCATTGAATTGCCAATCAATTACTTCAATCAAATACAATCATCCCCAACTCAACTCGCCCTCCTTTCACCCTTCGCCGCCTCCAAAGATCTCTGCTTCTTCTCATCATTCGTATCCTTCGCAAAAGTAGAAACATGCTCAGGCACTTCGACCTTGTTGTATGGACCAGGAATCGGCTCCCCGATCGTCTGATACACAGGCAACACACCCGTCCACGTCGAATTCACCAGACTCTCATTCTCTAAATCACTCTTATCGTCCGTCGTCGATCCCGCACTGATCTTGGCACTTGCCGAAGTGATCTTGACTTTGAGAATATTCGTACTCTGCATCTCCGACGCCAGCGGAGGTTGTCGTGTATGGTTCCAACGATCAGCCACAACACTATTGCTGATAAGTTCCATCGCATACAACTTTTCTTCATCTGACTTGACAGTAGTCGCGTATCCATAAAGAACAGCTGACCGGTAATTGTAATTGTGCGAATACGTCGCCAGGGTCAAGACAAGTCCGTCAACGTGCGATGCAGCAACACAAACCGGCATTCCCTGAATCTCTTCTCCATCGACTGTAGATGTCTGAGCCAAGTTCATGATCCTCGATGATACATATCCGTGAAGATACAGTTCCAGAGGATCCCGCAGGCTTGAACTTGGACGATCAAACGATCCCAGCTGTCCTATCATCGGCAGAACAACCGGAAATGGCTGGGATGGTGTATTAAATGATATATGAAGGATCGGACATGTATTGACGATGCTATGAACAGTCTCGAGGTCATAAACCCCGTGGACTTTGTACCGTTTGATGGTATTTGTCGGGTCTTTTGGGTACTGAAGATTATGACGGCCCATTTTGTTTGCTACTGTTGATTACAATTCCTACAATGCGATAGGACACGCTACCTTATATAGCCATCTGTATCTATTCACAGGCTAGAACTGCCCTGAAAGGTAATTATTCGCGTGATAAGACAACCTCTCTAGCTCTAGCTGCAGGACGATGGTCTCGGACCGGAAAAACTCTACAACCCCACCTCCACATCTTGATCGTGGCCACCTCTCCATCATCAAGATACCCCGCGACATCAAAGTCGCATCAAATCACCATGGTTCTTCAAGATCTCGGCCGTCGCATCAACGCGGCGGTCACAAACCTGACCCGAGAGCAAAATCTCGATGAAAAGGTGCGTCGCCTGCTCCCTCCGTCTTCCCCGCTAACAGCCTAGGCCTTCGATGGCATGCTCAAGGAGATTTGCGCCGCTCTCCTCGAAGCAGACGTCAATGTACGACTCGTCGGCCAACTACGGAAATCCATCAAATCCACTGTCAACTTCAAAGAACTCCCCCCCGCCGTAAACAAGAAACGCCTCATCCAAAAAGCCGTCTTCGATGAACTCGTCAAACTCGTCGATCCTCACGCCGAACCGTTCCGACCGAAGAAGGGAAAGAGCAATGTCATCATGTTCGTTGGTCTCCAGGGTGCAGGAAAGACGACAACATGTACAAAGCTCGCGCGGCATTATCAGTCCAGGGGTTTCAAGGCGTGTCTGGTTTGTGCCGATACGTTCAGAGCTGGTGCTTTTGATCAGTTGAAGCAGAATGCCACAAAAGCCAAGATCCCCTACTATGGTTCCCTCACAGAAACGGATCCCGCTGAAGTTGCGAGGGCTGGTGTTGACCAATTCAAGAAGGAGAGGTTCGAGGTCATCATTGTTGATACATCAGGTCGCCACCGACAAGAGTCTGCTCTTTTCCAGGAGATGGTGGATATCCAAGAAGCCATCAAACCCGACGAGACTATCATGGTTCTTGACGCTTCGATCGGTCAACAAGCGGAGTCACAAGCCAAGGCTTTCAAGGAGGCGGCTGATTTCGGAGCCATCATCATCACAAAGACGGACGGCCACGCACATGGTGGTGGTGCCATTTCTGCAGTCGCTGCGACACATACCCCTATTGTCTTTATCGGTACCGGTGAACACATGCTCGATTTTGAAAAGTTTGCCCCTCAACAATTCGTGCAGAAGCTTCTCGGTATGGGAGACATGGCTGGATTGATGGAGCATGTGCAGAGCCTGAACCTCAACCAGAAGGACACCATCAAGCACATCCAGGAGGGTATCTTTACGGTGCGCGACCTGCGGGACCAACTCTCCAACATTATGAAGATGGGCCCCCTCTCAAAAATGGCCGGCATGATCCCCGGCATGAGCAACATGATGCAGGGTATGGACGACGAAGAAGGCGGCGCCAAACTCAAGCGAATGATCTACATCTGCGATTCAATGACGGACAAGGAACTCGACTCGGACGGCAAGATCCTCATCGAACAACCCACCCGAATGACACGAATCGCACGCGGATCCGGCACATCAGTACGCGAAGTCGAGGACCTCCTGACCCAGCAACGAATGATGGCAGGCATGGCAAAGAAGATGGGAGGAAACATGAAGAACATGCAGCGAGCGCAACAAGCTATGGGAGGAGGCAACAAGGCACAACAACTAGCGGCCATGCAAAAGAGGTTACAGAGTATGGGAGGCGCAGGCGGTGCAGGAGGCATGCCCGATATGGGTAGCTTGATGAAGATGCTTGGCGGAGGAGGTGGAGGCATGCCTGGTGGTATGGATATGCAGGCCATGATGAGGCAGATGGGTATGGGTGGTGGCGGCATGCCTGGGATGCCGCCTGGAGGTGGAAGAGGTAGAAGGTGAGCACGCGTTGAATGGAATACGAATGTCTCAGTCACTTTTGTCCCACCAGCATACGCATGTCTTGAATTGAAGATACCCTGACCTCAGGGCAAACTCCTGACTTGACCGACGTCTCGATGAACAGTCTCGATGATGATGGAGATCCCTCCGGGGGCTCCTAGCGGAGGGCTCTCTCTCGCTCCGCTCGTGTTTGATCATGCAGCTCTCGATAGGATGCCATGTATCGGCTGTGGCAATAATTTCATATGATAAATACCCTTTGTCCTGACATCACTGAGCACACCATATGTCTTCCAACATGAAGTACAACATATGGTTCGTCGCCGCAGCGGCGGAGCTTCTCACAGTCAAACTCGAAAGTCGCTCTCAGTCTCAACTGTCAAGCCGGTGGAATACAGCAGACTTCCCATGGTACGGAAGAGTCTGTAGGAACACCACCTCAAGAAGTATAAGTCATCCCTTGACAACCTAGCTAACAATTTAACAACCTCCTCGTCGATAACGGCTTGTCATACCCAAGAAAGGATGTTCGACATGCGGCGATCACGCTTCTCTTGGTCCTACAGAGTCCGAGACTTGTTCTGACAAGCCGGTATAAGTACGATACTGCTGGTGATGCACAACCGCACGCGAAACCTTTATCGATGGAGGGCAAGATTGTGACGGGGACGGTAACGATTGGACGTCTCAGTGTAGAGAACCAGCTTTCTTCCTTGGCGGTGACTTTCCAGAGGAACTGAGTAAAGACCCAATGGGTTTCAAAATCGACAGCATCTTGGTCTGTGTTCAGTGCTCTCAAGACTTTCACCCCGACGTTGTGGAACCTCGTCAAGCCGACGCAGCTTCATCCTGTTTTCTCGCTTTTCTCAGCTCTGGGAATAACGGTATGGGCGAGATACACTCGTGGAATCGACACTTCCAAATATGTGGCGAATTGAATAAACTCTCCTTCAACGAGACTGTTGTTTCTTGGGCGGTAGCTGGTATATCGACAACCCTCGACAAACTCGGTGCATGGGAGGCCCTTGTGATGTAGTCGAGAAGCTTGAACCAGAACTAACATTCACTGCTGGATCTGGCGACAGGCTCCAAAGGATGCTTTCAGCCTCGGAGGGCACAATTCCAATACATGTTCATTTTGGTGGCACTTGATGAGGATAGATGTGAATTGTCATAAATTTTGAAGATTGCGATGAGCTTGAGACATGCTCTGTCCTAGTTCCACGACTGTCATACCCTCCTCTGATCATATCGGACAACTGCCTGACACAGAACCTCTGCTCCAATTGCGCACTCTTCAGGAGATGAGTACTCTTCTGGGTTATGACTGACTCCCCCTTTGCATGGGATAAAGATCATGGTCGTAGGACAATGTTTGTTTGTGTAGACACTGTCGTGACCGGCGCCGCTAGATATGTCAATAGCAGCATCTTTTCCAAGGATAGACTCGGCAGATTCTCTGACTGCCTGAATACAATCCGGATGGAACTTTGTCGCAGTTGAGATTGTGTCGGTTCGCCATTTGAGAGACAGTGGTAAGGCAGGAGTTGATCCGGCCAGTAATCCGTCTACGTCTGTTCCCTGGGCCAGCAGATCAAAGTCGCGGCGCAGCTCCTCCTCAAGCTTCTCGACTGTCTCATCTGATGGAGAGCGAATGTCAAGAGTGAAGCTGACGTGACCGGGGATGGTGTTGGTGCTCCCAGGAGTGAGGTTCAGAATGCCAGTCGATGCAAGAGCCTTGTGCTTTGTCGCCAGTCGGTGAGAGTGGGTGATCAATCGTGCAGCGAGTAAGAGAGCATCGGCTCGGTCGGAGAATGGGGTTGAGCCAGTGTGGGCATCTAACCGGTTAGCCATGTTCATCTGAGTCCTGTTCACATACCTCGCCCAGTGATGTCGATAGTGAACCACTTGTAAGCCTGAACACCTTGTACGACCCCAATATTCTTTCCAGCACTCTCGAGAATCGGTCCCTGTTCGATGTGAAGTTCGAAATGCGCCCCGATTGGCATGGCCTTGTAGCTTGCGGGTGTGTCACCGAGATACCCAATTCTCTTCAGTTCAGATTTGACTGTTGCGTTACCGGATACCTCCTTCAAGTTGTGAGCCCTCTCTTCCGAGGTCGCTTCAGCCCACACACCAGAAGCCATCATGCTGATGGGGAACCGTGCGCCCTCCTCACTACATGGTCAGAATTGTCGACTCTGGGCTGATGACTTACTTTGTCCAATTGACTACACCGACAGGGTACTCTGTCTCAACATCGTGGTCTTGAAGAATCTTGAGCATCTCGATTCCCGCTTGGACGCCGAGGATACCATCGTATCGACCGCCAGTGGGCTGGGTGTCCAGATGACTTCCAGCCACAGTGGGAGGACCATCTTTACGGCCAGGTCGAATTGCAAAGATGTTTCCAATGGAATCAATGGTCACTTTACATCCAAGAGACTTTGTAGTTTCAACAAACCAATCTCGGACTGTTTTGTCTGAATCCGAAAGTGCCAGCCGTGACATTCCGGTGTCGGTCGGGTTGCTATTCTGTTAGCTTGACCTGACAAGGACCGCGAGACTCACTCTCCCCATTTGAGCCCAGTACCCCATTTGCAGGTGTCATGAAGAGTGTCCATCAATCGGGATTGATCAACTTTCAGCTTCTTCAAATCTGTAGCCGTCATATCTCGAGTCGAGATGTAACGACGGAATGATACATGGGGCCGGAGCGGGCGCAGGCCGTGTCGAAGCATCGTGTGAGCGGACATTTTAGGATGCTGCGGAAGTTTAGCAGAACACAATTCTCAACGAATATTTATCCTCTGATGTTCTCAGGATGATGTAGAAGTTTAGCAAAACACAGTTGTCAACGAAATATTATCCTCCGATGTTCTCAGAAGGTGTTTAATCGTGAGTGATGTAACGCCTTCTTACAACCAACCCCGCTTCCTGAATATTTTATCCTCTGATGTTCTCAGAAGTTGTTCAGTCGTGAGTGATGTAACGCCTTCTTACAACCAGCCCCGCTTCCTGAATAGGCAATCTGTCAGGATAAGGGAAGTCAATTGGACATACATAAATAAAGATCGAACATCAGATAACTTGGTGAACCCTCTGCATAGTCTCCCTTCCAGCTCGGGCAACTTGGTCAACCCGAAGTCGAAAGTCTGGATCTTGCTCGCTTTCCCGAGCGACGTTCTCACTCCGCACAAGGTCAAACCGTTCCTCAACAACGCGCAGATACTCCATGGTCGCTTCCTGTATCTTCGCCTGAGTGGCCTCTGAATTGGCCCGGAAACTGTCTTTGAGGCTTCTCATGAGCTTGGTGAACAAGTCTTCATCGCTCAAAGCCCCTCTGATGATTGCCTTTCGACGAGCATCACTTCCCTGGCCTGGGAGGGTTAGCTGCATCAGTAGACGATGTGTAAACGTACCAAACTCGGCATTGCACCTATTGTAAAATGGTTCCATCGCTTTTCCGAAAATTGAACTTCGAAGGCCAGAAAGCGACTCGATGCGGAGGATCCTGGCCTGTTAGCGACGTCGATGAGGCACAAGTAACTCACTTGAGGTTGTTCTCGAAGTCATCATTGACCTTCTCGATAGCAGCCAGGAATATACTCTGACGGTTTTCAAGAGCTTGAGTCAAAGAATCGACAGAATCATGCTCTTCTACTCATGTCAGCATGCCCAGTCAATGGTACAAGGTCTTACCAAGTTTCTCAATAGCCATGTCCGCGAATTCGTCGGCATTCTCAAGCATACTCGACTGTCGCTCCTGTAGAGATCCACACATTTCCTCCCAAGGCCCTCCAAGATCGCTAACCATCTCATCCATAGCCTCCTCGTTCCAATTTCGTGATCCGATTTTAGGTGTGCAATAGTCCCCAAAGTTTCGACAAAATGCAGAATAAGAACCTATTCTTTAGTGCTGAACCTTTGGGACATTGCCAACTTACTGTGATGCCACTGAATGTGTTAGCTTGGTCAAACAATACGTGAGAACGTACCCCTGCCCAATCTTGGCTTGCATTTTTGGCTGACCGGCTCCATGAAGAGACATGACGATCTAAAGGTCAGTATAATTCTGACCGAACCGAGGTACTCACTGTTGTAAACGTATTCTGTAAAGTCTTCGTTGTATCCTCTTGCTAGGCGACTAAAAGCGCGCGATGCAAAGTCCTATAAACGTCAGTCGGAACACAACCTTGATAATCTCATACCTTCCTCAGACGACGCTCAACACTGTCGAGAGTTTGGCAGAGTGCCTCGCGACGTTCTTCACTCGCTGTGCGGGCTCCAGATTGGACCCATAGCTCGATGTCAGCAAGCAACGCAGGGATCTGGTCCTTCATGTACTGTGTGGCAATTCGTCGTTGACTGTTTGCGACAATCGAGATGCAGTGTTTTCGGACTTGCAAAATGCCACTCAGGTCGAGATATCGTTTGGCCTCAGACTTCCTTGCAGTTCTGTTTTGCCAGTAGATCGTGTTACTCACGCAAAAGACTCTAGCATCTGTAACTCTGCCGGCGTAGGTGTTTGTGAGCGAGTCAATGATGATCCGGTTGCGGGTTGTGATCAGATATTCCTTGAGTCTGCAAATGTCAGCCAGAGCTTGTTACCTTTGGCCAACTTACTCAAAGTCGTAGTTCTGTTTGCGGATGCTAAAATTGTCAGCAGTTACCAGCGACAGTTGAGAACATACCTTGCTTGTCGTTGATCTTCCCAGCATTCCGCAAGTTCCTGTCTTTCTTGTTCGGATAGGTCACTTGCCCCATAATCCTCGATCTCTGCCTGCAACTCTTCGATTTCCTTGTTTGCCGTTTCGATATTCTCCAGCAGCTGCTCAATATGTCTTGCACTTCTGCCGGGCCAATCTCGAATTGACTCTTCAGGGTCAATGTCCTGCATGGTCAGCGAGGTTCACACATGCTCACCACCACTCACATCAGAACGAGTACAGACTATGCCGACATTCGACAGGCGAGCACGGTCGGCCAAGTCAAAAACTTGATGAACACCTTCGTCAGTGGCTGCGCGTCCAATGTTGCAGATTGCGAAGATCTCATTGCACTCCAGGAGATAACGTTCAGTGATGATTCTTCTGGCAGAGTTGAGATCTCGAAGGCCGGGTAGATCTACAAGAATCAAGCCTCGGCTGAGGATGTGCGCGCTCAGAGAGACCCTTTCTTGTTAGTCGGGTCAATTCTGGGGACGCAACTTACTTGATGCTTCGAATGTAAGGCCACGTTGCTGGCATGTCTCTTGATGCCGGCTCAGAAGAGAGTTCCATCAACGTGTTGGAACAAGCCTGCGGCGAGAGACCTGTATGACAAGTTCTCAGAGGCGAAGGCATTGCATCAGCTGCCCAACGTGTGAGTCTATCGAGCACATCATCATACGATTCACGAATCAGGAATGCTTTGTCAGTCAGTCGACCGCGAAACATGGCTCGAAACGTGTCCTTGGCCACTCTGGCATTCGCTTCCATGTCTTGACGCTCAGCGGCATCAGTGATCTCATCCCGATGAAGCTCAAAGGTGCGATAAACTTGAAGGAGTCTGCCGAGTTGATCTTGAAGTTCCTCGATCGAGAACAAATTGACTCGAATGTCAAGCGTGTCACGATTGTGATAATGGTACTCCGTCACAACACATGTGCAGGCTTCTCCATTGTTGCTCTGAGATGTAAGCATGGTCCGAAACTTGGGCAGTTACTTACAGTCCTTGCAAGCCCTTTTGTATCGAGGAGCGAATTGAGCAGACTACTCTTGCCTATAACTGTCAGCGGCGCAATCACGTACAATAGCGACTTACCAACACCAGAGTCGCCTACGAACCCGACGGTACGGGTTGCTGGGTACTCGAACGCGGAAAGTCTGCCAGCATCTTCATGGAGCTTTCGCATTGTTGACTCGTGCGCTTCGTGGATATTCGAGCTTCCCAGCACAGATTGAATGTTAGACATCAGCTGCTTGGCATCTCGGAAAGCTCCTTGGAACTCGGGGGAATGGAACGCATCATCAGGGAGTTCTTCATCAGCAACGTCATGCTGCTCAACAGCCCCGGTACTTGAACGCCGTCTTCGGGGCGTGCCGTTTCTGGAACGCCTCGGTTCCGGGGAGAGAGTTGCGCGTCCTGCGCCTTGTTAGCGGGACCCAAATGATCAATTCATGAGTACCATTTGTGTCAGATAGCCGAATGTTGCCGATGGCAGACGTGAGCCCATGAGACTCTCCCCTGGCCCTGCCAGAAGGGGGAGTTATGGAAACGGAAGGAGTGCGTTGCCTGTTAATTGGGGAAGCTGGACTTGAGCTTGTTTCCATGATACCCTCACTTGAGGGAAGTGGCGTGTCAGCATCAATCGAAGGCATATTGAAGGTTCAGGTTGTAAAGGTATGAGAATGAGATAATTGTCGTACGAATTCGAATTGAGGGGTTTATTACTGTCTGTGGTTTAAATAAGCAGCTGAGAGATCCTGAAGCTGTTGGTTGACCCTTGTCAACTTCCTGCTTCGGCGGTTAGATGCGACCACCCCGGCCTCGCACCAATTATGGCATTCACTTTGTATCTATTTGTATCAGCTGAGATCCTGCTGCAGATCTGGTTTCAGGGTGTTGAAGTGCTTGGGAATCAGTGGTCATAACCTTACCACGACTTATGTTCATTGTATTGAGCCAGAGCATCATCACAAGTTTGGCGAGTTTGGTGAGTTTGGGTAAGTTTTATAAATTCTTAAAGCACAGATATTAATCTCGTGAGATGTAAGAGAATATCGTGCTCTTGTCACCCCAAAATGACCGCAGCACTCACAGTCGAATTGGTTCATGCTTCTTGCGAACAATTTGAGATTCGCTGAAAATACCCTAAACCAGTCTCAGTCACAACGCGAACCGCGAAACAAGTCCGAAAACTTATGCTACAGATACACCTAGCAAAGCACTATGAGAGGCTCTCAATCAATGAATCACTCAAGACTCAAACATATCAGTGAACTAAACACCAACCTAAATGTCGTGATGATTGAGCTTGTGGTGACGACACACAGTACACGCACAGTGCCAAACTGTCAGCCATTCCCCGCTCACTGTCTTCACTCATCCTCAATCAATCCCTCATTCAACACTCAACCACATGCGCCATCTCCCTCTCCGCCAGTGCTTCAAACCGCGCTTTCGTCTCTCTCTTACCCGACCATTCACCATGAATCAGAAAACACAAGAACCCGTCATTACCAAAACCTCTGACCTCCCCATTGATGAGGCAAAGTGGGTAACCCTCAAAAAGATCGAGTACGTCGATCAAGTCGGAAAGACACGAACATGGGAGGTCGCAACACGAAAAACAAGAGGAAAATCTGGTGTCGATGCTGTAGCTATGGGAAACATTCTTCTTCATCCATCAAAGCCTGCTTCCACTCTACTCGTCATTCAATACCGACCCCCTCTTGATGCCTACACTATCGAATGGCCTGCTGGACTCATCGACGCTGAAGAGACTGCCGAAGAAGCAGCTGTTCGAGAATTCAAGGAGGAAACTGGATATGATTGCAAGGTTTTGAGTGTCAGTCCTGCGCAAGCTGCCGATCCCGGAATGACAAACGCCAACATGCAACTGGCCATGGTTGAGGTTCAATTGGGCGAAAACGATGAAGAGCCGGAACAAAGACTTGATGATGGAGAGCACATCCAACGGGAGATTATTCCTTTGTCTGAACTGTATGAGCGCTTGGTTGAGTACTCCAAGAGAGAGCGTACGGTTGTTGCGGCCAAACTTTTTCACTTTGCTGCAGGCATGCATTTTGCCCAAACTCAGAAGTACTTTTAGAGACAATAGACGACAGCTGTCATTATATCACAGTATAGCCTTGATTATCAGACAAGTTATCCCAATGAAGCCTTTCACCTCATGATCGTAGTCTCGGGTTCCTGCCTTCAGGTCGCAGCGCCTTCGGGATCTACCCGGCTGAGTCATCCGCTATAGATGGCAACTCACCCCTCATTATCGCACCTTCATCTGTCACCAACAATTCTCATGGACCCAAACTTGGGATTTCTTCCTTGCACGACAGATGGGGAGATCAATGATGGCGCTTTTGGATTGACGCGACCGATTTATCCCGACCAGGACCCCAATCCAGTGGAATCCAGGCCCAGAGTCGCCAAAGCCTGTGAGACGTGTCGGAGAAGGAAGCGAAAGGTCAGTCGCCTCGTCGTCGATAATGGCGCTAACAATGGTAGTGTGATGGAAGCTCTCCGTGCTCGTCATGTTTAAAGAACAACATTGAATGCGTCTACGTGCTCGAGAGACCCAAGAGGTATGCATCTTGACCGGTCTTGTCCGCTCGCTAACTGTACAAGGAAGCAGAGAGACTCCGAGCTTGTATCGAACCTTGAAGATCAAGTCCTTGCCCTCAAAGATTACGTACGGAAGCTTGAGGCTACCTGTGGATATGCTAATCTTCCAGACTTTGCATCGAGCAGTCTAGAAGATGACGCTGCGCACACCGTGGATGACTCCCAAAGCTCTGCCATCGATGATGTGAGCTCGATGATGTGGCGGATGAACATTCATGGTAGTGGAGAGACATCCTTTCTTGGTCCATCTGGTAGCTTCTGCTTCCCTGTTAGTGGCCATGGCATTGAGACCGAGGCCATCAGGCCTGAGTTGGAAACGAAGAGTGTTCAAGCACTACTCGACCTGTTCCGACAGCAAATCAATTCGGTCCATCATTTCGTACCTCCTCATGTCATCGAAACTCTCAAAGAGCCTCAAAAGACCCTTGATGGTGAACTGCTACAGGTGTCAGTCCTGGCAGCAGCGAGTCTTTTCGTCGATTCAGGGCAGACGTATGCTGACCAAGCCGACGCTATCGTGATGAGGTGCTGCCGTACAATTCCCAATGTTGCGACGGTACAGGCTCTGGCGATATTGACTTGGCGCGAGCTGGCACTGGAAAACGAGAACAATGCATGGCTGTACAATTGTACGTATCCTGGTCACGAGCTGTCTGACAAGCTGACATGACAGCTATGGCGGCGAGCCTGATAGTTCACCTCGGGCTGCACGTGAGTTCTCTCGAGAATGTCATGCAGATACCGATTGGGCCGCCTTCAGACATTGACAAGAGCGTACGTGTCCAGACGTTCTGGTCGGTCTTTTTAATGGACAGGTAGGTCTCGGAACGGGAGTAAGAACGGATACTTATACCTCTAGAATTTCCACCTCGATGCTCGGGCGGAATTGCATGATTCCGTGGCGGAGAGTTCGAGCGACACCGTATCTCGAAGCATGCAGCAACCCCACGACAGAGGACACGGTCTTTGACGCTCACTGCCAGATGTGGTTCATTCACGACCGATACATGGATAAAATGTGAGTGCCCTGTATGATGAGGTTCGGAGCTGACTGTGCAGCTACTCTTTCGAGTTTGCAGAACTTGAACATTTCGAACGGCATCAACTTCTCTCGGAAGCCAGAGATCATCATATGAACTTCTTCCGCCAAATGGGCCGCGATCTTGAACTTCGAAGGAACAACATGAACCCTCAAGTCATCCTCCTTCATATGGTCTACAACATGTCGTTACTTCTCATCCATCGGCCATATCTCAGGGAGCCAAAAGAGAGTGCCGCCCACCAACTATCCATCAGAACCAACATGACCTCCGCACACGCCCTTGTCAGATTAATCCGACAATACGACAAAGAGGCCAAGATGGAGAACGCCCCGTTCTTTGCGATACACTGTGTCCTTACAGCTGCTGTGAGCCTGCTTCTGAATGCGACGTCAACCAACTCGACCATTCGCAGCCAATCGGTACACCGGTTCCGAGTCTGTGTTGACGCACTGGACAAGATGAAAAGATGGACAAGGGCAAGACGAGGGCTGTTGCTTCTCAGAGAGCTGGCCAACCGGTGGAAGGTGGTTTCGGCGTTACCCATGAGGCACAGTGTTCCTCTCATAGCACCGACAAAGGAGACCACTCCGCAAGCCGATACCAATGATCTAGATTGGGGTATGCTGTTTGCCAATCTCGAAGAGCCTCTGAATTTGGATACCATTGACCTGTCGACGCCTACGGGAGAATGGGTGTTTCACGAAAGCGACTAGACGAGCTAAATATTCGTCACCAAGATGACTACACAGTAACCAGCCTGCATCCACATCCCCGGTCCTCATATTAAACTTCAGACTCAATATCGACCCATCCAGCTTCGAATCCTCTTTCCGAATACGTACAGCGGAACAGTTGTCAGGCAGATGCCCAGAGTCAAACCTCCCCAGGTGCTAAAGAAGACCATCGGCCCTTTTGTGGCATAATAATTGTTGAGCATAAAGGTGAGGCCGAATGCAAAAGAACTCTTGACAAGCTGCGAAAGTTAGTGCTGACCCTGAATTAGATGAAGACATACCATTGCCAGACCAAAAGCGCTACCCGCACGATCCATACAAACATCATTGGTATACGTGACGATGCCCGTGCACCCTGCGCCAACACCAAAGTTGACCAGAGCCAGAAAGACGCAACAGACCATTGTGGACCTGGCATGTTCAATTGCATCCCCAAGGCCAAAAGCTCCTACAGTCATGGTGATTGCAGAAGGCACAATGACAACAAGTCGGAACTCAGGCTCGTACAGACCGCCATTGAATGCGGACATGTAGTGAGCGGCTAGATCAGACATCCAACCAGAGATCAACGTTCCCAAGGCAGACCCAACAAGAGGAGCTATGCCAATGACGAGTCCGACCTGGGTTGGGTCGAGGCTGTATGGTGGAGCGCCAAAGACTTGGTCAGCTACAGTGCCAAGAACAATGACCCAGGTAAAGGTGATTGACCACATGATACAACCCCAGATCACAACAGGATGTCGAAGCATAAGAATAGGGCTGACAAGACTGGGCAGTAGTTCTTTTGCGCTGGCGAATTGGAGATGTTGGACTCCACAGATCTTCTTCCATGGAGTGACCGACTCGACAACTGGTGCAGTCTCGACGGCAACCTTTTCATCGGTCTTTTCATTTCCGCCCGATATCACTTCGTCCCTGTCCCATTTGGTCTCCGGGAGAAAAACGACCACCATGATCAATCCCACAGCGAAGGCGACAGCAAGGAACCAAAAAGCCCACCGCCAGCCCATGTCGACAATGAGATACCCGCTGATGACCGGGGCGATGTTGACAGAGACAATGACGGCAAAGTTCCACAGACCGACCCTTCGACCTCTCTGATGAAGAAAGAAGACGTCGTTCACGCAGGATGTACCAGCCAGAGAAAAGCATGGCCCCATGGCCAGTCCCTGGAAAACACGGGCTGCCAGGAGTGACTCGTATCCTTGCGAAACAGCCGCCCAGATATTGGAGATCACCAGCAAGATTGAAGTCAGGACAAAAATGATCCTGCGACCCCAGAGATCTGAAATGATTGCCGAAAAATAAGAGCTCACGCCCAGACCAAGGATGAGCGACCCATTGAGTAGAGCCACTTTGGAGAGAGGTGTTTGGAAGGTCTGCGACACAATGCCGAATGCTGGAACGAGGACAGGACCAAGAGCGCCAGTTACGCAGGCACCAAAGAGGAGGGTCAGGAAGTACAGCTCCTTCCGGATCCGCGACATGTTGAGAGGGTCATTGGGAGAGTTGGAGGGTGAAGGCACCAAGATTGTATGCATGCCATCTTGAGAATCTTCGAGGAAGACTGTCCCAGCCGGTTGCTCAGAAGCATTACTTTCAAGGACGCCGAAAGCCATTGTGATGGTGAGTGATGCTGGTAGAATGGCACTGCCATGGTCTATTTATGTCAAGTGAAGTTCATATCATTGACAGCAGCTACAGACTAACGGAACACTCCCGACCAGCTCGGAAGCATCATCAAGTATCTGCCGGTATCTGGCAAGGGGAGGCAGGAAAACTTAGGACCTCTTTTCTAAGTGATGAAAAGACTTGGGCAAGTTTAGTATATCTTGGGAAGCTTCTAGACCAGTTTATTTTGGCACATTTAGATCCCTCCGGGGGCTCCTAGCGGAGGGCTCTCTCTCGCTCCGCTCGTGTCCCTATCATGAGCAGCCCCACTCGTTAGCGGCGGATGCGAAAGAGCCGCCGCTGATAACACCTGGATCCGGGGAGGTGGAGATGAACTTTGCGGGGAAGCTGATAAGTGAGATTTAGCGGCGGATGTCAAGATTCCGCCGATGATACGAAGCTGATTGGTGGGAAGTCATTGTACAAGATTAATGTCTGGAGATTGATATGCTTGCCTTGGGATTTGCCATGGCACTTGACAACTCACTCGCGCACTCATCAGACTGTCATGATCAACTCGTCACAAGAATCTCCCCCAACAATGGCAAAGCTGGGAATCGCCTCCGAGGACACTCGACATCAAGTCAGAGTCGCAGTCACACAAGCTGAACCCAAATGGCTTGACTTGCAGGGCTCAGTTGACAAGACCTGTGCTTTGATCGCTGAGGCAGCCAAAGGAGGCGCTGAGCTGCTGGCATTCCCCGAGTGCTGGGTTACAGGATATCCTGCTTGGATCTGGTAAGTTGTTAAAATTGAACTCATTTTAGATACTGACAGCAAAGGGCGCGACCAGTTGATACAGATCTCGCAAGCCGGTACATCAGAAACTCAATGCGCGCCGATGGCCCGGAGATGGCAAGAATCCAGCAATGCGCGGCCGACAACGACATATCCGTCGTCCTCGGGTTCTCGGAAAACTTCCACAACACTCTGTACATCTCACAGGCCATCATCGACTCTGACGGCAAGGTTCTTGCACTTCGACGGAAGATCAAAGCTACCCATATGGAGAGAACAATCTTTGGTGATGCTTCTGGTGATGCCCTTACAAGCGTTGTCGATACACGTGTCGGCCGTGTCGGGGCGCTCTCTTGCTGGGAGCATATTCAGCCCCTACTCAAATATTACCTCTACAGCCACCGTGAGCAGATCCATGTCGCCGCGTGGCCCCCATTGCATCCATACAAGGACGAGAAGGAATTGTGGTCCATGTCGAGAGAAGGTATTCGCTCATTTACATCTGTTCGGACAGTTACTGACAAACAGGCGCCCGCGCATTATCTCAAACGTACGCAATCGAATCACAAGCCTTTGTCCTTCATGCGACATCCGTCATCAGTGAACAGGGGATCAGCCTCATGAACACAGAACGAGGGGCTGTCATGAGCACTCCAGGAGGAGGTAGCTCTGCAATCTTTGGTCCCGACGGAAGGATTCTCACCGAGGATATACCTCAATGTGAGGAGGGGATCTTGTATGCCACACTTGATTTGGATGAGATTCTACGGTGCAAGAGTTTTGTGGATGTCTGTGGGCACTACAGTCGACCGGATATGTTGTGGCTTGGGGTTGATCGGGAGGTGAAGAAGCATGTACAGTAGTTCAATTTACGGCGATCGCAGAATTGCCTCTCAAGTTCAAATCTTGGGCCAACCGCATTTATTTCTACGTATCAACTAAGTAGGCAACATCCAGACACCGACATGTACGTGAGTCGCCACGGTCAGTCTGCCCATGATCTAGTAGAAATGGAGGCCTCCCCAGGCATTCATTCAAACCCTGTCTCTCATGGACGGTACAAACCGCATCTCACAGTAGTGATGTTGAACCCCAGCACCACCGACTCACAGTCACGCCAGCCTCTCCCAATTGCATTCATTCGATCCACCCCTGATTAAATAGAGTATCTCCGGTCGTAGCAAATCACCGTGACATATGACCACCCGGCATTGACGTGATGTTCAGTAGAGATCGTTCTGCATTTCGAGCCCCTTGTAAATACGTAGCTTTTTGCACCGCCGGCATTCAAATCGATACAATCAAGTGAAGCATAATACACACAATGAACTCATTCTTCTTTTCTTCTTTCTTCATTCCATTATCTCTATCAATAATCGATCGCTTCTATTTTGCACCTCCAATCCCAATGACCATTGTGGTAAAGCTGGTTAACCGCCATGAGTGCCAGTGCCGGCCACTTGTACCACGCTGCCACTGGCACAATGAACGATAACTGTTCAGTCACTCTGATTCATTGGGGCTATAATAGAAACAGGCAGAGCATAATAGAGAAACTGAAATGTAGCCTGAGGCTGACCTTGATTGAATCTGCCTATATAAACCTCTTCTCCCACCCTCCTTGCTCAGATTTCTTTTCTCCTCAACCATCATCAGCACAACTCTCTGCTGTTTTCTCGTCGTCCAAGCCCACACCCATTTCATTCAATTCTAGCACCCACTACCACTACCATGTCTACCAACACGAACAACAACGGCATTGCCATCCCCACCGCTGGTAGTGGCTACCTCGGTGTCACCGGTGATGGTGTCAAGATTGAGCAGCTTGCGATGCGCTCCATGGAGGAGACCGGCGCTGCCTCTGTCACAGTCGGACTCTACTTTCAGGGGCCTGGTAAGTTAAAACTTCTTTACTATGGTAATATCATACTAATACAGTTTCAAAGGCCTTGATCATCCCACCCAAGTCACTGCAGTCATCGACCGCGAGGGCAACCTTCGCGTCATCGATCGCACCTCCGACACCGCCCCTGGTAAGTCAATCGACAACTCACGTCCATGTCATACTGACGACGATGCAGCCAACAACAGCAACAACTAGTTCCATCGACTGGTCGTCGCGTGCCAACCTTGGCGGAAAGAATTGAGGAGACTTGTGTCGGGCTGATAGCAGCAGTGGGAGGAATGGAGCAAAGGACATAGCTCAATACGAATCATCCACGCCCAATTCTTGACTGTAAATCTGTGACTTGTACTCATCTTTGTCTCTGTGTTTGGATCTAGCTTTGCCTCCCGTGTGTGATATCTTGTCAGTCTTTGGCGAGGTTCTTAATTCATGTTTACCAACGATCGTTCACTTTGGCTAACCACATTCAATTTGTATTTCTAGCTGGTGTTTGCGTCAGTGCTTACTCGAGCTTTGTCGAGTGACTCTTTTCGTCAGCTTAAACCGCTGTCCAAAACAAGTGTGGCTGCGCCCGATACGTTTGAGGTAGCATTTGGATCCAAACACATTCGTGATACTCATGGCAAAGGACATGATTGCCAATTACTCAGTTTGACCTATGTATTCCATCGATTGCATGTCAGTTTATGATCAAGAGCCGTGTGATCGTCAACTTTTTGCTACCCTTCTAAACTGTAACATGTGTGTGGTGAACATGCAACATCAACCAGCGGATACAATTTTACCGGTAACTGGCGCAAAATCCACGTTCCAGATACCATTCCATTACTACTTGTGAAACGTTCGCTAGAAGTATCAAACTTTGTCGGTGTTTTCATTGACAAATGTTTTCATCATCTGTTTGGGTTTGTGTGCAGGGCCCGCGATTCGCAGCAACTTTCACAAGTTTTCACCACAACATGGGGACATCGGGTACACAAAAATGCTAATCTGGTAGTTTTCCATGATGGATCACGGTCAATCAAAGAGATACATGTTCAATTAATAGACACTGAACTTGGAGGATGCAATCGTACTGTTTAGGGTAACTGACTGAACAGCTGAGCATTTCGATAGACCCACTAAAACGCGGTTCAGGCTTCAAGCACCCAAGATTTGAACAACAAATCTCAATCAAGAAGATCACGGAGTTGCCACCCAGGTAAAGCATCCCACAGGCTGTTTTCGCGTAAATTCACTAATGATTTCATTTCAAGGATCGTGTGTACTTATCTGCCCACCCGACGCGCCCTCCAACTGCGACGCGCTCAACCTCCAAACCACCCGGCAGCCCTTTCATCTCTTAATCTTGAAGAGATCTTCTCGACGACACCAAATGAGCGCAGGCAACGATATTAGTCACTCTCGTCGAGTAACAAACACCAGGTCAGTAAGATGGCGAGTTGTGAGTCAAAAACTGACATTTGATTCGCAGGAATAACCTTGGAGCAAACGGACGTCATTCGAATTGCCTCACGAAGCCAAATCACAATTCCCAGGGATCAACTGGTTCTCGATTCGGATACCGACTCTCAGTCGATGTACTCGACCATCCAAGCTGTCCATCTCGTCCACCCTCTCCCCGAAGACTCCTCAAGGCACCCACCCAAGCCTCCCGAGCATCTACCCGATGATATTCAGACCAGATCTGTTACGGACCAAGCGCTGTCATTGCTTTGGTGGCATCTGCTTTATGAGGTGGTCATACGCTGACAGGTGCTCGTTGCTGCGGTTGCTCGGCTTACTTTGGTGCACCACTCCGCTCGGATTATCGAAAGGATCCTCCAACAGCCCAGATATCGCTTTGAATTTTCGGGCAGATTACAGTACGTACTCTTCAGTGGCGCGATCCACCTCCTGATCCACGGCTAACGTGTATGTGGATCATGGACAGGGGCTGACGTTGGAATTGCCTTATCTAGCCTCCATGGATTGTGTAATTGGTCACATTGATTTGAGTTGGAACCTTGTCTCAACCGCGGCAACGGCTTCTCACCGTTCTCCAGCACAAGCTCCATTGATAGGTTGAAACTACACAACTACACTCGACGAGGTATCATGTAGCGAGGCCAGAAATACCACAGCTCCGAAAGCTTTTCCCGACTCAATTGGCCACAGTCTCCAAAGGCCTCGCTCTCGACCATAGGTGTGGCTATTTGTCCCAGCTCTCAGATACAAGGCTCTCTCACTGCTTTGGCGGGAGGGGCTCATGTACGACGGTATGAAGTTCGAAAGGCCTCATACGCAAAGAAAGTCACAGCAGTAAGTACAACCGGGGCAGTATTAATCAAACTTCGGCACAGTAGCGCTTACCACAGAGATGTTCAAGCAGATGCAGCCCGCCGCTCAAGTCGATTCAATGATCCCGTCACCCGAATTTCCCATAAGAAAAGCATTTCACTGCCTTCCCAGGACCTCCATCACAGCAGATGCTTGTCATGGCGCCAGGAAAGACCCAGGACCTGTCTATGAGACAAATGAAGAGGCCGAGAACAACGTTTGTACTGCCATGCTTGAGTCATGCTTGGCACCACGGCCAGTCGACGAGTAAGGCGGGTGATGCAAGCATTATCTGTCAGGTCTATCAATTCAAATAACACTCTCCTAGACGCACTTCAGACGGCGAGTCCTCATTGATAATGTCAGCCGATGGGCGGACTGGAGAACATGTCCGCCTAAGGAACTCCCAGACTCCCCGGAGCACTCATCATCGGATGGAGAGACACGAGGCGAAGAGGAGACAGACACCATGGAACTTGCCAACGGCGAGGTTCCATCAGAAGCTGGCCTTCCGGCGCTTCTGTCATCAGCGCCGCAGTCGAGCCTCGACACTCAAACCAATGAGAGACTGAGCGGCTCCACGAAGCATCAGCACGAGACCACGGCCGGCCTGGAGAGCAAGATGAATGCCCTATGGAGCATGGTTGATAGCCTTGGAGTACAACTTGTGAAAGTTCGTCCGGACAGATCGTTGCTCATTGGCAGCGAGATTGACGAGATTTTGGACCGTCTTGTCAATCTCGTTGTCAATGTCGACAGTACAAGGTCTATGGCACAAGAGACCAAAGAGTTGAGCTCGGAGGCAAAAGGCGAGATTTCGTATCACCTTGTCCGTGCTTTTACGCATAATATCGTTGTCACAGAGAACTTTAGCAAAAATGAGAATGATACACCCCGTCTTTCCCATAGGGTCATGTCTACTTGGTTAGAATTGACACAGGGTGGACGGGCAACGCTCATTGATATCAACTCCTACCTGAAGGAGGGGGCTTGTGCATTTGGGATCTGTTATGACCTTGCCAGGGATGGGAATGGCCGTCACACTTTAAGTGATTGGACATACATTCCAGGCATTGCTGTTGCCAAATGGCGGTCCGAATTCAAGTCGAACGTCACCTTCTACGAGATCCTAAACACAGATGTCGAGCGCAGTACCAGACAGTAGTTAGTTTTGGAGTGTGAATTAAACCACCTGTCATCTCATATTACTGTAAACCGTGATTTCCTTGACGTGAATCCCATATTGGAATTAGAGGATGCAATTGTACTATTTAGGGTAACTGAGATGAACGATTGGCATATAACTCGCATCAAGCCAGGGATCGGGTAAGAGGGCATCTTGATGTGACCAAAGCGTCCATTCGGTCGTCCTGGCTGGTAGGCCTCTTTCTTACAAAACGTCCGAAACGAATGAGGCGAGCTGTTTGCAGAAGGAATCATAGTCTGGGATTCTGCATAAGATATTAATAATGTCAATTGACTCGGAATTGGTACTGACATGTGCAGGCTTCTTGATTTTTGTAGGATGGAGGCGGATTCTCCTTCGGAATGATGACGGTTGGCCATTATCGGTGATGGACATGAGCCACTGAACTCGCTTGTGAGATATTCAAGCTTAATAAAGGTTGGGATACTGATGTGACGGCGTTCGCCCAGGCGAGTTGGAGAGATGATTCGAGGTAGAGATACTGGCTTGACCGCTGTGACTCAGGGACAACTGGCGAGCTGTGCAAACAAGCACGCACCAGAACATAAACATGCCCCACATGGGGTTAACTTGGATTCTGAATTTCCAGGACCAGAATTTCTCTTCCTCATGCACATCACATCGCATCGCGTCAAAAGTCTAATCATCCGCAATGGCCCCTGGGAAGACCAACACCGTTCCCGACCCTACAAAGGTCAACCCACTTAGCCCTGATGCCCGCCGACAGTACATGCATGCTTGCTTTCGAATGCTCCCCATTTCCAGCGACTTGCGACAGCAGGCTCGCACCAAGGCTATAGAACTTCAGAGCAAGCATCTGGCTGAGAAGGGGCTTCGTGATGTCAACGTGGTGTATTTCGAGTACCACGTTGATGCCACCATTTGGAGACTCATCTGTATGCAAAATCACTCCCCATTCAAGTGTTGTACTAATCTTGACAGTCAATCGCCTGAGCATGATCAAGAACAACCCCTGGCCGTGGACTGTCTCGCTTGACGAAAATGACTTGTCGCAGGGCACCTCCTCTGTCTTCAGGGAGTGGCGCCAGTCTCACGGCCCTAGTGGAGAGACTCAAGAGGGCAGCAGTACTCCCCGATCCAAGGCCCCTCGCTCCCAGCACCAAGCTCCCGTCCCTCAAACCCTTGCTGAGGCTGAGCAAATGGCCCGTGAAGCACGCGAAAGAGCCAACGAACTCGAGCTTGAGGCCTTCCGTCTTGAACGCATCGCTAGACAGTGGCCTGCTGACGATAAGGCATCGCGCTTTGGAGGACTCGCAAACCCCCAAGCCCACCACCCCCGTTACAGCGGATTGCAGCCCCTCGACGGCAGAGAGTTCATGAGCCTTGAAGAGGCAGGCAGAGCTGCTACGGAACTCAAGAAGGAAAGTGACGCCAAATCCTTGGAAATCAAGGATATTTCAATGAAAGTCACGTCCACCAGCCGAGCCATGAAAAGGAGCCTCACTGGTGGTGAAGAGCGGGACGCAGAGAACTTGTCCAATGAGGACACGTCGATGAGTGTCTCGTCCTCGTCTAAGCGTCCTCGCCCGGAAAATACTGCGGCGGTTGACCCTCCCTCTGAGGTTGGGGATTCTCAGGATGAACCGTCGGCGCACCCATAAAGTCAGGTCGCCCAGCTGGTAGGACATCCGTCCTTTTCTTTGAAATTCGTCCACTAATGAGTCTATAGACAGCAACGAATGTCTCGCGGAGGAGACTCAGTGAACGGTTTCCGGACGGTGGTGAGCGAGGAAGGCACGGATAGTGATACCAGGAGAATACGAGTTGATAAATAGCTGAATACATCAATGGCGGTTGTTGTCTCAGGATAAATGGCTGCCTTCATTTTACTCACCAATGAGTCTACAAGAACAAGTGCCTACGTTACGACAATGCATTACTCAGCCCTTGAGACGGTGACAGCTTCAGACTGTGCGAGACAGAAATTGTTCACCTACTTGGAGGATGCGAGAGCCTTGGTTGTCTACTTGACGGCTCGGAGCATCCTTTGCCGTATTCATCTGTCAAAGTTGGTATCTTATTCTATTCCATGATTCCGTGGATTGCATGACTGTTCCAAGGACGTGATGGGATGGTGCTTCAAGTTCTCGATCGTATCCATTGTCAAATCCTCGATCTCCGTTCATCCGTGGTGAAGCCACCCGCGTCCATGTCAAAACTTAAGGCAGTGCAAAAGGTTTTAGATAGCTATTGATTGATGCCTCATAATATCGTGATCGTCTTCGCCAATTTGTATCGAATTTCGCCAGCTGTGGAAGATACTTCTAGGCTCCTCGTCTTAAGGCAAGTCTATCTGCATGACCTTCCCTGCCGCCTATCACTGTAAGCACAAAGCTTTTCGCAGATGACCAATGAGCATCAGCGTGTCGTCTCAAACGGGTAATACATCAACGCCGACTCTCTAACGTTAAAGCCACCCGTGATCCTTGTAAATTGTGGAGAATACCTGTGGTGCTGCGTCGTGTCTGCACAACATTGTCTTGGATAGGCTCGAAGCGGTGGCACCGAACAGTCCGGGGGCGACAGTAGATGAGACGGATGTTCACCACGAGGCTGTTAATGGCCTCAAGCTTCATGTACTTGCGCTGTGTCAAGATAGCAAAGAGCAAATTGCCCATATGTGTGAGTCCGTGTTCTTTACCTCTGTGTCGGGCTGAAGCCGCTTTCATCCTCTCAACCATATCACAAGTCATTCAAGATTAAGCATAGCCATCATAACAATCTCCAAATGTATTTACTATCACTTGAACTCGTAACTAACGATATCTATCTCTGCTGATGTCAGTTACGTACTGCAAGAATGGAAACTCTTGAACCTACCGTGGTAGTGGTGCAAAAGATGAAAAGTCGTAGGTTCCTACTCGGGCTCCTCCTTTTTGATTTGGCGCAGAGGTGTCTGGGACTGCAAGGGATGCTGTCGCCGAGAAGAAATGGGTTGGGTGTCCCGGAGAAGCGTATGCAGTCGCTCAATGTCCTGTTGAGCATCCGAGAGCGACCGTTCGAGGTCGCGCACCCGCTGCTGCGTTTCTTGGTGAGGCGTATTGATGGGGAAACCTTTTCTGACTCGCCATTCCATGTATGCTGTCGACATGCCGCCGCTCATGTCGTCAGGGTCGGGCCCTTTCTCCCAAGGCCAAGCGGGAGCCGCACCGTCACCGAGTGGTTTGACTATAGAAAGGTTAGCATATACAGATATAACGAGACTGAGTAACCTACAGATGTTCTTCCACATCGTCTTGTCGATGACGTACTCAAAGTACACAGATGGGACCTCGATCTTACCACGCTTTTCATGGTAGAATTTGCAGACGACGGGATACGACGACTCGCGCTTCTCCGCAATCTGGGGGGCCAAGTCACTGTGAAAGTATTGGATATACTGGTCAATATACCCACGGCGCTCAAACATGTTCTCGGGTCTCGGCAAGTTGGCCGGATCAAAAGTAACTCGCTGAGAACTCATTTTCTCAGCGGCGGAGGTGTTGTTGTTGAGTGGTTGAACAGACGAGAAGAGAATGAGAAATGTGACAGGAAGAGATAGAGAAGAAATGAACAAAGGGCATGTAATGCAAAGCATTGGTCCTGCCACACCAGAAAGGCCTCTGAATCAGTTGGCAGCTGGGAGCAGGTGTCACGTCACGTGAGAGAGCTTTGGGGAACGGAAGCATCATGGAAATGAGTGGCAACGACAAACGGCTAACAGTATGGGATATATGAGAATGTCCTGGGCTTCGATTGCGGGTTGCCAGCACCACCACTTCATGGCGTTAATCTCAGTCTGTGTCAAAGCGACATTAGCAAAAGAAACCACACCAGTGTCTTGATCCAAAACCTTTTTCATCAATCGTTTACCCAGGACAATATGAGCAAGAGAAAAGTTAAGCCGAAACCCTGGGATTAGGTGGTCCACATCCACGTTGATTATAACCACTCTTGCATCAACCCCACTAGCAATTCTTGGGTGAGTAAGCTCTGCCACCATTCGCTCTCCATCGTGTCCAACACTCTTGTTAAACAAACTAGCATGCGCCAGTAGAATATCCCATTCATTGAATGGACTATTCCGTGGTTCAGGAGGACAGAATAAGACAGCATGCCGTTCATTTGGGCCGCCAGAATCTTAACGGGCCTCGATATTCTGGAAAATTTCATCTCCCTCAGCATAGTCGATCAAACAGAACACAATGGCTGGCAAATTCTGGTGCAATATGTCAAGTCTTAGAGATGAGAAAAGATGAAGTGATATTGACATTGTCTTAACACAGGGGAATACATTGCAATACAGGGCTAGTGGTCAAGCTGGGGGCGCGGTAGCCGGGCACCTTGATACCACCAAGGCGGCCGTTCAGGGTCGTTTGAGATGAAGGGTTGTCTGAGAGGAAACTCTGAGATGAAAGGTTGTCTGGGAGGAAACTCTGAGATGAAAGGTCGTCTGAGAGGAAACTCTGAGGTGAAAGGTCGTCTGTGGTATGAAGCTCGCACGACAAGGACGCAAAGGAAGCAGACCTCGGCGCGGCCAAGCCTTTGACTAATCTGATATTTGCTAGGTCGGTGTAATGTGACTGGCGAACTTGATGCTGCGAGGTTGATAAGTTTGACCGTGGATTGAAGATGTTGTTGCTGGATCAGGCCAAGACGTGCTCGACTCAGGTCTGACGAGATACTCGGGCAGGGCGCGTTACGGTAAGCTATGCTTTCGCGCGCAATATGCAATAAAAGTCAGACCGTTTTAAAATATCCATAGTTTATAAGTAAATTACTCCTAAGAGTTAAGAGTAGTATCCATTAAGATTATTATTAAAAAGGTCTTTATAAGTCAGAAGTAATAAGTATTAACTTTAGGGATATATCTTAATTTTATAAGAGGTATATTAGATTATCTTAATTATAAAGACTTTTTAATAGATAGGTTTATAATAATTATTTTAACTTAATTTTAATTTAACTAATAGTTTAATTTTCTATACCTAGGATTAATAATACTAAATAATATAATATTAATACTTATATATATAAGCTTCTTATTATATTATAAATCTTATAATAAGATATTAATAAATATAATTTTAAAAGAGATTTATAAAAATAAATACTTTATATATTAATATTTATAAGAAATTAGTAATTAGTATTTAGGATAATTAATATCTAAGTATAAAAAGTTTAATAGTTATATATTTACTAATAAAATAACATATATAATAAGCACATACACCAGATAAGTATATATATTAATAATCTTAACCTTCTTAAGATAAATTATAATAAAAACATAATAAACTATCTAATTAATTAATTCTAGTTATTATACTTATCTCTAGAGGCCTTAATACCCTCTTAATAGGTTCTTATATTATACCTAGTCTTATTATAAGTCCTATAGTATTAAACCCTTAGTTATATTAAACTTCCTTAACTACTACTTCTTAATAATTTAACTACTATTTATATATCTATATCTATCTAATTAATTAGATTCTTACCTTCCTCTATAATTAGCTTCCCTCTATTCTATAGGCAGGTTCTTTTATCCTAGCGCTGCCAACTAAGTATCTTATTTGCCTATTAAAGATCTTATATCTTAGCTTATAATAAGGCATTCTTATATATTATTACTATTATTCCCTTTGCAAGAGACTTTAAAGCTCCTAGGATTAATTCTAGGGAGCTATTATAATATCTTTTAATTTATCTCTTAAGGTATTTAAACTAAGATCTGGCCTTAAGTATAATTTTTAGGGTCTTTAAAACCTAAGGGGTTAATAGTTTAATAACTACCTTAGTAGGCATTAGAGTTTATAGTTATATATTAAGCTTTAAGATTATACTTTTTAGATTAAAAGAAATAAGCCTAGCTCCTTTAAAACCTCCTTTAATATTTTCCTTAGTTATAATAACTTAAAAAGTAATATAAAAGGCTAAGAAGAACTTAGTCTTAGAAATATAAGTTATAGACCTTCTAATTAAATAGTTTATTTCTTAACTATATGCCTTTTTTAGTAGCCTAAAATACCTAATATTAAGGGGCTAAAGCAGATAGGAAGAATAAGGTAATATATAAAGTATAATAATCTTATTCTCCTTATAATATATCTTAAAGTCTACTAAGTAGTAACTTTTATACCTATTAAGGATTAAAAGATAATAGTAATTATTTATTTACTTAATTATAAATTAATTAAAGTATTTTAGCTAGTTAAGACCTAGCTTATTATTTATTTATTTATTTTAGCTTATTATAATAACCTAATTGCCTAGGAGGTTACTTTCTTAGTATTAATTAATAAGGTAGTATTAGCCTATAACTATAATAAATAAATTAATTACTTAGCCTTTTATATTAATTACTTAAATTATTATAACTTATTCCTGATTTCTAGGTTATATTAATTTCAGTTTTCTATGCCTCTCTAAGCTAATAATAACTATACTACTTAAGATTATGCCTATTATAAAGCCAGTCTTATTAAAGTTCTAGATATTATTTAATTAAATATTATATTTTATAATTATATTCTATATAAGCCTAAACTAATTATAAATAATAATTAGATCTTTATATTTAGCCCTCTAATAGTTATATCTCTGCTAAAAATATATCTTAAGCTCTAATTACTACTTAATAAAATTAATAGCCTAGTACTTACTAACTAGTAATATATTATAATTAGTAAGTAATTAATTTATTATTTATTTAATATTATAATACCTAGAAGGAAATCCTTATAAATCTAGGTTAAGAATATATTAAATTATAATTTACTCCTTTAAATTACTTAGTTTCTATAACTTAGGTGTAATACTTAATATAGCAGGAATATTATTATATTAGTAATAAAGAGCCTAGTAGTTAACCTTATATATCTTAGCAGCCTTATAGAGACTTAGTTTTAGGTTCTCTTAGAGGGCTTAAAGAGCAAGTAGTATTTTAGCTTCTTTATTTAATTATAATATATTATATAATTAAGAATTAATTAATTAGATAATTAGATATAAGGTTAAGGGATTTTTAATATATATACTTATCTGGTGTATATGCTTATTATATATATTAATTATATTATATATATTTTATATATTATATTAAGTTTTATAAAACTTTATAATTAATTAATTTATTTTACTACTACTATCTTAACTTATTACCTTATCTTGTATTTATACAGAGGGCTAAAGTATAATAGTTAAAGTCTAATTATATTAAACTAAGCCATACTAGGTTTATTATTAGCAAATTATATAAGGCATATAACTAAGCTTATTAAAGTATTATATTTCTTAATAATAAATTTAATATATATTAGGCTTAATTAATATAAAGAAGTTTTAATTAATAGCTAATAAGCTAAGTTTTATCTAAGTATTAATAAATATATATATATATACTTAAAGTAGCCTTATAGCTTAGTAGAAAATATAAGTAATCTAAGGGTTAAATTTATAGGGATTAGTTATAATCTATAGTAATTTAGTCTTAGAGTATTATAATCTAAGTAATCTAATAGAAGAAGATTATTACTAAGAGAAGTAATCTTATAATAATTAGTAAAAATTATAAGGGCTATATAATATAGGCGCAGGGGTTATAATATAATATCTCCCCTCTATTAGGTCTTATCCTTAAGACCTATATATCTCCTTGTTTTTATATTAGGCTTTAGTAAGTACTAACTTTCTTCTTTAATTATTTTCCTAGTATATTTGCTAATTATTATATTATAGAATTTTTAATTAAAATCTTATAAGACTTTAAAGTATATATATTTAGCAGATTTAATTATAAAATTTAGTTTTAATATTATATCTTATTCCTTTTATAAGGCTAAGGGCCTTTATTATAAAATAATTAAGTATTCCTCTTATTATTTTAAATATACTTAATAAGGTTAATCTTATAATACTTCTAGTATTATAATTACTTATTATATATTCTTTTCTATTTATTACTAGGTTCTACTAATTATTCCTCTTAGTTTCTTAATTAAATTATAAATCTAACTATTTTAAGTAGGCAAAAGAGGAGGCTAAGAAGAAACTTCTTAAGGCTTAGTAAGAAGTAAATAAGGCTATTATAAGATTATCCTATATTTATTATATAAAATACTTATTATAAAAGCAGGGAATTTAATTTATTATTAATAATTTAAATTCCTCTGCTAATAATATTATTACCTAGGAGGAGGATATAGTAGTTTTAAATATTTAGTTTTTTAGTAGTGCTAATATTATTAACTAGAATATAATTTTTAATTCTTTACTTTCTAAGATTATTAGTAAAAATTCTTTAGGAGTTATTAGGCATTAATAAGGTATTTTAGGGGTTCTTATATATTTTTATTTTCTAAATAGTTTTTCTATTTTATAAGGTATTCCCTTTAACTATTTATCTTATAAGTATCTCTAATAGCCTCTACTTTATAAACTTCTAGTCCTAAGATCTCTCTTAGTTTATTACCTATTTTA